TTCTGCAAGTCACTTCGAGTCAAATTCGAATGCATAATTCGAAGTACGAAAAGTGCGCCCGCTGGATAATTCGAACTCTGCCTTTGTACAGAAGAGAAGTTTACAGTACAGTGACTATGTCCTTCGAGCGCTTATTTGGAAGTGAGATGGAGTTACTCTACTCGTAATTCGAAGTTCATTTTTTCTCTTTTTTCTCCTTCTCTACCGAGAGTAACTCAAAAATGATCCCTGGTCCGCTCCAGGATCAACAATAGCGTTGAAGAAACCCACCTTCTCTCGAAATTTGATCCAAGCCTGTGCAAGGCAAAGTGCAAAGATTTGATTGAAGACGGCTTCTTCCAGGTGGTTGGCGCCCTTCGCGGATCTCTATGGCTTGTCAAGCCATACTAGCTCATGCGCAAAGAAGTTTGGGACTGAACAACAACTGGAAGTCGTAAATATTGTCTATGCCTTACGACGTGCTGCTCTCCAAAGGGCTTTCATGACGCAGAGAAGGCAGCGCTGCTCTTTTGCGTTGACATCGCTTCAGGACAACTACAGCGATTGAAAACTGCTTCACTAGATATATAAAATAATGATAATAATAATAATTTTTACAAGAGGTCGGAGGCGGATAATACTTTAATAACGAAGGTACGTGTTGGGTCGTAAGTATCCACGCAAACACACATCCAGTCAAAATAAGGCACTTGTCAAAGTATCCGAACGTTTTCGGTCCCTTCTCATCAAGGATTTTACAGGGAATGGCTCAAATTGGAAAGGCTAAAACTTATATAGCGTAAAGCACCGAAATTGACAAAGGATCTGTCTGCGTCGGGAAGGGTTACGCGAAGCCAAGTAAAAATACGGACTGGTGAGACGCACGTACAACGACAACGGAAGTGACAACAACAGTCAATATTCGAAAACGTGGTAGACCACGAGAATGAACCTCAATATCGAACACCGGACAAGTTGGAGTGAGAAGCTCAATAGAAATCCGCCATTGAGGAGACGTAGCTGAAAGGACACTAGGCATCGCGCACACAACGGCTAGTGTCAGAAAACGTGGAAGGCCGCGGAAAAGCAAAGAGACGGATAGTGGTGATGCCGCGAAGAGGCGAGATGACGGGACATTGGAGGAGACAACACCCAACGGGGCATAAGAATCGCACTTCGTCAATCAAGCAAAATCTGTCAGCCCGTACCAATTGTCGTGAGTTGTACAGTGATAATGTGTTCTCAATATTGTCACGTGGTAGATGTGCGTTGCATCTGGCTGTGTTAGAAGCTTTGTATATCCGTAAGTTAGATCCTGAACTTTGCGTACAGAAAGAAAATGTGTTGTCGCTACAATTGTTTGGTTTTACTCCTCGTCGAGGTGTTAACAATGTAACTTAATTTGCTCACTTTGTTCTTATCACTATTATTATTTCCTTCGAGTTTTGTGTCGTGCTGAACTTGATAATTTTCCACCTTGTCACGAGTGTTGTTATCTCATATCTTTACGCTATATAAGTTTAGTCTTTCCAATTTGAGCCATTCCCTGTAAAATCCTTGATGAGAAGGGACCGAAAACGTTCGGATACTTTGACAAGTGCCTTATTTTGACTGGATGTGTGTTTGCGTGGATACTTGCGACCCAACACGTATCTTCGTTATTAAAAATAAATAAATAATGATAATAATAATAATAGCAATGAAAAATATCAATAGGGCTTGAAAGTGATTACGTCAAAACGGCCAGGGAGTAGTAAGTTGACATCAGATTTCTATTTTTGGATCCACTAAGGTGTGACTTTGCTATTGCCTAAGTATGTGGGTGCATAGCAACCCACTCATGTCGCATGCAGGTGTGACTTTTATTTCGCCACCAGTTGTAACCCCGCCCCAGTAGCCAAATCAGTCAGTTTCACTGGCTACATCACCTTGCTGTGAGTAAGACATCTTGAAATGTGCTTGGATCCATACAAAAACTGGATCCAAGTGGATCCAGTTTTTGAATTTTGAAATTGCTGCTATGCTGTGACGTAGCACTTTCAAGCCCTATTGTGCACTCATAACCATGTATAAACAATTAAAATGAAACAATTCCAGAACGTTTTCGTGTGACCATCATCAGTGGAACATCGTCACATACAGGGCCTGCTCTAGACATTCAACACAGCCCGGTCAGAGTGTACCTGGCGCATGCAGGCCAGCCGGGTCAGATCATCCGGCAGAAAAACAACCAAAAAGCCTTCTCAAAACTTGCAACTGTGTCAAAAGCTATCCAAAGTTACGCTTTTGACTGCCTGCCCCGTCGACTTTCAATGTCCTGACTTCGTTGTCCTCTTGTAAAAATTATTGTCACAATCATAGTAAGAATCACTAAAACAACCAGTTATATAGCTCTCTACTCTGTAGAGTAATATGAAAAGAAAATGTTGTAGCACTCACACTTTTTATATAATACGCACTCACCAGTTTTTGTCCACACAGCTGCCACATTCATCTACTGCTACCATTCTCAGATACACTGCAAAGGTTCACACTACACGCGTTATGCATAACTGCTAGCTGTGCTGCATTCTCACGCTTCTTTTCATATTACTCTAGCTATATAACTGGTTGTTTTAGTGATTCTTACTATGTGACCAGGGCCTGCTGGAGAGCCGGGTCAGCCGGGTCACGCGCCCGGCTGGGGAACTGCACGACCTGGCTGAACAGATAACGCCGGGTCCAGTCTGACCCGGCTAAAAAATGTCTCAAACTGACAATGGATTCCAAAAATACCGGGATTTTACGACTCGCGGGCCCCATCTGTTGCAAATCTAGCCCAACCGTACACACTACAGACTACTAGTACAGTCTACAAGCGACAGAAACTCGGCTTGGGTCAACTGGGGTCAACTGGTTCGAGCGGGATCTGGTCAGCGGCGAGCAGGAAGTCAGGACATTGAAAGTCGACGGGGCAGGCAGTCAAAAGCGTAACTTTGGATAGCTTTTGACACAGTTGCAAGTTTTGAGAAGGCTTTTTGGTTGTTTTTCTGCCGGATGATCTGACCCGGCTTGACCCGGCTGGCCTGCATGCGCCAGGTACACTCTGACCGGGCTGTGTTGAATGTCTAGAGCAGGCCCTGTATGTGACGATGTTCCACTGATGATGGTCACACGAAAACGTTCTGGAATTGTTTCATTTTAATTGTTTATACATGGTTATGAGTGCACAATTGATATTTTACGACTGTTGTCTCCTCGTCGGTTATATATCATTGCTATTTTACGACTGTTGTCTCCTCGTCGGTTATTTAAACAATAATAATAATAATAATAATAATAATATAAATTTGAAACTCGGGTATTGCGCCAATAATAAAAGTAGAAAGGTAAAGGACATATGGAAACATATGGAAACGAGTTAAGTGTAACTCTCCACCACTTTAACTAGATACTATGGAGATGTGTTGAAGCTAGATGTCAGGACGTCGAATGTTTCAGTACTCTGTCAGTTTTGTGCCTAGTTGTTGCACTTTCTGACTGTATATAGTATCTAGCTAAAGTGGTAGAGAGTTACACTTAACTCGTTTCCATATGTCCTTTACCTTTCTACTTTTAATAATAATAATAATAGAACTTTGTAGAAGATGAAAATAATGTCCAATGACTTCATGTCGATCCAGTGTTTTGGTGAAACGAACTGATTTCGTAGTTCGTGACCACCTATGTTTCGTTGATGCAGATAAAATGTGCAAAAATAATCAGCACGTAATTTCGAGCATTTTGACATACATATCAGTACATGGGACTGCATTTGGATAATTAGAAGTTCCGGATAATTCGAATTTAGGGCCTGGCAATTTCAGGTTCGAATTAGAGGGAGTCTACCTGTACATGTACGCTAAAATTGATGTTCCTAATCGATTTTCTTGAGACTATTATCAGCATCCAAGTATTCTCATTGATCATTTCGTAATGTTCGCTTCGCTTATACTGTTTATCTTATAACGAGTAGTATCTACTGCCCAGACGTGAATGTACGTGTTTCGGATGTCAGTGGATTTTGATCATTGTCTGCCAGTGAGTTTGGTCTTGTAACCAATGTCGTACTAACAAGGGTACAGCTGTAGCAACAAATGTTGCTAATCGCTCCATTGCTCACTCTTGCGGTCTTGTTCTTACACACTAGCACGCCGTAGATAGAATCCTGTAGAGTTTGTATATTTTTAGTACATTGCCAATGTGCTTCTCCATATCATAACATCCTATCTACTTGCTCTAGAAACGAAGTCTGGCGCCCGTGGAGAGCTTTCGCTACAGTCCATTCATAGGAAAGTGGTACCCTATTCTTTTGGTGGGACTCCAGTTACACCACATATTCTGTCAAGTGAGAAACATTCGCTAGAGATAAAATGTCACTATTTTCGCGACCATCACACATTGGTGAATATAAATCACCGCAAACTGCTCTGTACATTGATTGTAGACTGTAACAGATCCAAATGAAGAGATAAAATCGCCAAAGTTTCTCATCGTGAACCAGCCCAATCCATGAAAACGCAAACTTTGCGCACCGCGAAAGTTAATCGCTTTACAGTGCATGCACTTATAGCTATCATGAAAACAACAGTTCATCCTGCATTGCGTGGAACGTGCAATTATTCCTAACCGAATCTGATACCAGAAAAGTCAAAGGACACAGGGAATTAGAAAATCAGCCTGGTTTTACCAAAATTTGGACAGGTACTCCATAGCAAAATGTGTGGAGAAGCGGATTCAAAACCCGGATTTTTGTGCCTCAATTCTGTCAAAAATTGGGCTTTCAAGAGCCAACAAGACTGGCTCAGGTGAATGGACTGTTGCGTCGTTGATCCCGAGAGCAGATCTGATGTACATTTCACCTAATACTTGTCCAAGTGAACGTGTGGTACTCTTTAACCCAAGCATCAACCATCTTCAAGTTTACTCATGGCTTTACCAACGATGTCATGGCTTAACCAACGATGTGCACATTCTACTGTTTGTGTACTGTCGTTCTGCAGAAGAGTACGTAGACAATCTTCTGATACTTGATCCAGTCAATTATCCGGCAATGAATTTTTCCAGGGCCGCTTCATTATGTTCTCAGCTAGGGTTAGCGATACCAAGTAGAACGGAGGAAAAAGATCTGATTGTCCAGGCAGCCAGAGATTCGATAATCAGTGACTTTGTGTGGTTCCGGATGTTTGCCGAGCCAAAAGGGCTGAGAAAGGTATTCCATGCCCAAGCTACTGCGTCCCGCGAAGATTTGCATAATGTTGCCTGTGCAAGTAAGTATGGCGTGCTATGCTCCAACGCTATGTGTTATATGCTACATGTGTGCCGGCAGGCGATTTAACCATGTTCAGATAGAGTTCAGGCGTATAGCTCCTGCAGAGCCAGCACAATCCGGTCAAAGCACCAGCAAATGGCCGTCATCCAGTGCTGCTCAATGAAATCCAGTCATGTCACTCAAATTTGCGCCTTCTTTTGCAGCCCAGTGTTGTCAGGTCTAGGGCTGGGCAACGCCCCGGCGCGTACCTGAGTGCCGCGGCTGGATTTCATTCAGCAGTGCTGTAGCACAGCAGTCAGACCTCGCTTATCCGGTCCTCTTTTATCCGCACCCCTCGCCATCTGGAAGAAAATCGTTGGTTACCGATTTACAGCATATACCTTGCATGTATATATACAGCATGTGTGTTCGATTATCCGCTTCCCTCGCCTATCCAGATATTTTTTTGTGGAAACGGATACCGTATTTCCTCGATTATTAGACCCGGTCTTCTGTTTTTTGAAGAGGGTTGGACCCCCGGTCTCTTATTTGGGCATGGTCCATTATTTGAGCACGGTCCACTATATTTTCATCGGCACATCGCTGGAAATGGTGGATTTTTAACACGTCATAAATTGACATAATATAGAAGTTCTATATTATGACGTTATATAACATCCACCATTTCCAGCAACGTGCCGATGAAAATATAGTGGACTGTGCTCAAATAATGAAAGAAAGCACTAGCCACTACAAAAATTGTAGTTGCGCAACCTAAAACCGCGTCCTTTTTTGATCCACCACGTGCTTTCTTAGTGCGCATGCGCAAAGTGATGAACTCAAATAAGAGACCGGGTCTCTTATTCGGGTATGGTCTACTATTTTTCCGTGAGGTCTCTAGGAGGGTCTACTATTTGAGCATGGTCTATTATTTGAGCATGGACCATTAATCGAGGAAATATGGTATGTGCGTTTATGCGAGGTCTGTCTGTTTTATAGTCAAAATAGGCGAAATGGCAGGTATGGGGTTGCCGATGGCACAAAATTCTCACACTGCAGATCTATGAGTAGGCAAACATTTGGTAGCCATGTGTTAGGAAAAGATCATGTTTCCCGGATCACACCGGCAACATCGCATACAACAAATACAACAGTGGTATTAGATGTTTGCACTTGACCCTACAATATCACACAACGCTTGAAGATTTCAGCAGCGAAACAGTTCACTAGAAAGTTAGAAACACTCCACAATTGCAAGTAGTTCCTGTCATCCTTTGGAACAAAGCGAGACTTATTATTATTATTATTATACGCATTCCCGCGTAGAAGTGTAGCAGCAGTATGCTGCGTCCACAGCTTCGCTTATGCTGAATGGCTTGGGTGAGAGGAGAGGGGAGAGAAAGCAACAAGGCAACCAACATCTATGAAATTGGTCACAATAACATGAAGAGAACCAACCTACATATGCATGATTGCACAAGAATGGAGACGACCAAATATAATGGCTATAATCATTGTGCCACAAAACCGGTACACAGGAGATCTGACGACAATGTAACGAAACATAAAACTCAGTTACTCAATACAGGTTCCACTAAATTACAAGAGAACAACGCTACAACGTTAGAATTGCCGCTAAATTATCGCAAGTGTAGAGAACGAGTCCAATACAAATGAAAACCATGAACAGACTGTCCCGAAGTTATTTTGGGAACAAATTGTACTACATGACTGTACTTGCTTATACTGACGCTGACGGAACACGAATTTGAGTTGAATACTCACGAAGTCTTGTACATGCACATCATTATGCATTATGCGAGACTTGACAGGAGTAAAACAAAATTTATGGAGCCCGGTCGGTGAACTGTCTTTGTCTTCTGCAAGCGTCATTTGGTGGTTTTGGGTAAAATGAAAACGCTATTACTCCTACTGTATAATATGAGCCGTCAGATGAGAAAACAGACCTTATCGAAAAACTGTACAGTGCAGAAAAGTGCACTTGAAAGTGGGCGAGTTTACCCACTGGTGCGTCTGGACAACCAAGCTACAAACCGTCGTATTTCAGTCAAATATCGGTCTTTTGGGACAATCCAAGTATGTAAATCGAAGAGAAAACTCCAAGGAATCCAATGCAGCAAGCGCGATCATGGCACGATGCTGCGTTCCCGAGATGCGAAGCCCGCAAGATACGTCACGGCACTTTGCATTTCTACACGCGAGTCAAACGCTCCAGACCAGGGATTTCCCCCTTTTCAAGCGATCTACGATCTCGGCAACAGGCTCAGACGTCTTGGAAGCGCTCACTGCATCTTCAAGAAAAAAATTGGGCGTCCTGCATAATGGAGATGGAAATGGCGAGCGATTTTCGTGTGACGGCGCAAGTCTAGCGCTGAAGCGATGTCTGTAGCTTGTTGCGCTGGAGCTGTGCTTTGTTTGCTATCGGATTTGGGCCCAACGGGTTGCTTGTAGCCAGAGCTTTCCAGAAAGCCCAAGTTTGTGGAAATCGGTCAAAGGAAACAGAAAATATTATCCAAAGTAGGTGAAACAATTGTTGGTATTGCACCCAAAATTGAGGTGCAATTTGTAATGGTCTCCTACTGTCGAGGCTATAACTTTACTTTCCCTGGTCCAAATCAACTCTAGTTTTCTGCATACGATTCCTGGTGCTCCTGGCAATCAGATAGCACCACAAACAAAAATATGACTTTTTTGTGATAAGGTCTGTTTTCTCATCTGACGGCTCATATAGTGTAAATATACACAGACCGAACAAAGATGTCAGCAACGATTTAACAAATACAATATCAACACCATTCTCACGTTGACAGTCAACGAGAGAACAGACACTTAGCATCATATGTGTGTTGGATTCTGTTCCGCTGGGATGTTATGACTTTCCCCTGGGCGTTCGTGAAAAACAGAGAGCAGCTGCAATTTACCCCCCCCCCCCCCCCCCCCCTCCTCCCATGAGTCTGTTTGCACCCAGGTACACAGACGTGCTGCGTACCGTGCGTTTCAAGTCAATAAATAATGACCTCCAAAGTACAAATACCACACAGAGAGTAGTATGAATATGATCCTTGCCCTGCATGGAATCAAGAGTACATAACCCCCAAGAGTGTGCAACTCCCACGTACCCTGCTGTCCCGACAGAATTTCAAGTTGACGTCGTTATTTATGACGCAATGCTCCTTGCACCAGTGATTTACAACAAGTGTACGGGTGTCAACGCATCACACGTTCTTCTTTGCAATAATTTGTACAGGATCGATCGGCTTCGGTCAACCACAGGTTCCGGATTCGTCTGATAATCCATGTACAGTGCGCATTGCATCGGACAGCACCCATAGTCGAGTTGCACACTCTTGGGGGGTTATGTACTCTTGATGGTATCATCCAGGACATTTGCATTGCAACAAGCTAATCACAGCCATAAACGGTCCACTCTTGCCTGCACAGCTGTAGAACTGTACCAATACAGTCGTCCTTCTTTAATCCATCACTTTACAAACCGGCAGCACCCTCTATGAACCAGCACAATTTTCAGTAGCCAAATAATTGCAAAATAAATTCGCCCAAAAATGGCTTCTTCATGCAAATTGCAGCAGTAAATCAGATTTGTTTATCCTGCACACTCGGTAATCCAGCACAATTTCTGAAGCACAAATGGTGCCGGATTATAAGGGACCAGTATCGTTCAAACACATAATAAAGTACGTCGACGACAGTGTCCTGTCTGGCTAGAGTCTCCCACCTTGGTTTTACACTCAGGGGATGGAAAGCGGTATGGCTGAGCTCAACTAACTGTGTTTTGTACGATGTGAGAACCCTAGTGTTTTAAGGTCACACCGGGTGTGTGTGTGTGGGGGGGGTGTGTGGGTGGGGGGGGGGGGGGGGGGTGTGCACGCACGAGCTTGTATGTGTGTGTGTGTGTGTGTGTGTCATCGCTGCTCGCGGACTTGTAGTCGTCCGACCGTTCAGGACCGTCAGGGTTTCATGTGTGTTTGCGCCTGCTCCCGCCGATTTCGCTTACCGCATCACCTGGATCGTCACAGGGCTGTGTGCTCCTCCTCTCTCTCAGCTGCCCCTCCGGGGCCCACGTAACCTTCATGGCAGTGGCTCAACAGGACAGGACAGGTGTGTGTGTGTGTGTGTGTGTGTGTGTGCGCATGTGTGTGGGGTGTGTGTGTGCGCACGTGTGTGTGTGTGTGTGTGCGTCTTTCTTCTCTTTCTCGGACTCTTCCTGACTTTTCTTTCATTCTCCTGGGTGGTTACCAACAGCCAGTGTATGCCGGCGTATGTGGTGTGGTGTGTGTGTAGAAAAAAAATGGAAAAATGAAAAATAGGGATTCACTGGCCAGAAAAAGTCACTTCAAACAGCTGTGTGGTGGATACCAGGCTAAAAATAGTGGCGGTCAATTCATCAGCCTTGCAAGCTGTTGAATGGTGTAATCCCAGCACAAAGTGCTATGTCTAACATAGCTGTTCGCTATCATCGCTTCCGCGATGGGCAGGTCTGAGGTCTGAGGTGTGCGCGTGCGTGTGTTTGCAAGGCATGTGTTCTTTGACCAATAGACGGTATGCAATTGCACCATCAGTTAACATGCTGTGCTGTGGCAAAGTCACGGACTCGCTGCACATCACTGCACACCCTCCCCCCCCCCCCTCTCCCTCCCCCCCCCCTTCCCCTGGCACTACCTACTCACATTGTAAATTTTGCACCCAGTAGACATTCACTTGGCCCCCAATAAAACAATCCGCCGTTAAATCATCAGAATTCAACCGCTATAGGCAGGACACCACCTCCGGTAAATGGACACAAAACGACGACGTGGTGGGACGCTCTCGCTGCACTTCAAGGCGCGGGTCGAACTAAACTCTGCTGCCCTCTCTCTCTCTGCTCTCCTGTTGCAGGATATACTGGATGCGCATTTGGTTGTGGCCAGAATGAACACTGCTCCAAGGACGGGTCGTGTGAATGTACTTTGCCCTACTATAGAGCTGAGAGGCGGTTGTGCCAACGTAAGGTTTAGTGCTTCCCTGCCTCGATGACTTTTTGCCAAAGCATATTAAAATTTAATATCTTATCATGGCTTGTGTTATCATACTGGTGTTGTTACATGTTCTTGTTCTTTCAGGCATACAGCAAAACCTGTAACTAAAGACCACCCTGGTTAGCGACCAGCCTGATACTACAGGCCACTTCGCCAGGCATGGACGGCGTCACATTCATAATTATACAGCATTATGGTTGCGTGGTGCAAACCTCTAACTAAGGACCACCTGCCACTAAAGACCGCTTTCTCTGGCCCCAAGGTTTTATTGTACATTGAAAAGCCGGAAAATTTCGGTGGAGATTTATTTTCGGAATTAAACTTCGGTACAGGGAATGTTTACCTAAAATATACCGCGACCTAAGAATTCAACAACGCCATACCACACAGTTGTCAAATACATTTTTGTACAGTAAAACCTGGTGTAAGCGGCCTCTGTGTTTAGCGACCACCTGCTCTTAACGACCGTTTCTCCATGCACCCACAGTTCTACACAGACACTGTGGGACCTGGTTCCAAAGACCACCTGGCTTTAACAACCGCTTTTGCTTGCACCGTGGGGTGGTCGCTTAAACCAGGTTTTACTGTATCTGGAAAACTGATTTGCCGAAAATGTCACGCCACCCAACCGTTGATTTTGGGAAATGCCAATAATATTACACCACCGAAACTTTCCGGTTTCACAGTACCGTTATTTTCTCTGAATATTAGTCTACCTTAGCTGCCAAGTGCAAGGAACTTACAGTTGAGCACGACTTTCTACTTGTGTGCATATTATTGTAACATAATTAGCTAACAATATTGAGATGCCTTTTGTTGGCTCTTCTGCCTGGATTTCATTGACAGATGCGATCCTTCCATGAGTGACATGCGAACTGTACCTATTATTAATAATCTACGTGGAACTCGGGTATAGAGCCAATAATAAAAGTAGAAAGGAAAAGGACATATGGAAACGAGTTAAGAGTAACTCTCCACCACCGTAACTAGATACTATAATATACAGTCAGAAAGTGCAACAATTAGGCACAAAACTGACAGAGTACTGAGACATTTGACATCCTGACACCTAGCTTCAACACATCTCCGTAGCGCTAACCGACAGCCTTCCAACTTGGAAGGTTCAAGGTTATGGAAAGACCAAAGAGGGGAATGCAAGCGCAACGAAAAGGAGCACAAGCTATAGTCCCGACGGAACAAAGAATGTCGATTGTTACTGGACGGTGCGAGAAGGAATTGTACAAGCCGAAAGCCAAACTCCTATAGTACTCCTCATGCATGACATTGTGATGGACTAGTTGACTACAAAACAAGTTGTTTCACACGACGTACGTTTCGCCGTAAGGTTCATGACGGCTCATCAGGTGTGCAATTTGAAACTCGGTTATTGAGCCAATAATAAAAGTAGAAAGGAAAAGGACATATGGAAATGAGTTAAGAGTAACTCTCCACATTCGACATCCTGACACCTAGCTTCAACACATCTCCGTAGCGCTAACCGACAGCCTTCCAACTTGGAAGGTTCAAGGTTATGGAAAGACCAAAGAGAGGAAGGCAAGCACAACGAAAACGAGCAATAAAAAAATAAATCAGGAAAATACGGCATGCGTATACCTGTACTACTTGTTTTATCCGGAAATATAAAAAATATGAAAAGGCGACGAGGTGACAAGAGTTGAGGGATTGCAGTAAGCAGATAACAGCTGAAGCGTCATTGCACGAAGAATTTTGTCCGTGGCCACTTTCTCTAGAATTTCTTCGTGCCACCTCAATGTAACGTTCGTGAAATGACGCTTCAGCTAGTTCTGTTTATTGCAATGTCTTACCCCTGGGGTACTATTTTGTAATGTTCACCACAGATGGGGCAGTATTCGAGAGAGTACGGTGTATTGTTGACACCATGTGTAGGATACAGTGCTGAGAGGGATAGAGAGAAAAACCTCAATAAGAACTGAGGCGCAGCCTATTAAAACAAGGCTGAGGCATTTGCGGTAATGCATTAGATCAACTGTGCACTCCTTACAAGAAGAATAGCAATAATGGCGTTCAGAATGTTTTCTCATGACATCTTCAGTCGAAACTCGTTACGTAGTGTGCAGTGTCTAAAACAAACAAATAGCCCCTGAGACCTGCATTCTTTGCTCTACTACACTCATCCAGTGCACAGTAGACCAGCAGTCTACAGTCACACATTATCATTCTGGTCTGCCACTGTAACAATAGGTCCTGATAGGACCCACACCTTCCACAGGGGCACCTGTATTTTAAAGGCCCGATATTTTCATCATAGCCAAGGAGCTGTGGCATCATTATTTTATGATCTACAGCAAGAAGGCAGCAATGCCTGTACCTATGGTGAAGTAAAATAAAGGCATCATAACATATGCTGTGCTGTAGGCCCGCTGTGGAATTCTGCCTGATGATGGCGTAATGCATGAAACTCCGAGCTGCAAATGAGGTCTTGGTAGTTTTGTGTTGGAACTGATTTGGTAGTAATAGCTCTATCGATAGAGCATTTTTATGCAGTGGATCGCCACCTGCTTTTGTTAAAACAAGCAATTATGCAGTCAGATTAGTTTAACCCAACACAGCTGGAAATATGGCAGCATGCAAGTGTGAATAGTGTCTTGACAACATTGGCGTGTGTTTCGGAAGTGACTGTGAGGAAGCTAGTGGCAAATGAATGGATAATGCGAAAGCGTGTAAGGGGACTGCGTGTGTGAAAATGATGATGCATGCAGTGTATTATTTGAAGAATGTGAGTGCTACATTTTCTTTCATCTTCTTCCTGTTTGCATAGAAGATGGCCACGTGCATCAATGTAGACAGCTCCCAAACTTGCAAATGCTTTTTTAAGCAAAAAGAAATGTGCGCAACGGATAACACTAAACGAGGAATCATCAAATACCGTACGACACTCGGGAACATATACGATCACAGTACCATTGAGAACCATGGCAAAATCTGGTGTCTCTGGTACCTTACATTGTAGATTCATTCATTGCCACTAAAGATTGGAATAGGAAAATCGATCGATGGAATACACACACCTTTTAACTCCAAACATAGACATGTTGCATGATCATGCACGCAGCCCATATACAGTCTGTTGCTGCAGACAAACGTCATCTCCATGTAGAAACACTTCAGCCTTAAAGACCCTTAACACTTTACCGACTGAGCTTTATGTCCGTGGAGAATTGTGCCCTCAAATTCTTTACCTTAAATCAGACGTGACTTTGTTTTCCCTGGGACAGCTTTCCGAATGATCATCTTGGGCATCTTGGAAAGCCCCTGACGAGAGGAACACTATCAACTCAACCTCTCAGCTGAGATTATTTAAAAGAGAAATCCTTGGAAAGATTGGCAGCTGTGGCGCTTGTGTGCCCTGACCTGTGTGCCTTGCTTCTCCTGTTACGCTACAGGTTCATTCCACAATCCAGATCATTGTGTGAACACTACGCTACGCATTCCACCGGGCTATTTCTTTGAGCCGGTGACGTTATCGGACGCCCAGAACATGTGCCGGGCGTCCGGAATGGAATTGCCCACGACGAGATTGCTATATGGAAACCATGTTGTGGCTGTTTGCCTCTACCTCATGGTGCAGAAATACAAGTTTGCAATTTCCAGCGAGCCCTCCGCCACATCGACCGGTGTTTTCATACACACCACGCACGCCACCTCCGGTGACATTTTTACTAGTTACTACCACACCGGCACATGGAACTTGCTTAATACACGATCTTCGCACCACCGTGTTATCTGCGCAGGTGAGATTAAGCCTTGCATATATTTTTACCACTTCTGATGCTATGTCAATAAAGCTGGCAGAGGAATATTACCAGTAACAATACTTGACCTACCCGTAACCCCTTCGTTGTTTCAAATTGTTGGTGTGCGCAATGGCTACTGTGGGTAGCCACGTGTCAACTCAGAGCGCATGGGGGAGAAGAGGAGCAGAGATTGCTGAACTACTGATGGATACCGTGTCACATGTGCTTTTGAAGCGCTCGCAACCTCAACTTCAGCATCACCCTTCTTCTGTCTTCCTGTCATTTATTTCCTTTTCTCCTTTTCTTTCATTCCATATTCGCCATATGCGCCCGGGTCCCGTTTAATGTGCGAAGTAAAATGAAGTAGAACACTCGTTGTATTATTATGTACGCTATCCTATATGCACCCACCAGCGTGCATCTGTCTTATTGTACGCAGCTTACATCAGCTTACGTCATGCACTGGTATTTGGCATGCACGCATGACTACACATTGAACAAGCTGATTCCGTTGTGCTGTTCTTTGTTTTGTTGTTCTTTTCCGCTCCCTCCTCGATGGAGACTACTAGTATTTTGTAAGAATAAACCAATATGTTTATCACAAACACAAACAAACAAACAAACCCTTGGGCTCCAAAAGAGACCTCCACTCGACAAACAGCGTCTCCGGTGCACCGCACAAGTAAACACGCGCCCAGTATACTGCAGCACAGCTCTCTGCTCTCTACACAGTGCTTTAGTGGAGCTTAATGCTGTTGGTAGATCACTTACTCTCTATTGGTCTGAAGGCCCCGGATCCAAATGTACAGAGATTATCCACAAGCAACACTGACCTAGAAGAGAATTGCGCACTTGGGCCTGCAGGCACCTCCAGGCAAAGCTTCACATTCAATATCCGACCAGAACATTTTCAAAACTGCGACCCAAATTCGTATTTGGATTCCAACCGCACAGAATTATAATGAATCATTTTTTGGCCGTCATCCAAAAAGTGATGAAAATTAATGGATTTAGCAAGTTTTGCATTCCGGCTCTTCACCAGTAGACTGTGCAGAGTGTGGGTGCTATGCGTTGTGTGTAGAGTACTGTGTGCAGAGTGTGGGTGCAGTGTGCAGAGTGTGGGTGCTGTGTGCAGAGTGTGGGTGCAGTGTGCTGTGGGCAGTGTGCGGTGTGCAGTGTGCAGTGTGCAGTGTGCGGTGTGCAGTGTGCAGTGTGCGGTGTGCAGTGTGCTGTGTGCAGTGTGCAGTGTGCTGTGTGCAGTGTGCCGCGTGCAGTGTGCCGCGTGCCGCGTGCAGTGTGCTGTGTGCAGTGTGCTGTGTGCAGTGTGCGGTGTGCAGAGTCGCAAATCATGAGCACCCGCTGGGGCGTTTTTACTGAATCGGCATACTCGCTTCATCTGATCTGATGTTAAGTGTGTGCGCTGTTGTTCACGTTTTCTTTTTTCTTCCTTTGCAGAGTATACGTATTGTGACCCGCCGGCTCCAGAGTCAAACAAGCGAAATTTCGCGTACGTCAATGGTAGTTACTCTCGCGGCACAGCAGAATGCAACAGTGGTTACAGTTTACAAGGCGACTTGCCAATGAGGTGTCAGGGTGGCAACCGATGGAGTACAGTGTGTGTAGGTAAGACAGTGCAGAATGAACGATGGGCTAAACTTGGTCTTTTCACATGTGGACATTAAAGCTGTGTAGACCGAGGCTAGTGCTGGTGCGTCACTGAAGGTAACGTATTTTGCATACGGCTGCGGGAATAAAGTCATTTGTGACTCTACTCAATCTGTCAGTGATGGGGAATTAAGCGAAGGTGAGTCTTGGCAATTCTGAGTTTGACTCAAGCCGTGTCCGTTCTATTTTATACGGTCGCAGAACAGGTCAAGAACAGTAAATACTGTTTGTATCCACTGCGAATCACTGGACGAAGGTAGTTCAGCCTATGTACAGCGTCTTCACAACAGAAACTGCTGGCGGAATGAGCAGAGAGTTCAGTTTGCGTCGCTTTCGCTCGACTTACTTTTGACCCTGCGTCGCTGTCGTCATCTGCTGCACGCGAGTCGTCATCTCTCTCGAGTCGTTTTTCTGCTTGTTTCGGCCGTGCCTCGGCTTCTTTGATCACACTCCGCTGAACTTCATGTCGCCGTCGTTCAAGTAAGTTGGTTTTCAAGTTGCGTGATCAGCCGCGATGGCGACTACTGGTTAACACCAGGGAGACGTAAAAATATTGTACGACTCCCTAGTTTCATCTTCGCTCTCCAGAGCTTCGCGAAACCAGGCGTACAGGCACAGCCAAACTGATTCCAATTTCTATGATTGCTACTTCTGCCAGCACTGAACGGCAGCGGCCAGCAAGACCAGTCGACTTACTGTAGCCACAAGGCTCGCGTCGGACTGCAGACTTCTGAATGAATGCATGGGATCAGCATTCGAATCTGGGCTTTGTGCAGGTTGAACAAGAACTTGAATTCAGAATTATTTCATTACGCCGTGCGATCGGAGCAGCTCCTTGTTTACTCGTCCATTGTGTGGGCTCGCTGCTCCGCTCCATCGCTCTCTATCACTCTCAAAATCAGGGCTAGAGTAGTAGAGAGGCCGAGCAGCGCATTATCCCCTCGGAAAAGTGATATTTCATTTTCGATTGCCACGACTGTCATCACCATCGATTCCGCTCGGCCTGTTGTGAAAGGTCGCTTTCCTTGCATCGTACCTCTTTCATGACTTGCCAGGGAAGGCCGAGAAGGTGATCACGACTCATTTCACGGCAGTTTGTGCCCCAACCAGTCCCTCAAAAATCCATCACGAAGTTTTTATAGCGGAGGAAGTAACTGGTGGTGTTAGTGGACATTATAGGGGTTTCTGGAAGGACAACTCCCGACACATCAATGGGAGACAAACATCTCCCGGCACAACAAAGGCACAGTAGTTAATTAATATTTTATAATTCATACTATTACAATAAAATTGATGAGACCTGACCGGTTTCTGCACGTAGAGTGCTTCATCACAGGAATGAAAAAATGTTGTCTCTGACTATAGCTTATATACACAGCAAACGAAATCAACAGATGCAGTAAAAGGTGCAATAGATGCAATGCAGTTGCAACCATAGAGGTAGCAGTAAAAGGTGTAATAGGTGCAATCAAGAGTACATCACACCCCCCCCCCCCCCCCCCAGAGTGTGGAACGCCTGATCCAGCTCTGCATAGGGTCTTGGTCGAGCGTAATCGGATCTTTGCGTCAGAATACCGTACACATCTGAGGGGAGCCCGGGGAGTCGCGGGTACGCTCGGATCAAAAACAACTGTGCCCTGCCTCGAGACCGGCCTTGCGCTGGTGTGGAGTGTACGCATGACATGAGATCGACGTTGCACACTCTGGGGAGGGGGGGGGGGGGTTATGTACTCCTGGTGCAATGCAGTTGCAACGATAGAGGTGTCTAGCAACAATTGTTGTTGAGAGCGAAAAAGCGCAATGCTGCTATAGAATTATACTAAAGAATTCATAAACCGCGGAGCTAAGTGTATAATCCAAGAAAGGTGCGTGAACTGCAGGTAAGGTTAAAAGCTAAAAGTTGTATTTTTGGTTGGTGCCAGAAATTTCTGGCACCAACCAAAAAGCAGAGCTAAATGCTCTGCCGTATGAAGTCATTAATTAATTAATTAATTTTAATAAAACAGCTGCTTTGTTCTTCTAAAGAAAATCTGGGAGTCGACAAAGAATGACTGCTTCAAAAGTGACGAAATGCGGGTGGTATGTAGCGGATGACTTCCGAGTGAAGAGTTGCGGTGTTGCTTCTACCGCTTCAAATATCGGTTTAAGAAAGTCAGGCGGATATCCTCTTCTGAGCCGAGTCCAAAACTCAGCACGGATGGTGAGGACGTCTTCGAGCAGCTGGTTTGTACGATTGTATCTGACCAGCTCCGCATTGATGAATGAGCGTAGATTGGAGTGAACGTGTGAAAGTGTCAGGAAATTTGAGGCCACATGCCAAGTAATGCTCTTTTCTCTCCGAAACTCAACACTTGCAAGCCAGATATGAAAGAAAGAAAAAATCATCAGTCACACCACCAGGACCTCTTGACCTCTTGATTGGTGTGAGTTGCCAGTATGATGCATGCCAGGTATTGATCTATAATAGTTCAATTTTGTTTTCATTGTCCTTTAGTACAACGAAGATTCCTGATGAGTGTTGTACGAAAACTTGTTTGAATCCTCTTTTTCTCTACACCATTTCTTCACATTTTCATCGTTTTATTGCACATTGTCTCCACAGTTTTACATTACATGAATAAAGTGTACACAAATGTCAATCCAGCTTGTAAACCAATAATAATTGTTTTTTATTATGAGTACCAGCCTGTTTTTAGCGAGCAGCGGAGTAATAAATAAAGCACTCTCTGACAGAAACTCACTGCGCGTATGCAAATCCCCAGCATGATCCTGGTAGATATTTGGATTGCGCGCACTCTATCCTTCCTTTGTACGTAAAACGAACACGTGATGTGAGTTTTCGCAGTCGAAGACCCCATATGCAGAGTTGCACATTCTAAGGGGGTTATATACTCTTGATAGTAGGATGCAGCAGCTTCAACTTTGTGTAAACTCGATTGTGTGCCACTTCAACTTTGCGATGCCTCGACTGTGTCGTGCTTCAAGCTATGTCCGACGATTTTCATGCATTATTCTTCTCCCGTTCAGAGAACTCGTGCCCCTCTCCGGCCCTGATTCCCAATGCCGTTACCACCGGCAACAGCACTGTGGCAAAGAATGTTTCCTGCTTGCCTGGCTACACCCTGGCCACCAGTTCACCACCGGTGATTTACTGCCAAACTAACCAGACATGGACATTCTCTGCCTGCGAGGGTAAGTCCCACCGTTTGAACCAGGGTACAGTATTGCACACCTGGTTAAAAAAAAGAGCCCGCTATGAAGAGTGTGTTGGGCTAGTATTTTGTAAGAATAAACCAATATGTTTATCACAAACACAAACAAACAAACCCTTGGGCTCCAAAAGAGACCTCCACTCGACAAACAGCGTCTCCGGTGCACCGCACAAGTAAACACGCGCCCAGTATACTGCAGCACAGCTCTCTGCTCTCTACACAGTGCTTTAGTGGAGCTTAATGCTGTTGGTAGATCACTAACTCTCTATTGGTCTGAAGGCCCCGGATCCAAATGTACAGAGATGATCCACAAGCAACACTGACCTAGAAGAGAATTGCGCACTTGGGACTGCAGGCACCTCCAGGCAAAGCTTCACATTCAATATCCGACCAGAACATTTTCAAAACTGCAACCCAAATTCGTATTTGGATTCCAACCGCACAGAATTATAATGAATCCTTTTTTGGCCGTCATCCAAAAAGTGATGAAAATTAATGGATTTAGCAAGTTTTGCATTCCGGCTCTTCACCCGTAGACTGTGCAGAGTGTGGGTGCTATGTGTTGTGTGTAGAGTGCTGTGTGCAGAGTGTGGGTGCAGTGTGCAGAGTGTGGGTGCTGTGTGCAGAGTGTGGGTGCAGTGTGCTGTGGGCAGTGTGCGGTGTGCAGTGTGCAGTGTGCGGTGTGCAGTGTGCAGTGTGCGGTGTGCAGTGTGCTGTGTGCAGTGTGCAGTGTGCTGTGTGCAGTGTGCCGCGTGCAGTGTGCCGCGTGCCGCGTGCAGTGTGCTGTGTGCAGTGTGCTGTGTGCAGTGTGCGGTGTGCAGAGTCGCAAATCATGAGCACCCGCTGGGGCGTTTTTACTGAATCGGCATACTCGCTTCATCTGATCTGATGTTAAGTGTGTGCGCTGTTGTTCACGTTTTCTTTTTTCTTCCTTTGCAGAGTATACGTATTGTGACCCGCCGGCTCCAGAGTCAAACAAGCGAAATTTCGCGTACGTCAATGGTAGTTACTCTCGCGGCACAGCAGAATGCAACAGTGGTTACAGTTTACAAGGCGACTTGCCAATGAGGTGTCAGGGTGGCAACCGATGGAGTACAGTGTGTGTAGGTAAGACAGTGCAGAATGAACGATGGGCTAAACTTGGTCTTTTCACATGTGGACATTAAAGCTGTGTAGACCGAGGCTAGTGCTGGTGCGTCACTGAAGGTAACGTATTTTGCATACGGCTGCGGGAATAAAGTCATTTGTGACTCTACTCAATCTGTCAGTGATGGGGAATTAAGCGAAGGTGAGTCTTGGCAATTCTGAGTTTGACTCAAGCCGTGTCCGTTCTATTTTATACGGTCGCAGAACAGGTCAAGAACAGTAAATACTGTTTGTATCCACTGCGAATCACTGGACGAAGGTAGTTCAGCCTATGTACAGCGTCTTCACAACAGAAACTGCTGGCGGAATGAGCAGAGAGTTCAGTTTGCGTCGCTTTCGCTCGACTTACTTTTGACCCTGCGTCGCTGTCGTCATCTGCTGCACGCGAGTCGTCATCTCTTTCGAGTCGTTTTTCTGCTTGTTTCGGCCGTGCCTCGGCTTCTTTGATCACACTCCGCTGAACTTCATGTCGCCGTCGTTCAAGTAAGTTGGTTTTCAAGTTGCGTGATCAGCCGCGGTGGCGACTACTGGTTAACACCAGGGAGACGTAAAAATATTGTACGACTCCCTAGTTTCATCTTCGCTCTCCAGAGCTTCGCGAAACCAGGCGTACAGGCACAGCCAAACTGATTCCAATTTCTATGATTGCTACTTCTGCCAGCACTGAACGGCAGCGGCCAGCAAGACCAGTCGACTTACTGTAGCCACAAGGCTCGCGTCGGACTGCAGACTTCTGAATGAATGCATGGGATCAGCATTCGAATCTGGGCTTTGTGCAGGTTGAACAAGAACTTGAATTCAGAATTATTTCATTACGCCGTGCGATCGGAGCAGCTCCTTGTTTACTCGTCCATTGTGTGGGCTCGCTGCTCCGCTCCATCGCTCTCTATCACTCTCAAAATCAGGGCTAGAGTAGTAGAGAGGCCGAGCAGCGCATTATCCCCTCGGAAAAGTGGTATTTCATTTTCGATTGCCACGACTGTCATCACCATCGATTCCGCTCGGCCTGTTGTGAAAGGTCGCTTTCCTTGCATCGTACCTCTTTCATGACTTGCCAGGGAAGGCCGAGAAGGTGATCACGACTCATTTCACGGCAGTTTGTGCCCCAACCAGTCCCTCAAAAATCCATCACGAAGTTTTTATAGCGGAGGAAGTAACTGGTGGTGTTAGTGGACATTATAGGGGTTTCTGGAAGGACAACTCCCGACACATCAATGGGAGACAAACATCTCCCGGCACAACAAAGGCACAGTAGTTAATTAATATTTTATAATTCATACTATTACAATAAAATTGATGAGACCTGACCGGTTTCTGCACGTAGAGTGCTTCATCACAGGAATGAAAAAATGTTGTCTCTGACTATAGCTTATATACACAGCAAACGAAATCAACAGATGCAGTAAAAGGTGCAATAGATGCAATGCAGTTGCAACCATAGAGGTAGCAGTAAAAGGTGTAATAGGTGCAATCAAGAGTACATCACACCCCCCCCCCCCCCCAGAGTGTGGAACGCCTGATCCAGCTCTGCATAGGGTCTTGGTCGAGCGTAATCGGATCTTTGCGTCAGAATACCGTACACATCTGAGGGGAGCCCGGGGAGTCGCGGGTACGCTCGGATCAAAAACAACTGTGCCCTGCCTCGAGACCGGCCTTGCGCTGGTGTGGAGTGTACGCATGACATGAGATCGACGTTGCACACTCTGGGGAGGGGGGGGGGGGGTTATGTACTCCTGGTGCAATGCAGTTGCAACGATAGAGGTGTCTAGCAACAATTGTTGTTGAGAGCGAAAAAGCGCAATGCTGCTATAGAATTATACTAAAGAATTCATAAACCGCGGAGCTAAGTGTATAATCCAAGAAAGGTGCGTGAACTGCAGGTAAGGTTAAAAGCTAAAAGTTGTATTTTTGGTTGGTGCCAGAAATTTCTGGCACCAACCAAAAAGCAGAGCTAAATGCTCTGCCGTATGAAGTCATTAATTAATTAATTAATTTTAATAAAACAGCTGCTTTGTTCTTCTAAAGAAAATCTGGGAGTCGACAAAGAATGACTGCTTCAAAAGTGACGAAATGCGGGTGGTATGTAGCGGATGACTTCCGAGTGAAGAGTTGCGGTGTTGCTTCTACCGCTTCAAATATCGGTTTAAGAAAGTCAGGCGGATATCCTCTTCTGAGCCGAGTCCAAAACTCAGCACGGATGGTGAGGACGTCTTCGAGCAGCTGGTTTGTACGATTGTATCTGACCAGCTCCGCATTGATGAATGAGCGTAGATTGGAGTGAACGTGTGAAAGTGTTAGGAAATTTGAGGCCACATGCCAAGTAATGCTCTTTTCTCTCCGAAACTCAACACTTGCAAGCCAGATATGAAAGAAAGAAAAAATCATCAGTCACACCACCAGGACCTCTTGACCTCTTGATTGGTGTGAGTTGCCAGTATGATGCATGCCAGGTATTGATCTATAATAGTTCAATTTTGTTTTCATTGTCCTTTAGTACAACGAAGATTCCTGATGAGTGTTGTACGAAAACTTGTTTGAATCCTCTTTTTCTCTACACCATTTCTTCACATTTTCATCGTTTTATTGCACATTGTCTCCACAGTTTTACATTACATGAATAAAGTGTACACAAATGTCAATCCAGCTTGTAAACCAATAATAATTGTTTTTTATTATGAGTACCAGCCTGTTTCTAGCGAGCAGCGGAGTAATAAATAAAGCACTCTCTGACAGAAACTCACTGCGCGTATGCAAATCCCCAGCATGATCCTGGTAGATATTTGGATTGCGCGCACTCTATCCTTCCTTTGTACGTAAAACGAACACGTGATGTGAGTTTTCGCAGTCGAAGACCCCATATGCAGAGTTGCACATTCTAAGGGGGTTATATACTCTTGATAGTAGGATGCAGCAGCTTCAACTTTGTGTAAACTCGATTGTGTGTCACTTCAACTTTGCGATGCCTCGACTGTGTCGTGCTTCAAGCTATGTCCGACGATTTTCATGCATTACTCTTCTCCCGTTCAGAGAACTCGTGCCCCTCTCCGGCCCTGATTCCCAATGCCGTTACCACCGGCAACAGCACTGTGGCAAAGAATGTTTCCTGCTTGCCTGGATACACCCTGGCCACCAGTTCACCACCGGTGATTTACTGCCAAACTAACCAGACATGGACATTCTCTGCCTGCGAGGGTAAGTCCCACCGTTTGAACCAGGGTACAGTATTGCACACCTGGTTAAAAAAAGAGCCCGCTATGAAGAGTGTGTTGTGGGTTTTGTTATGATGGACTGATAAGGTACAATAAGTACATGTATGTGAAGTAGAATTCAGAAATGTTTTTCTTCGATGATCATCAGTGAATCTACATATTTTATTCCCGTAGCTATGCAGAAGACATTACTTCAGTAACGTCTGGCGCTAGCCAGGGTCCACACAGCTTTAATTTGGTGTTTGTTTGTTTGTGTGTTTGTGTCACGCCTGGAGCTATCCCGTATCTGTCCCATATCTGTGACTGCAAAGGCTCTACAGGATTGTACATAACAGCTGGCCACAATATTTTGCTGGCTCCGGTATCTGTCCCGTACCGTCCCTTACAAACAGCTGGCCACAATATTCGTCTCCAAAATAAGAGTGAACGAGCAATTCAGCGCCGGTCACAGGAAACGTCGGAAGAGAAATCCCGTCGACTCCAGAACGCCCGTGATCGGCAGAGTCCGCGCCGGTTCCAGGAAACGTCAGGACAGACATCCCGTCGAGTCCAGAACGCCCTTGATCGGGAGAGTCAGCGCAAGTCCCAGGAAACGTGAGGACAGACATCCCGTCGACGCGCAGAAAAACTAAATATGCAGCCTCTCTGCAGGGCGATTCGACACAGCTAGCGCATGTAGCCCTGTCAGGGCCCAAAAGGTCGAGAAATATAGAAAACTGTTTCTCCCCTGCCCCCCCCCCCCCCCCCCCCACACACACACACATACATACTGTACACACACATACATACACACACACACATTTCATTGAGCAACACTGTACCAGGCCACCAAGCCGCTGCATTTAACACTACAATAATAGCAAGAGTATATAACCCCCCAAGAGTGTGCAACACATGATACACTTTCTATGGGGTTCGCCGATGGCAAAAACTCACATCACGTGGTGTAGTGTCGCAGTTGTACGTTTCCAGCCCGTTTTAGCGAGCAGCGGAGTAATAAAAAAAGCACTCTCTGACAGAAACTCACTGCGCGTATGCAAATCCCCAGCATGATCCTGGTAGATATTAGGATTGCGCGCACGCTATTCTTCCTTTGTACGTAGCACGAAACACGTGATGTGAGTTTTCGCCGTCGAAGACCCCATATGCAGAGCTGCACACTCTTGGGGGTTATATACTCTTGATAATAGGATGCAGCAGCTTCAACTTTGTGGCAACTCGATTGTGTGGCACTTCAACTTTGCGATGCCTCGACTGTGTCGTGCTTCAAGCTATGTCCGATGATTTTCATGCTTTATTCTTCTCCCGTTCAGAGAACTCGTGCCCCCCTCTGGCCCCGATTCCCAATGCCGTTACCACCGGCAACAGCACTGTGGAGAAGAATGTTTCCTGCTTGCCTGGCTACACCCTGGCCCCTGGTTCACCACCAGTGATTTACTGCCAAACTAACCAGAAATGGACATTCTCTGTCTGCGAGGGTAAGTCCCACCGTTTGAACCAGGGTGCAGTATTGCACACCTGGTTAAAAAAAAGAGTCCGCTATGAAGAGTGTGTTGTGGGTTTTGTTATGATGGACTGATAAGGTACAATAAGTACATGTATGTGAAGTAGATTTCAGAAACGTTTTTCTTCGATGGTCATCAGTGAACCTACATTTTATTCCCGTAGCTATGCAGAAGACGTTACTTCAGTAACGTCTGGCGCTAGCCAGGGTCCACACAGCTTTAATTTGGTGTTTGTTTGTTTGTGTGTTAGTGTCACGCCTGGAGCTATCCCGTATCTGTTCCGTATCTGTGACTACAAAGGCTCTACAGGATTGTACATAACAGCTGGCCACAATATTTTGCTGGCTCCGGTATCTGTCCCGTACCGTCCCTTACAAACAGCTGGCCACAATATTCGTCGTATTATGGATACGACTCCCTGATGTAGAGGGAGATTTGGAAGGAAATAGGGAGACGAGGAGGAATATAATTTAGAATGGGCGTTAGTTACCGAATAGATGATAGGATGCGTCAGCAAAAACATACTTTGGAAGAGAGATACCGCCGCCTCCCAAATAAGCGTGAACGAGCGATTCAGCGCCTGTCACAGGAAACGTCGGAAGAGACATCAGGACAGACATCCCGTCGACTCCAGAACGCCCGTTATCGGCAGAGTCAGCGCCGGTCCCAGGAAACGTCAGGACAGACATCCCGTCGAACCGCAGAAAAACTAAATCTGCAGCCTCTTTTGCCGTCGGACAGGATACGTATTTTAGGAGTCTGTAAAGTTATGTAATGTGCTCCACAGGCAACCATGCATTCGGCCGTCCTCATTGGCTCAACAGGTCAATGTATTACTACAAAAAGGCCAGAAAATCCGATTACTGTATTAAAATCAACTAAATTTCGCTGGCGATTTGATTTCGCTGATTTCACCACTTGGTACCAACCGGCCAAAGTACAAGTAAATCGCAGGCCAAAGTTTGTCATAGAGGCAAATGATGCATGATTGAGCAATAGATGCATGTGAGAGCAAAAATACCGATCGATTTCTTTTTGGCCAATCGGCCAAAAGTGAAAAGTTTTGTTTCGAGATCGTCCAAAGTTTCGAGATCGGCCAAAATTTGTTGATTTACAGTATAAGGAGATAAAAAGAAAAGAAGGAGCAAACCAAAAGTGGATGAAATTAGAGAAATAACAATCCGCAATAAATTCTGCAAATACTTTTGCCTAACTCATAATATTCAAACTGATTGAAACGTTTTTGCAATACCATGATGTTGCCAATCAACGGAAAAAAAACATTTCCATCAGTTCTAATAACATGTACGATGAGCTAGGCAAGAAAGCATAAAAGCATAGCGTAGGGCCCTGAGCTTCCAAGCTCTCTAGTTTATTTTTTTCATTTTGTCCTCTCACCATCCTTTCAAATACATTCTAAGCTATGTGTGCATTTGAACTGGGATGTTGAGCCAACGTCATCATGGCTAAATACAGGAAGGACAAAATGTTACGAGTTATGACCAATGCGATTGCCAATGTAACCGAAATGCATGCAGGTAAGTATGCCCTTATTTGACGAGAGAGCTTGGAAGCTCAGGGCCCTACGCTATGCTTTTTTGCCTTGATGACTTAGACACAAAAAGCAAAGGGATGTTATAAATTCTTATAAATTTCTACTTTGTGTTTTTAGACATAACCTGGGATTCGAACCCGCACTATCGCCCTGCATGCATCCCCCGATTCACTTCGCCTACATACTAATTCTTCCAAGTTGCTTCACGTTATGATCTTGTATTTGAAAGCCCGATTTGAATATGCATTGTGGCCAGCCGTCTTTGATTGTACGGTATGGTACGGGACAGTTACGGGACAGGTACGCGACAGGTACGGTAGAGGGTAGTACGACACCATCTACCGCCTTGATGACGGCAAAAAAAGAAAAGAGATGTTATACATTTTTCAATTCTCCTATTTTTTTCAGGCATTACCTGGGATTCGAACCCGCACTATCGCCCTACATGCATTCCCCAATACACTTCGCATTCATACTAATTCTTCCAAGTTGTTTCACGTTATGATCTTGCGTTTGAAAGCCCTATTTGAATAGTGCGGCCACCTGTATGTGGCCAGCTGTGTTTGATGGTACGGTACGATACGTGACAGATACGGGAAAGCGCCAGGTGTGACACAAACACACAAACACCAAATTAAAGCTGTGTGGACCCTGGCTAGCGCCAGACGTTACTGAAGTAACGTCTTCTGCATAGCTACGGGAATAATCGTCTCTGGGGTGGTCTGTTTATAACCTGGGACATTCTATACCAGAGAAAACAACACTTCCTTTGCAAACGTGTTCATGTCCCGACTTGGTCTGTACGCCCTACACTCTGCCCTTGCCTTCATGCTATGTACGGAATTCTGAATTCTGTTTTCCTGCAGACAATTGCAACTACTTTAACGTCACGTGTCCTCAGGCTGAGCAATGCTTAAGCACCTCAGGGTCCTACACATGCTGCAAGCTCGGCTATGGACTCGATGCACAGGGGAAATGCGCTCGTAAGTTCCTCTCTGTGACTCTGTTACTCAATCGAATGCACCATGACATGTGCAGTGACTGCAACTGAAATCTGACACATGATTAGCGTGGTCAATATTTTCGAGTGTCTGCTCTGAACGTCGGAGCTCGCGCTTCCTGCCGACTGGCTTGACACTTGACTGACTTACAACTGCGTCTGGAGAACACAAGGAGCACGTCGAACCTTCCATTCTGCAAACCTGCAAGAAAGCACCACTCCCTGCTCGAATACACAGTTTTCATATTATTGCAAAAGGAACCGTAGGGGAAGCAAACTGGCTGAAAAGAGAAAAAAATGCCATACTCGCCAAGACTCGAACCCGGGACCTTGCTTGTCATGAGCAATGCTCTAACCATCTGAGCCACGGGGCTAGGTCGAACCTAGAAGGCACAGACAATACGTTCACTCCAAAGGCAGCTCAGAAAACATGCCACGCATAATGATGGCACCTGGGTCTCTGCATCAGCGCTGAGATTTGTATTTGTATTTATGGATTCTCCACAGGCCTTAGCCTAAATCGAGGGAGTCTCCGTCAACAGCTTATGAAGAAGAAGAAGCTGAGGAGAGAAATAAAAATAAAAGATAGAAAGATGCGGGGTGTTAGTAATTTAACACCGTGCTCTATAGCTTAGCTCACATTCGACGGAACGCTGACGATACGGGACGTAAGGGCTGGGGTGACACGACATACTGCAGTCGTTGCGTCATACAACAGCAAACGGCGACAGTCATAAGGCACGGTCCGTGACAGGGTGACTTTAGGACCTAATTTCTTGTTTTTCGGGACTTCTTTTCAATTATTTCTCCATGAATGAAGCGGAATCAAGTTCACAATACCAGTTTTTCATGACCACCAAAAAAGTAGCTTCGAAAGGTGTGCCATTCAAATAATTGCTACAGGAAATGATAAAACAGTTCGTCTGTCACGCTCCTGAACTATCCCTAAATACCATAAGTGACATCAGACCTAATCTTGCTAAAATTCAACTCAAGTCGTGTTAGCCATTCTGCGAGTTATCATGGGAAGCGCAGTGTTCGAAATGCTAAAAATTTCAAAGTACGAATCGGGAGTAGTCGGCGCACGACGCCGTCTCCTGTTCACACTCAAAATGCAGCTTTTTTGTACGCTTGCGTCCCCGTCTATGCCCGTCTACGGTATGAAAAGTTGGATCGATCCAACTCTTCCCGTCGCTTCCCGATCCGTGCGGCAGTACGGTTGCTTTCCCGTTCCTGGTGTTCACATTAGACGCCGTCAGACTGTCCAGTCGCTTCCCGTCGATCCTTGCGCCGCGCCCCGTCGAATGTGAACTAGGATTATGACATCACTAGTCTATGTGGAGTGAAACCAGAGGGCTCATAACGGGTGATAGCAAAGTGGGTGCAGACAAGAGCGGTAAAACATTTTGGGCTGGATACAGCACGAATGTCAGCCGGGAGGGAGTTCCATGTGGCAGTGGTGACAAAGAAAAAGGTGGTACGGATGTGTGTGCTGGCTCTAGCAGGCGAATCGCGTGTCGTGTCGCAGAAAGTTGTATTGTGAATCGGCCTTTATTCATACCTCGTAACATTTTATCTTTCTTTTTTACCATAATTAAATTGGCCCACCATCCCAGTTCAACTTCGGTACAGGTAATGTTTTACCTGAAATAAAACGTGACCTAAAAATTCAACCATGCCAAGCCACACAGTGTGCAAAATGCTTTTTTGGATCTGGAAAACTGGTTTGGCGAAATTTTCGCGCTACAGAACCGTTGATTTTGGAAAATACCGAAAATACTAAACCAGCGAAAATTCCCAGTTTAACAGTTTATAACATACCGTAAAGTCTTGTACAAAAGTCGCGGCTTCTATGACTTTTTTACTGAAATTTTGCAGGCTTCTATATGAGACAGGCTTCTATACAAGACAGGTATTTCTATGTATGTCAACACTAAAATGTGTGATTTGATTGGCCCAGAAAGGGTGTGGGGAGCAGAAAGGGTGTGGGGAGAATCAGCCACGGCGATCTTAACCAGTCCTTGTCACGTTTGAATGCGTTGGGTTCTTCTGCCATTGCTGTTTCTACATTCTGCGGATTGCAATAGTTATATTTTGTGTTGAGTAGCTGTACATTTGGCTGAGCTTGAATTATTCTTTTGTGGCCATTAGCGAGAGTAAATAAGCTCCAAAGAGTGTGCGACTGTCAATATGGTGTCTCCGACAGCGAAAACTCGCACCAAACGTTTCAGGTTCCCTTTGTACTACGTACAATGAAGGAAAATGAAAACGTCACGTAAATTTCTACATCAGGTTGCTAAGTTGAAGGGCTGTAGGCCGTGTAGACAAACGGATAGTGCTACCACATTCACGCCTCGTGTGTCCCTCTTGTTGCTGGTCTGTAATGTCCTGCATCTGATTGTCAGCTTCTAGTATGCTGCAGTACTGTCAAATCTTATAACGAATTGCTAAATCTAACGAGTTAACGAGGAACACACGCTTCCTGCCGACCTTGACACTCGCGTGCTCCGTCAAGTGTCAAGTTTCCCAGAAGTGTGTGTTCCTCGTTGCAAGAATCAACTTCATGACTTATACCGCCGAAGTCGCAACTTCTAAGAGGAGACCTTTGCTGTAAAAAAAAAAATATTATATATATTCTACAGAAAAAGGGTTTGCTCCCCACACCGGAGCTCGCGCTATTCCGCCGACTTTACTTGACACTTGACTGACTCACGACTGCCATCCACAGCACACGAGAAGTCCATCGAACCTTCGACTCGGCAAACCTGCAAGAAAGCACCACTCCCTGCTCAATACACAGTGTTTCGGGGAATTCACCCCTCATCAGTTGAGCTTGAGTAGGCTGAGGAAGATTGTGCAAACCCTTTTTCTTACAAATCATCGCCGAGGTCGCAACCACTACTTCATATTCTACAGAAATCGATGCTTATACTGTTGTTATTGAGCGTTGAGAATGAGTGAGAATCGTTACCTTTGGTACATGTAAACCGGTCAATTTTAGGAAATTGTTATAATTGCGCCTCGTGTAATAGAATAATGGCTTTTACAGCATCTTTTAATCACACTTGTTAGTGCCTCACTTGCAAATTTTGTTGTTGCCACCTTTTCCATCGCTACTGTTGTGCTCCCGATTTGTATTACTTACATAGTTCTTGTGCACGCCTCTAGGCATTATTCTAAGCTGTTTTCCTTTCTCAAGGTGGGGAAGCTCCACTGCAGCCGCTTCGTTGCACTGAACACCCTACGCATGCCATCCTCAAAGCAAGGGGTCTCTTTCGCTGCAAATCGCTATGTTCACAATCAGGTTTATGACCAGGAACCTCCAGCAGGATATCCTTTCTATCTGTTTGAGTTGTTCATGCAATCGCCTTGGGAAGAAGAGCAGTGGATAACACAGAGCAGGGCTGCAGCTTTCTTTCTGGCCCTGCTTTCATGCACTGAGCAACGTTCTTTCCTTCCGTTTCAGAAAACGTTTGCGGTGCATTCAAAGGACAACCTAATACCGTCTACACCAGGGTCAGCAACGTGGCCAAGAATGTGTCTTGCCTCCCGGGCTTTCGTCTTGCGCCTCACAGCCCATCAACCATCTACTGTGATGGCACTAACTGGACACTCTCTTCCTGCACAGGTTAGTCCAACTCGGGTATAGTTATTATTTCCATTAATGTAGTGTCTTGTATTAAAGCCTCGAATAGAAAAAAGCCTGTTTTGAATGCAAGCCTGACTTTCACAGGGGCGTCGGAAGGAGGTATAAAGTGGTACGGCTCGACAGTCAGAGGGGGTCCGGGGCAACTTCCCCCGGGAATTTTATTTCAAAAAACACTCAAAATACCCCTCTAAGAGGGTCTCCAAAGGTACAAAGTCATTAAGGATAACAAAGAGACAGACTAGATCTACGAGTCATGACGCATACATGCCATGCAGTTCCGTAGTCGACAGTCTAGTCACGCGTTACACGGTGCAGTGACCTGACTGGTGCACCGGTGACGGATCGCGGCTCACGATCACGCGTGGTCATGTACAAACTTGATACCCCCATCTTTTTTACACCGGATTTGGACGTTCCGCGTGGACCACCTTCCGACGCCCTTGTTTCAAGATACACGGTCGGCACACTGGCCTGGTTGACACACATAGAAATACCTGGTTTGAATAGAAGCCTCAGAACTAAATATTGCGACAGAGCTTTCGGCCATATTTTCAATTCATTGCATTCCCAACTCATCACAACCACACGCTCTTCAGCCGAATCATACAGACACCAGCAAGGACACTTCCGTTGAGAGATAATATTGCTCCACGCCTCTAGACAGCTGTTTCGCTCCCTGTCGGAGCTCATCAGTAGAGGATGATAATGATAATGGAGGAATGATCATTCTTATACACCAGAAATGGCGCAAGTGCGCGCTTTCCACATATATCAATGGCATATGCAAGCTGCTAAAATGGTAAAGTGTGAGAACAGCGATAAATAATCATAGTACGCGCTCATTGGTGGAGAAACACACCACACAAGCGACGAAAATTTTACTCGGAATACTGATGCCAATGGAAAGTACATGTATGTTGTTTATTATTATGATGTTGCAATGTCCATGTATGCAGGCGAGGCGAGACTCACCGCCGAGATCCCCCAACGCGACAGGCTCGGTTGCCGTTCAGGATTCACACCGACCTGTCCGCCCGTCAACAGGATCGACAGCGGGAGGCCCCACTGATGCCGATGTCGATGCACACCAGGAAACTTGTAGTCGTGAGTGTGATACTAACAGGTCTAGTAGCAACCACTGACAAACGAGAGGCCAGCTGGGGCATTCACTCCAGTCAGGGATGCTTGGTCGACGCTTCGTATCAGCAGCTCAGCTCAGTTTGATCAAAGATGTTGCAGATGTGTCTTGCTTTCCTCCTTCCTTCTCCACCGACTCGTCTTGTCATCTCTCCTTCTTTCTTCACCGACTCTTCGTGTCCACTCTGCTCTGCCACTAACGGCGCATTAAAACTTCAGATCTAAATATTGCAACAGAGCTTTCGGCCATATTTTCAATTCATTGCATTCCCAACTCATCACAACCACGCGCTCTTCAGCCGAATCATACAGACACCAGCAAGGACACTTCCGTTGAGAGATAATATTGCTCCACGCCTCTAGACAGCTGTTTCGCTCCCTGTCGGAGCTCATCAGTAGAGGATGATAATGATAATGGAGGAATGATCATTCTTATACACCAGAAATGGCGCAAGTGCGCGCTTTCCACATATATCAATGGCATATGCAAGCTGCTAAAATGGTAAAGTGTGAGAACAGCGATAAATAATCATAGTACGCGCTCATTGGTGGAGAAACACACCACACAAGCGACGAAAATCTTACTCGGAATACTGATGCCAATGGAAAGTACATGTATGTTGTTTATTATTAGGAATGATCATTATTATGGCATATGCAGCTTGCATATGCCATTGATATATGTGGAAAGCGCGCACTTGCGCCATTTCTGGTGTATAAGAATGATCATTCCTCCATTATCATTATCATCCTCTACTGATGAGCTCCGACAGGGAGCGAAACAGCTGTCTAGAGGCGTGGAGCAATATTATCTCTCAACGGAAGTGTCCTTGCTGGTGTCTGTATGATTCGGCTGAAGAGCGCGTGGTTGTGATGAGTTGGGAATGCAATGAATTGAAAATATGGCCGAAAGCTCTGTTGCAATATTTAGTTCTGAAGTTTTAATGCGCCGTTAGTGGCAGAGCAGAGTGGACACGAAGAGTCGGTGAAGAAAGAAGGAGAGATGACAAGACGAGTCGGTGAAGAAGGAAGGAGGAAAGCAAGACACATCTGCAACATCTTTGATCAAACTGAGCTGAGCTGCTGATACGAAGCGTCGACCAAGCATCCCTGACTGGAGTGAATGCCCCAGCTGGCCTCTCGTTTGTCAGTGGTTGCTACTAGACCTGTTAGTATCACACTCACGACTACAAGTTTCCTGGTGTGCATCGACATCGGCATCAGTGGGGCCTCCCGCTGTCGATCCTGTTGACGGGCGGACAGGTCGGTGTGAATCCTGAACGGCAACCGAGCCTGTCGCGTTGGGGGATCTCGGCGGTGAGTCTCGCCTCGCCTGCATACATGGACATTGCAACATCATAATAATAAACAACATACATGTACTTTCCATTGGCATCAGTATTCCGAGTAAGATTTTCGTCGCTTGTGTGGTGTGTTTCTCCACCAATGAGCGCGTACTATGATTATTTATCGCTGTTCTCACACTTTACCATTTTAGCAGCTTGCATATGCCATTGATATATGTGGAAAGCGCGCACTTGCACCATTTCTGGTGTATAAGAATGATCATTCCTCCATTATCATTATCATCCTCTACTGATGAGCTCAGACAGGGAGCGAAACAGCTGTCTAGAGGCGTGGAGCAATATTATCTCTCAACGGAAGTGTCCTTGCTGGTGTCTGTATGATTCGGCTGAAGAGCGCGTGGTTGTGATGAGTTGGGAATGCAATGAATTGAATAGAAGCCTGATGTGAATAGAAGCCTAGCCCTTACATCGGCTTCTACTGGAATAAAAAATAAAAAATAAAAATAAATTAAAAAAAATTCGACGGGTTCGCGTACCGGGCAGGTCAAGAACAAGGAGTCGTACAACTCCCTGGTCAAGAACCACCTTTCCGCTTCCGTGGGACGCCACCACCCCATGATCAGGCGTCAGATGCGGCTCCTAAATGGTGGGGGAGGATAGATCAGATCCACCAACCATAGGCCAAAGGCCTAAATCCCATTCTACTGGAATAAGCCCGACTTCAATACGTGGCATTACGGTATTTATAATAACAAGAGTGCCTGAAAACCAGAGTGTGCAGCTCGGATGGGTTGCTGTCACGGCGGAATTCCGTGATTACCTTATTTTAGTGATGTGTGCAGCTCGGATGGGTTGCTGTCACGGCGGAATTCCGTGATTACATTATTTTAGTGATGTGTGCAGCTTGGATGGGTTGCTGTCACGGCGGAATTCCGTGATTACCTTATTTTAGTGATGTAGCGCATACAAGCTTTGAAGCAGTATCCAAGCGCGTCTCTCGGTGTACAACTGCAGCTCAGTTGTACGCCCTACGCCATTTCCCGCCTCAGATCTGCGCCAAATATGATGTAAAAAATGCTATTTTCCGTGGTTGGATTCACCCTCCCTTTCTTGTATCGGCTATGTATTATTATGTGCCATGAAGTGGAGACGATAAATAAATAATCACGGAATTCCGCCGTAGAAAAGGCTCCACACTCTGGTTTTCATGTACTGTTGATAATAATTATCCTATCCGCGATTGCAATTAACCGAATTGCGTTACAGATCCTTTCAATGTTCTTATCTTTCCTTTTCCTCTTCCACCTGTACTTCTCCTTAGTTTCCTCTTTTCTCTTTAGCTCTTCTCTTGTACCTTCTTGCTATGATTCACTGATGTGGGTGTTGAATAAATCATGGATTACACAACTCGGGGTACTGAGCCAATAGCCAAATGTAAAAAAATAAGCAAGCACACACACGGGTTACTACGAGTTATGAGTAACTGTCCACTGCTGTAACGAGATAATAAGATGACCTTTCCTTCGATCATTGGTCTTACTATAATCTTGAACTTCCCAAGCTGGACGGTTGTTGATTTGCACACTGGAGGTGTGTGAGAGCTAGGTCTCAGGTCGCTGAATGGCACAGTATCGTGTCAGTTTTGTGCCCGGTTATTGCACTTTCTGACTGATTATTACCTTGTTACAGTCGTGGATAGTTGCTTCATAACTCGTTTCCATGTGATTTCTTCTATTTTTTTAATTATAATCATTTATTGGCTCAGTATCCAAGATAATACGCAGTCAGAAAGTGCGATAACCGGGCACAAAACTGACACGTTACTGTGCCATTCAGCGACCTGAGACCTAGCTCTCACTCACCTCCAGTGCTCAAACCTCTTTTACAATGTCATTTACGTTTGGCTCAGTACCCGAGTTCAATTTTGCATTTGATAGTAAAAAAATTGAAGGGCCTTAACCTAGCTCGAACACATCTCCATTGTGCAAACCAACAGCCTTCCAGCTCCAGGTTCAAGGTTATGGTAGGACCTATGAGGGGATGGCGAGCGCAGCAAAAATGTGCATAAACTATGTCCCAAGGCAAACTAAGAATGTCAAATATTACGGTATTCTGTCATTTTTGGGCTGACCAGAGTTCCCCGAATATACCGTAAAGTCTTGTATAAAAGCCGCACTTGAATAGAAGCCGCAATTTTGGGCCCATCAAATCACACATAAGCCTGGTTTTAGTGTTGACATACATAGAAATACCTGTCTTGTATAGAAGCCTGTCTCATATAGAAGCCTGCAAAATTTCACCAAGAAAGTCATAGAAGCCGGGGCTTTTATACCAGACTTTACGGTAAGCATCTGCCGCTAGGGTTTATCGGGTGTTAGCGGCCGTCGTGAGTTCCCTTCGGGAACGGACACGATAATTTACTTTTTTTTACGGTAAGTCACACTTTTTACACAAAAATTCACTGAGGGTAAAAAAGGGGTGCGACTTACAATCGAGCATGACTTACTACTGAAGTCAATATATTATCGGAACAACATGGCTCCTGACTAACATAGCACTGCTAGCCCTGAAACCTATAGACTCGAGCCCCAACATTCTCACACAGCTTTTCATGCAGCGCTACAAGACCCATGCCCACCCTCTCCTGGCATAATATTATTATTATTATTATTGTAGAAGAGAAAAGGATATATGGATACGAGTTAAGAGTAACTCTCCATCACTGTAACATGATACTATATACAGTCAGAAAGTGCAATAACTAGGCACAAAATATTTATGACCCACCCAAGTTGGGTGGTGTGCTGCTTTGCTGCTTCGAATTGTAGTTAGACCGCTTTGTCAAATATCATACTGGTCTCGTCATCGTCCAGTAACAATCGACATTCTTTGTTCCGTTGGGACTGTAGCTTTTGCTCGTTTTCGTTGCGCTTGCGTTCCCCTCTTTGGTCTTTCCAAAACCTTGAACCTTCCAAGTTGGAAGGCTGTCGGTTAGCGCTACGGACATGTGTTGAAGTTAGGTGTCAGGACGTCGAATGTCTCAGTACTCTGTCAGTTTTGTGCCTAGTTATTGCACTTTCTGACTGTATATAGTATCATGTTACAGTGATGGAGAGTTACTCTTAACTCGTATCCATATGTCCTTTTCTCTTCTACATTTATTTATGGCTCAACATCCGAGTTTAAAATTATTATTATTTTTATTATTATTAACTGGTTTGAGGGAAAGAGACAAACGGGAAAAGTCTGAAGAAAAAATTGACTGCCACCACCAGGACTCGAACCAGGGACCCTCGCTTGTAGCCAGCGATGCTCTAACCACTGAGCTATGGTGTAGTCGTCATCCCAGCAGAGGCCGTTCAACATTTTCTTCAGACTTCGTAACTCACACTTCCTGTGAATCCGCACAGGCGGGTGGGACGCAGCCCTCACTGTACCCACACACTTCACGTACAAACTAGCACGCGGGGAGCCCCAAGTCATAAAATATTAACTGGTTTGAGGGAAAGAGACAAACGGGAAATTATTATTATTATTATTATTTAAACAATCGACGAGGAGACAATAGTCGTAAAATGGCAATAAATAAGATAAATTGTGCACTCATAACAACTTTTGCTTTTGCTGTTGTTATGAGTGCACAATTTATCTTATTTATTGCCATTATTATTATTGTAAAATAGAAAAGGACATATGGATACGAGTTTAGAGTAACTCTCCATCACTGTAACATGATTCTAAACTCGTATCCATATGTCCTTTTCTATTTTACATTTATTTATGGCTCAACATCCGAGTTTCAAATTATTATTATTATTATTATTATTTCGTAATATGTATTCGCATGCAACAACGCAAATCCACACAATTCAGTAGACACTTTTTCTATCAAACGTTTTCTTTCCCTTCTCTTCAGGATAGTACAGGGAATGTTGGAAATTAGAAAAACACATAACTATATAGAGAATGAAAGAAAGAAAAAGTCAACACTTCAACATAGGTGTTAAAAATGATTAAAGTGTTAAAAACTCAAAAACAAACAGCTGCAAGCTGTAGACAAACACGTTGAACACATCAGGGAACACTTGTCACACTTTCACGAGGTGTGACACCAAAATGTTGAACGGCCTCTGCTGGGATGACGACTACGCCATAGCTCAGTGGTTAGAGCATCGCTGGCTACAAGCGAGGGTCCCTGGTTCGAGTCCTGGTGGTGACAGTCAATTTTTTCTTCAGACCTTTCCCGTTAGTCTCTTTCCCTTAAAGTTTAAACCAGTTAATATTTTATGACTTGGGGCTCCCCGCGTGCTAGTTTGTACGTGAAGTGTGTGGGTTACAGTGATGTATATAACTGGTTGTTTTAGTGATTCTTACTATGTGACGATGTTCCACTGATGATGGTCACACGAAAACGTTCTGGAATTGTTTCATTTTAATTGTTTATACATGGTTATGAGTGCACAATTGATATTTTTCATTGCTATTTTACGACTGTTGTCTCCTCGTCGGTTATTTTTAAAAATTATTATTATTATTATTATTATATACCAGCATGGTCGGCACCCTATCCTCATGTTGCCTGATGATTGCGAGAGCATGAAACTTGAAGACGTTCAAGCAAACAAGCCTTGATTGTCCTTAATGTTCTGTGTCACAGATATAGATGAATGCGATGTACAACCACTCCCCTGTGAGCTGAGTAGATGTGTCAATGACGTGGGAACGTACCAATGCTGCCCTCTCGGCTATCGCAAGAATATATCTCTGCCGACACGCTGTGGAGGTTAGTCTGTTGCTCAAGCCGTGCGTGTCTTCGGGCAAGAACACATTCTAATGTGTGTGTGTGTGTGTGTGTGTGTGTGTGTGTGTGTGTGTGTGTGTGTGTGTGTGTGTGTGTGTGTGTGTGTATGTGTATGTGTATGTTCAGCGATTTCCAATCGATAGGTTGTGGGTTCGATTCCCAACGAGTATGGTCACACACGTCTTTCTTCTCTTGCTCAGACTCATCCTGACTTTTCTTTCATTCTCCTGGGTGGTTACCAACAGCCAGTGCATGCCGGAGTATGTGGTGTGATGTGTGTGCGGGTAAAAAAATGAAAAAGACCAAAAAATAGGGATTCACTGGCCAGAAAAAGCCACTTCATAGCTGTGTGGTGTAGACCAGGCTGAATAGTGGCGGTCAATTCTTCAGCCTTGCAATCTGTTGAATGGTGCAATCCCAGCACAAGCTGCTATGGCTTCTGCTGTAGCATCGCTATCATCGCCTCCGGCGATGGGCGTCCAATGGTCCAATGGTCCAATGTGTATGTGTGTATGTGTATGTGTATGTGTGTGTGTGCATGTGTATGTGTATGTGTGCATGTGTATGTATGTGTGTGTGTGTGTCTGTGTGTATGTATGTGTATGTGTGTGTGTGTGTGTGTGTGTGTGTGTGTGTGTGTATGTGTGTGTGTGTGTATGTGTGTGTGTATGTGTATGTGTGTTTGTGTGTTTGTGTGTGTGTGTGTGTGTGTGTGTGTATGTGTGTGTGAATGTATGTGTATGTGTGTGTGCAGCACAGCTACGGCACTACTACATGCTGTACGTTTGGCAGCCATGTTCCTCTATCCATTCTTCAAATTTGAAACTCGGATGTTGAGCCAATAATAAATGTAGAAAGTAAAGGACATAATTATGGATACTAGTCAGGATTAACTGTCCACCCCTGTAACTAGATACTATAATTATAGAGTCAGAAAGACGTCGAATGTCTCAGTACTCTATCTAGTTACAGTGGTGGACAGTTACTCTTAACTTGTATCCATATGTCCTTTTCCTTTCTACATTCTTAGAACGTCGTTTGATGACTCCATACCAGCCATAAACATACCAATAAGATGATCAGGCAGGTGTTTCACTCCAAAGGCAGCTCACAACACGTGCCACAGGGACACACACTGATGGCACTTGGGTCTCTTCCCTCCCCCAGAGGACCAACCATGTGCACGGTCAGTTTCCGTTTCTGCAGGGCGATGCGACACAGCTAGCGCATGTAGCCCTGTCAGGGCCCAAAAGGTCGAGAAATATAGAAACTGTTTCTCCCCTGCCCCCCCCCCCCCCCCCCACACACACACACACACATACATACTGTATACACACATACATACAAACATACATACACACACATACATACTGTACACACACATACATACACACACATACATTTCATTGAGCAACACTGTACCAGGCCACCAAGCCGCTGCATTTAACACTACAATTACAGCAAGAGTATATAACCCCCCAAGAGTGTGCAACACATGATACACTTTCTATGGGGTTCGCCGATGGCAAAAACTCACATCACGTGGTGTAGTGTCGCAGTTGTACGTTTCCAGCCTGTTTTTAGCGAGCAGCGGAGTAATAAAAAAAGCACTCTCTGACAGAAACTCACTGCGCGTATGCAAATGCCCAGCATGATCCTGGTAGATATTCGGATTGCGCGCACGCTATCCTTCCTTTGTACGTAGAACGAACACGTCATGTGAGTTTTCGCCGTCGAAGACCCCATATGCAGAGCTGCACACTCTTGGGGGTTATATACTCTTGATAATAGGATGCAGCAGCTTCAACTTTGTGGCAACTCGATTATGTGGCACTTCAACTTTGCGATGCCTCGACTGTGTTGTGCTTCAAGCTATGTCCGATGATTTTCATGCCTTATTCTTCTCCCATTCAGAGAACTCGTGCCCTCCTCCGGCCCCGATTCCCAATGCCGTTACCACCGGCAACAGCACTGTGGAGAAGAATGTTTCCTGCTTGCCTGGCTACACCCTGGCCACCGGTTCACCAACAGTGATTTACTGCCAAACTAACCAGAAATGGACATTCTCTGCCTGCGAGGGTAAGTCCCACCGTTTGAACCAGGGTAGAGTATTGCACACCTGGTTAAAAAAAAGAGCCCGCTATGAAGAGTGTGTTGTGGGTTTTGTTATGATGGACTGATAAGGTACAATAAGTACATGTATGTGAAGTAGAATTCAGAAACGTTTTTCTTCGATGGTCATCAGTGAATCTACATATTTTATTCCCGTAGCTATGCAGAAGACGTTAACTTCAGTAATGTCTGGCGCTAGCCAGGGTCCACACAGCTTTAATTTGGTGTTTGTTTGTTTGTGTGTTTGTGTCACGCCTGGAGCTATCCCGTATCTGTCCCGTATCTGTGACTACAAAGGCTCTACAGGATTGTACATAACAGCCGGCCACAATATTTTGCTGGCTCCGGTATCTGTCATCTGTCCTGTACCGTCCCGTACAAACAGCTGGCAAAAATATTCGTCGTATTGTGTATACGACTCCCTGATGTAGAGGTATATTTGGAAAGAAATAGGGAGACAAGGAGGAATAGAATTTAGGCCTCATTTACACGACAACGATTGAAAAACGTTTTTCAATCGTTTTCGAAACGTTTTTGCTGTTTACACGAAAACGATAATCGTGTACACTGCAACATGTTTTTCGGCGTGCAATCGTCACGTGCAAGAATTTGGCCTGGCGCAGGGCTGGCGGCGGCATCTTTTGAGTACAGGGCTCGTACTAGTAAAACGTTTTTGGCGTTTACACGAGAACGAAACGAAACGAAAACTATTGAAAAACACTTTGAAGGCCGTTTTTCGTTTGAAACGTTTTTGAAACGCTTTTCAGCATTGTCGTGTAAACGCTCTTATCAAAATCTGTGGAAGCATTTTCTTTTGAAAACGTTGAAAACGTTTTTGTCAAAAACGTTTTTCAATCATTGTCGTGTAAACGAGGCCTTAGAATGGGCGTTAGTTGCCGAATAGATGATAGGATGCGTCAGCAAAAACATACTTTGGAAGAGAGATCCCGTCGACTCCAAAATAAGCGTGAACAAGCGATTCAGCGCCGGTCACATTAAACGTCGGAAGAGAAATCCCGTCGACTCCAGAACGCCCGTGATCGGCAGAGTCCGCGCCGGTCCCAGGAAACGTCAGGACAGACATCCCGTCGAGTCCAGAACGCCCGTGATCGGCAGAGTCAGCGCCGGTCTCAGGAAACGTCAAGACAGACATCCCGCCGAGTACAGAACGCCCGTGATCGGCAGAGTCAGTGCCGGTCCCAGGAAACGTGAGGACAGACATCCCGTCGACGCGCAGAAAAACTAAATATGCAGCCTCTCTGCAGGGCGATGCGACACACATATAGAAAACTGTTTCTCCCCTGCCCCCCCCCCCCCCCCCCACACACACACACATACTGTACACACACATACATACACACACATACATTTCATTGAGCAACACTGTACAAGGCCACCAAGCCGCTGCATTTAACACTACAATAATAGCAAGAGTATATAACCCCCTAAGAGTGTGCAACACATGATACCCTTTCTATGGGGTTCGCCGACGGCAAAAACTCACATCACATGGTGTAGTGTCGCAGTTGTACGTTTCCAGCCCGTTTTAGCGAGCAGCGGAGTAATAAAAAAAGCACTCTCTGACAGAAACTCACTGCGCGTATGCAAATCCCCAGCATGATCCTGGTGGCTGGAGCAGAGACCACTGTGCATGACTGCAGCATGCACAGAGCAGAAAATGGAAAGGTATCAGCACGACTTATGGTTGAAGCAAGTGCCCTCTTGCTTGTTGTATCCCCAAACTTCTGGCCAAGACCTCTGTACGCCAGACCATGGCAGTTTAAAGACCGTGACCAACATCAGAATGCAGCATCACAAGACAATCTTGGCAGCAGCAATGGTAAACATTCCACCACAGATCCGACCAGTGATAAAGAATGATGACAGCACTGCGTGACCCTAATTCTCCAACAGGACTCGAACCTAATCCTAATGCCGCCCCATCTATTCCGGGTCTTTTCACTAGACATCTCAACCCCAATGCCATACCATTTAAACCACGGTCCCATCAAGGCGCCCCAGCAAATTCCTGGGTACGCTTTGGCTTTATCAACATTTGTAGCCTTCGGCACAAAGTCGACGCCCTGGAGCAGCTGATCGCGGACCAGTGCTGGGACATAGTCGGTGTTGCTGAAACATGGCTGGATGGCACAGTGTCTGATGGAGAAATCCGGATCCCAAACTTCAGTATTGCCCGTCAGGACCGTGCCGGTGGAAGAGGAGGTGGAACATGTATCTACTTCAGGTCGACCCTCCCCGTGAAGCCTCGCCCGGATTTGACGGCGGATGATGTAGAGTGCACCTGGATCGAGCTTAAAGGTGCCCGGGCGCCTCATCTCTTAGGGTGTGTGTACCGGCCACCAAGTGAAACAGTTGCGTTCTGGCCCAGACTAGAGACTGTCTTACAGGCAGCCACCAACAACACCGGATCGGTCACTATGATGGGCGACTTCAATGTAAATGCTGACCCAGTTTCTCCTGGCCCACAATTGCGCCACATGCATGACACGTGTGGAAGCTATGGACTGCAGAACGTCGTGACAGCACCAACTCGTGTTCTGCCCCAATGTGTGCGTGGAACCATACTAGATCTAGTCTTGGTCAACCATGCCAGCTTAACATCCTGGAACATCGTACCATGTGACATCAGCGATCACTTTGCTGTGAGTGCTTCACTCAGCTGTGCTACTGAAGTAAGCCAGCCAGCGAGTTCCCTCCTCACTAGGCAGCTGCACAGAGTGGATATAGCAGCTCTCCGCGCTGACCTGCTTGCAGCAGACCTTCACATTTTTCCTCCACATGCGAGCGTCGACGATATGTGGTCCACTTGGCACGCTAGCATAATGCGTGTACTGGACCATCATGCCCCGATGACCCCAGTTAAGAAGCGTTCCAGAAGAAGGCCATGGCTTAACAGAGACACTTACCAGCTAATGATGGCAAAGAACAGGCTGCACCGAAGATGGCTGCGAGACCGGGCTAACATAGCATTATTCCACCAGTACAAATGTGCTCGAACGGCGGCAGCAAACCTTGTCAGACGGAGGAAAAACCAGTACTTCAGTGATGAATGTGTTGTCAACAATCGCAATCCAAGGAAGATGTGATCCCTGTTAAACTCCATCACTGGCAGAGGAGGAAGCAACCAAGACCCTGCATGTGATGTGAACAAGGTCAGCGTGGCATTTAGCAACATTGTAACTGACCCTGATCGGCCAGCCCACTTGCCATTACCGAATGGACCCCCAGCTGAACACTCACTCAGCTGTCTGGGACCAGCATCTTATGCTGCTGTGAATAAGCTTCTGCAAGCGATAATTCCGGTGAAGGCAACTGGCAGTGATGGAATACCTGGGCTGCTTCTCAAATCCTGCAGTGATATCCTCACGCCATCCCTCACACGGATCTTCAATGAGTCTCTTGAAATGGGCATTGTACCTTCTGCCTTCAAGAAGGCCCTGGTCCGGCCTCTGTACAAGTCTGGAGACCCAACATCCCCTGGGAACTATCGTCCAGTATCCCTGCTGCCGATTGCCTCAAAGCTGCTGGAGAAGCTCGTGCAGCGGCAGCTTGTGGCATTTCTCGATGAACACAATGTTCTACCACCGACCCAATTTGCCTTCAGGAAGGATCACTCCACTGAAGATGCACTTGTGCTACTAACGGATGGTGTTCTCACTGCAAAGGAATCTGCATTGCCTTGCTGCATCTGCCTACTTGACATGTCAAAGGCGTTTGACAAAGTCAGTCACCCTACGCTGCTGCAGGACTTGTTCGACATTGGCGTTTCTGGAACGGCATTAAGTTGGTTTGCCAACTATCTCAGCCATCGAACCCAGCAAGTGCGCATTGGAACCCAGGACGGACCCTGTAATGCATGCACATGCGGTGTTTCACAGGGATCCGTTTTAGGACCAATCTTGTTCAGTGTATACACACGCGGCATACCAGAGGTTGCTGGTGACGTGCCCACAGTACAGTTTGCGGATGATATTGGCTTGTACTTCAGCCACCGGCTGCCTACTGAATGCTCCGCGGCGCTTACCCAGGCAGTGTCTGCAGTGGCTGACTGGCTAGAGGATCGCAACCTCATCCTGAACTCCACGAAGAGCCAAGTCCTGAGCATGCACAGTGAAGCCATTCCTGTAAATTGCAATGGGACTAGTTTGCCAGCAGCAAGCACTGCGAAGTACCTCGGAGTTCTGCTGGACAGCTCCCTCAACTGGCAGAAACACGTGGACAGCATCGCCAAGAAAGTATCGCAGAAGATCGGGGCGCTCTGGCGATCTAGGCGAGCATTAAGTCTGAAGGCCCGTACACAGTTCATGAAGTCCATCATCATGCCTGATGTGCTGTACGGGTCGACAGCATTTTTCGCCTGCCTGCGACAGGAGCAAGTCTCTCGCTTGCAAGTTCTCCAGAACCGAGCTGCCAGGGCAGTGTTTGGCCAGCCACCCCGCTCTCATGCTCAACCCCTCCTGACCAGCTTGCAGTTCTACAGCATTCAGGAGCTGCACAAGCAGAAGATGCTGAGGTTTGTGTGGCGTTGCCAGCACAATCGAGCCAGCCCAGCCCTCCAGGACAAGTTTCGAAGTGCTCATGGAAACACCACCCGCCTCCAGCAAGGACAGGGTTTGCGCCTGCCGCTAGCCCGGTCAGCAGCAGGGACATCCCGTCCATCGCACTGTGGTGCCATTCTCTGGAACACCCTCCCCAGCGAAGTTCGCCTACTCAATCGTCCCAGTGAATTCGCCGTAGCTGCACTGCCCTTCACGCTGGCGGGCTAGATCTGCAAACTCCGTGAATTCTCCCGCCTTCTGTGTTCACAGTCCCATACTCCCCTTGGAGTAGTCTGCACGGCGCTGCTGCTGCTGCTGTTGCTGTTGTTGTTGTTGTTGTTGTTGTTGTTGTTGTTTTTGAATTCTTTATTCTCACGATGGCACCATCGTCAATAAGAGATAAATTGATGAGAAGGTGAGATTGTGGGTTAAACAGTTGGAAAGTGATTTACATCACTTTGAACTTTACAAGTATGGGAGAGGGTGAGTGCTGCAGGAGCAGATTGAGTTAATCAGCAGTGAGCAGATTTCTTGTTTGAAAGCAGGTCGGGAGGAGATGTCACGAATGCTAGCAGGGAGGGCATTGTAGTATTCTAGGGACTTGTACAGTGGGGAGTCTTTACAGCGATCGGTTCGGGAGGGTGGGAGGTGCCAAGTGCGTGCGTGTCGAAGGCTGTACTGGGCCGTAACTTGAGCGGGGGTGTTGAGCAAGCGTATGTGTTGTGGGGCATATTGGTATTTTATGGAGTGAGCATTGTTGTTGTTGTTGTTGTTGTTGTTGTTGTTGTTGTTGTTGTTGTTGCTGTTGTTGCTGTTGTTGTTGTTTATTTGTTTTTTTTTGGAATTCTTTATTCTCACGATGGCACCATCGCCAATAAGAGATAAATTGATGAGAAGGTGAGATTGTGGGTTAAACAGTTGGAAAGTGATTTACATCACTTTGAACTTTACAAGTATGGGAGAGGGTGAGCGCTGCAGGAGCAGATTGAGTTAATCAGCAGTGAGCAGATTTCTTGTTTGAAAGCAGGTCGGGAGGAGACGTCACGAATGCTAGCAGGGAGGGCATTGTAGTATTCTAGGGACTTGTACAGTGGGGAGTCTTTACAGCGATCGGTTCTGGAGGGTGAGAGGTGCCAAGTGCGTGCGTGTCGAAGGCTGTACTGGGCCGTAACTTGAGCGGGGGTGTTGAGCAAGAGTATGTGTTGTGGGGCATATTGGTATTTTATGGAGTGAGCAAGAAGGGTGAGCTTCACTTTGCGGCGAGAGAACATTGTCGGCCATTTGAGCCGATGGAGCAGTGTTGAATGATCCAGAGGAGTGTAAAGGTGTTGTTGTTGTTGTTGTTGTTGTTGTTGTTGTTGTTGCTGCTGCTGCTGCTGCTGCTGCTGCTGCTGCTGCTGCTGCTGCTGCTGCTACAGCAGCTACTGCTGTGGCTGTAGTTACAGCCCCTCTCGTTGTCAGGAAATGTTTGCTTGTGCTACTTCTCATCCAGTTGACTTCTTATTATGACTTTGTACGTTATAATTTTCTTGAGCTCCGGTTTTCCCCTTCATTCTAACTCAAGTGCAGTTTAGCGTGTATTGGCTTGCGATTTCCTTTCTTCTGTTTGCTTGGCATGTTATCGCTCCACAGGTACCCTCGGTCTCAGGTGCTCTCACATTTGTGCAATTGTTGATTTTGGTCCTGAATTGTCCTCCCTGTTGCTTTGCTACCGTCCTCCTCCTTCCTCCACCTTTTTTTCTTAATTGGCCTCATTATGGCATTCGCTTCCATGTAATTGGGCTTGTAGCCCGTGTGTACTTGCGAATTCAAATAAAAATATACATACATACATAGATATTCGGATTGCGCACACGCTATCCTTCCTTTGTACGTAGAACGAACACGTCATGTGAGTTTTCGCCGTCGAAGACCCCATATGCAGAGCTGCACACTCTTGGGGGTTATATACTCTTGATAGTAGGATGCAGCAGCTTCAACTTTGTGGCAACTCGATTGTGTGGCACTTCAACTTTGCGATGCCTCAACTGTGTCGTGCTTCAAGCTATGTCCGACGATTTTCATGCATTATTCTTCTCCCGTTCAGAGAACTCGTGCCCCCCTCCGGCCCCGATTCCCAATGCCGTTACCACCGGCAACAGCACTGTGGCGAAGAATGTTTCCTGCTTGCCTGGCTACACCCTGGCCACCGGTTCACCACCGGTGATTTACTGCCAAACTAACCAGAAATGGACATTCTCTGCCTGCGAGGGTAAGTCCCACCGTTTGAACCAGGGTAGAGTATTGCACACCTGGTTAAAAAAAGAGCCCGCTATGAAGAGTGTGTTGTGGGTTTTGTTATGATGGACTGATAAGGTACAATAAGTACATGTATGTGAAGTAGAATTCAGAAACGTTTTTCTTCGATGGTCATCAGTGAACCTACATATTTTATTCCCGTAGCTAGGCAGAAGACGTTACCTCAGTAACGTCTGGCGCTAGCCAGGGTCCACACAGCTTTAATTTGGTGTTTGTTTGTTTGTGTGTTTGTGTCACGCCTGGAGCTATCCCGTATCTGTCCCGTATCTGTCCCGTATTTGTGAATACAAAGGCTCTACAGGATTGTACATAACAGCTGGCCACAATATTTTGCTGGCTCCGGTATCTGTCCCGTACCGTCCCGTACAAACAGCTGGCCACAATATCCGCGGGTGTGCACTATCGCAGGTGTGCACTATGCTCCGAATATGAAATGCATGTACTTCAATGAAGATTGAAGTGCGCACCCCCAATGAAGATTGGGGGTGCGCGTTATACTAAAGGTGCGCACTATACTCTGAAATATACGGTATCTTACGTAATTCCGTTCGAGTATTATTTGCGCCCGTTGTATTTTGTTCTTGTCTTGTAGAGTCTGATGTCTGATGTCGTAATTATAATTATGTCTCTCTCTCTCTCTGCCCTCGGGTCTAAGTGTACATGGGAGTATGGTGTGATGTGTGACGCTTATGGTATGTAGTGCGTGCAAGAGTACGTGCTGTCAGAGTGTGAGGATCTGCTTCCGTCTGTGTGAGAGTGACTGTCAAGTGAATGCCGTGCATGCGCAGTGCTAGTTTTGGTCTGGGAATGAGAGTCATGTGTGATTCGTCCGTGGTCTGGTTGTCTTGGTCTTAGTCATGTACTCTCTATGCATTGGTCGCTGAATGGTCATCCCGATTTGGCGTCACTTTATCACTGCTTGTTCTTTGTTGTTTCTTCGTGTCTTCTCCGTTCGCCTTTTTGTTTGGGTCTTGCATTTCCTTTCTCCTCCTGCGCCCTCGTCATTTACTGTCAATAAGAAATGATATGTAATGAGACGCACAATCAAGAGTTTGCGTTGCTGTACGGCGGGGGCCTGGGGAGAAGGTAACAACACACCAGTAGTGGTTCACCTATGCTTATACTGCAGATATTGATGAATGCGCTGGGCCCACGAGCGACAACTGCAGCCTGGCATCAATGTCATGCTTCAACACTCCCGGCTCCTTCGCGTGCTGTAGTCCTGGCTACCAACCATTCCAATCAGCTTGCGCCGGTAAGTAGCTACAGTCCATTCATTGGAAACTGGCACCCTAACTTTTTGGTGTCTCTCTCACGTAGTTGTAAAAAAAGTAAATTATCGTGTCCGTTCCCGAAGGGAACTCACGACGGCCGCTAACACCCGGTAAACCCTAGCGGCAGATGCAGCGCCTAACGGTGAGGGTGAGTGGTAAGTCTCACAACCGTAGTTGTAGATATCGTAAAAACAACAGTACATCCTGCATTGTGTGACCCGTGCAATTACTCCTTGCCACATTTGAGGCCAGAAAAGTCCAAGAACAGGAAATAGAAATTCAGCCAGGTTTTACAAAATTAGGACAGGTATGCCATGGCAAAATGTATGGAGAAGCAGATCTAAAACCCAATTTTTTTGAGATTTAAAGTGGGTTTTTGATCCTCAATTCGACCCAAATAAACTTTCAAAAGCCAACGGGACAGTTTCCGATGAATGGACTGTAGTACCCTTGGACATCTCTTATCGGGGCACCTTGGAACTGGGCACTGCCCGTATCTCAGATTTCCCTGCACGTCAGGACAATCCCACCAGCCGCGCATCATGCTACTACAAGCTTTGAAGCTATTTGGCATGTATTGCACTTGTCTAAGATTTAAAAAAGAATCCATCGATTCTGAACGTGTGAACTGCAGAGGTTGGCAAGGACAAGACTTTTAAAAAGGAGCATGTGCACGTCCTATTCTTTTTTTGCCGTCATCAAGGCGGTAGACGGTGTCGTATTACCCTCGACCGTATCTGTCCCGTACTTGTCCTGTACCGTACCGTACAATCTAAGACGGCTGGCCACAATGCATATTCAAATAGGGCTTTCAAATACAAGATCATAACGTGAAGCAACTTGGAAGAATTAGGATGTATGCGAAGTGTATCGGGGGATGCATGCAGGGCGATAGTGGGGGTTCGAATCCCAGGTTATGTCTAAAAACAAAAAGTAGAAATTTATAAGAATTTATTCCCGTAGCTATGCAGAAGACGTTACTTCAGTAACGTCTGGCGCTAGCCAGGGTCCACACAGCTTTAATTTGGTATTTGTTTGTGTGTTTGTGTCACGCCTGGCGCTATCCGTATCTGACGGCAAAAAAGCATAGGATGCTATAATTTTTTCAATTCTCCTATTTTTTTCAGGCATATCCTGGGATTCGAACCCGCACTATCGCCCTACATGCATTCCCCCATACACTTCGCATTCATACCCATTCTTCCAAGTTGCTTCACGTTATTATCTTGCGTTTGAAAGCCCTATTTGAATATTGCGGGCAGCTGTATGTGGCCAGCTGTGTTTGATGGTACGGTACGGTACGGTACGGGAGACGGTGTCGTATTACCCTCGATCGTACCTGTCCCGTACCTATCCCCTACCGTACCGTGCCATCAAAGATGGCTGGCCTCAATGCATATTCAAATAGGGCTTTCAAATGCAAGATAATAACGTGAAACAACTTGGAAGAATGGGTATGAATGCGAAGTGTATGGGGGAATGCATGTAGGGTGATAGTGCGGGTTCGAATCCCAGGATATGCCTGAAAAAAAAATAGGAGAATTGAAAAATTTATAACATCCTATGCTTTTTTGCCGGTAGATACGGATAGCGCCAGGCGTGACACAAACAAACAAATGTATGCGAAGTGTATCGGGGGATGCATGCAGGGCGCGCGATGGTGCGGGTTCGAATCCCAGGTTATGTCTTAAAAAAGGATTTTTGAAAAGAATTTATAACATCCCTATGCTTTTTTTTGTCTAGGTCATCAAGGCAAAAAAAGCATAGCGTAGGGCCCTGAGCTTCCAAGCTCTCTCGTTACCAGGGGACCTTGTAGTGATTGCTGAACCTTCCTGCTTTTAAAACATATTGTCTGGGCATGGTGGCTTCACTCTAGCCTTTATCTGCCATGACTGCCATGACTAGCTTCATCGCTACGGTTCTTTAACCCAGCGTCTGCTCCAGAGCCGGGTCAGCCGTTTCGGCGACCCAGTTGGGGTTGGGCCCGCATGGGAAAAGAACACCGGAGGTCACTTGTGACCCGATTGGGACTCAATCAGGGCGTCCTAATGCTCTCTGATGTACAATAGCCGCGATTGAGTCTTGTATCCGGGACTGACCCGGTTGCAAGAGTTGTGCCAGGTAGATCTACACGTGTACCCGGTTGGTTTGAAATCCTAGAGCAGACACTGTAACCCACTGTTGTGTGAGGATGTGTGGATAACAATGAACCTCTCAGTACAGGTCTACCCGGTTTTTTTACCAAAATACCAAAACATTCAAAATGCGAAAATTTGCACGAAACTAATTTTCGCTGGCGATTTAATTTCGCTGATTTCGCCGCTGGGTACCAACCGGCCAAAGTAAATCGCCGGCCAAAATTTGTCATAGAGGCAAATGATGCATTATTGAGCCATGGCTGCATGTGAGGGCAACACATACCAATCGATTTCTTTTTTGAAAACCCAAATCGGCCAAAGTTAAATGACGGCCAAAAGTTTCATTTCCAGATCGGCCAAAGTTTCTCACCGGCCAAAATTTGTTGATTTACAGTATGCTTCGTGCAAATTTTTGCACTTATAGCTATCATGAAAACAACAGTTCATCCTGCATTGCGTGGAACGTGCAATTATTCCTAACCGAATTTGATACCAGAAAAGTCTAAGGACACAGAGCATTAGAAAATCAGCCTGGTTTTACCAAAATTTGGACCGGTACTCCATGGCAAAATGTGTGGAGAAGCGGATTCAAAACCCGGATTTTTGTGCCTCAATTCTGTCAAAATTGGGCTTTCAAGAGCCAACGAGACTGGCTCAGGTGAATGGACTGCTGCGTCATTGATCCCGAGAGCAGATCAGATGTACATTTCACCTGATACTTGTCCAAGTGAACGTGTGGTGCTCTTTAACCCAAGCATCAACCATCTTCAAGTTTACTCATGGCTTTACCAACGATGTCATGGCTTAACCAACGATGTGCACATTCTACTGTTTGTGTACTGTCGTTCTGCAGAAGAGTACGAAGACAATCTTCTGATACTTGATCCAGTCAATTATCCGGCAATGAATTTTTCCGGGGCCGCTTCATTATGTTCTCAGCTAGGGTTAGCGATACCAAGTAGAACGGAGGAAAAAGATATGATTGTCCAGGCAGCCAACAATTTGACAATCAGTGACTTTGTGTGGTTCCGGATGTTTGCTGAGCCATTCGGGCTGAGACGGGTATTCCTTGCCCAAGCTACTGCGTCCCACGAAGATTTGCATAATGTTGCCTGTGCAAGTAAGTATGGCGTGCTATGCTCCAACGCTATGTGTTATATGCTACATGTGTGCCGGCAGGCGATGTAACCATGTTCGGATAGAGCTCAGGCGTATAGCTCCTGCAGAGCCAGCACAATCCGGTGCTGCTCAATGAAATCCAGTCATGTCACTCAAATTTGCGCCTTCTTTTACAGCCCAGTGTTGTCAGGTCTAGGGCTGGGCAACGCCCCGGCGCGTACCTGAGTGCCGCGGCTGGATTTCATTCAGCAGGGCTGTGGCACAGCAGTCAGACCTCGCTTATCTGGACCTCGCTTATCCGGTCCTCTTTTATCCGGACCCCTCGCCATCTGGAAGAAAATCGTTGGTTACCGATTTACAGCATATACCATGCATGCATACATACATCATGTGTGTTCGATTACCCGGTTCCCTCGCCTATCCGGGTATTTTTTTGTGGAAAACGGATATTTGCGTTTATGCGAGGTCTGACTGTATTAGAGTCAAAATAGGTGAAATGGCAGGTATGGGGTTGCCGATGGCACAAAGTTCTCACACTGCAGATCTATGAGTAGGCAAACATTTGGTAGCCATGTGTTAGGAAAAGATCATGTTTCCCGGATCACACAACATCGCATACAACAAATACAACAGTGGCATTAGATGTTTGCACTTGACCCTACAAGATCACACAACACTTGAAGATTTCAGCAGCAAAACAGTTCACCAGAAGCACTCCACAATTGCAAGTAGTTCCTGTCATCCTTTGGAACAAAGCGAGACTTGACAGGAGTAAAACAAAATTTATGGAGCCCGGTCGGTGAACTGTCTTTGTCTTCTGCAAGCGTCATTTGGTGGTTTTGGGTAAAATGAAAACGCTATTACTCCTACTGTATAATATAGTGTAAATATACACAGACCGAACAAAGATGTCAGCAACGATTTAACAAATACAATATCAACACCATTCTCACGTTGACAGTCAACGAGAGAACAGACACTTAGCATCATATGTGTGGTGGATTCTGTTCCGCTGGGATGTTATGACTTTCCCCTGGGCGTTCGTGAAAAACAGAGAGCAGCTGCAATTTACCCCCCCCCCCCCCCCTCCTCCCATGAGTCTGTTTGCCACCCAGGTCTAGTCCCAGGTACACAGACGTGCTGCGTACCGTGCGTGTCAGGTCAATAAATAATGACCTCCAAAGTACAAATACCACACAGAGAGCAGTATGAATATGATCCTTGCCCTGCATGGTATCATCCAGGACATTTGCATTGCTAATCGCAGCCATAAACGGTCCACTCTTGCCTGCACAGCTGTAGAACTGTACCAATACAGTCGTCCTTCTTTAATCCATCACTTTGCAAACCGGCAGCACCCTCTATGAACCAGCACAATTTTCAGTAGCCAAATAATGGCAAAATAAATTCGCCCAAAATGGCTTCTTCATGCAAATTGCAGCAGTAAATCAGATTTGTTTATCCTGCACACTCGCTAATCCAGCACAATTTCTGAAGCACAAATGGTGCCGGATTATAAGGGACCAGTATCGTTCAAACACATAATAAAGTACGTCGCCGACAGTGTCCCGTCTGGCTAGAGTCTCCCACCTTGGTTTTACACTCAGGGGATGGAAAGCGGTATGGCTGAGCTCAACTAACTGTGTTTTGTGCGATGTGAGAACCCTAGTGTTTTAAGGTCACACCGGGTGTGTGTGTGTGTGTGTGTGTGTATGTGTGTGTGTGTGTGTGTGTATGTGTGTGTGTGTATGTGTGTGTGTGTATTTGTGTGTGTGTTTGTGTGCGTGTGTGTGTGTGCGTGTGTGTGTGTGGGGGGGGGGGGGTGTGCGCGGGTGTATGTGTGTGTGTATGTGTGTGTGTGTTTGTGTATGTGTGTTTGCGTGTGCGTGTGCGTGTGTGTGTGCGTGGGGGGGGGGGGTGCACGGGTGTGTGTGCGCGGGTGTGTGTGTGTGTGTGTGTGTGTGTGTGTGTCTGTGTGTCTGTGTGTCTGTGTGTCTGTGTGTCTGTGTGCATGTGTGTGTGTGTGTGTGTGTGCGTGTGTGTGGGGTGTGTGTGTGTGCGCGGGTGTGTGTATGTGTGTATGTGTGTGTGTGTGTGTGTGTGTGTGTGTGTGTGTGTGTGTGTGTGTGTCTGTGTGTGCATGTGTGCGCGTGCAGGTGGATAGCAAGGTATGTGTTCTTTGACCAATAGACGGTATGCAATTGCACCATCAGTTAACATGCTGTGGCAAAGTCACGACGGACTCGCTGCACATCACTGCACACCCCCCCCCCCCCCCTTCCCCTGGCACCACCTACTCACATTGTATATTTTGCACACAGTAGAAATTCACTTGGCCCGCAATAGAAAATCCGCCATTAAATCATCCGCATTCAACCGCTATAGGCAGGACACCACCTCCGGTAAACGGACACAAAACGACGACATGGTGGGGCGCTCTCGCGGCACTTTAAGGCGCGGGTCGAACTAAACTCTGCTGCTCTCTCTCTCTCTCTCTCTCTCTCTCTCTCTCTCTCTCTCTCTCTCTCTCTCTCTCTCTCTCTCTCTCTCTCTCTGCTCTCCTGTTGCAGGATATACTGAATGCGCATCTGGTTGTGGCCAGAATGAACACTGCTCCAAGGACGGGTCGTGTGAATGTACTTTGCCCTACTATAGAGCTGACAACGGGTCTTGCCAACGTAAGGTTTAGTGCTTCCCTGCCTCGATGACATTTTGCCAGAGCATATTAAAATTTAATATCTTATCATCGCTTGTGTTATCATACTGGTGTTGTTACATGTTCTTGTTCTTTCAGGCATACAGCAAAACCTGTAACTAAAGACCACCCTGGTTAGCGACCAGCCTGGTACTACAGGCCACTTCGCCAGGCATGGACGGCGTCACATTCATAATTATACAGCAACATTATGGTTGCGTGGTGCAAACCTCTAACTAAGGACCACCTGCCACTAAAGACCGCTTTCTCTGGCCCCAAGGTTTTATTGTACATTGAAAAGCCGGAATATTTTGGTGGAGATTTATTTTCGGTATTAAACTTCGGTACAGGTAATGTTTACCTAAAATAAAACGCAACCTAAAAATTCAACAACGCCGTACCACACAGTTGTCAAATACATTTTTGTACAGTAAAACCTGGTGTAAGCGGCCTCTGTGTTTAGCGACCACCTGCTCTTAACGACCGTTTCTCCATGCACCCACAGTTCTACACTGACACTGTGGGACCTGGTTCTAAAGACCACCTGGCTTTAACAACCGCTTTTGCTTGCACCGTGGGGTGGTCGCTTAAACCAGGTTTTACTTTATCTGGAAAACTGATTTGCCGAAAATGTCACGCCACCCAACCGTTGATTTTGGGAAATGCCAATAATATTACACCACCGAAAATTTCCGGTTTCACAGTACCGTTATTTTCTCTGAATATTAGTCTACCTTTTCACACTAGCTGTCAAGTGCAAGGAACTTACAGTTGAGCATGACTTTCTACTGGTGTGCATATTATCGTAACATAATTAACTCTAACAGTATTGAGATGCTTTTTGTTGGCTCTTCCGCCTGGATTTCACTGACAAATGCGATCCTTCCATGAGTGACATGCGAACTGTAACTATTATTATTTTTATTTTTTAAACGAAGGTAAGTTATGGGTCGCAAGTATCCACGCAAACACACATCCAGTCACAATAAGGCACTTGTCATAAGTATCCGAACGTTTTCGGTCCCTTCTCATCAAGGATTATACAGGTGTTGTGAAACCACAAGTTCTCGAGAGTGAAAGGCCTTCTCGCTTGTGACATTGTGTTCGTTTCAATGCAGTTGTATCCCGACTCCGCCGTACCGCTGATGTTTACGTGGCATACGCTACATGCGCTATCTGCGGTTTGCTGTGTGCGCTGTAGTTAAGTTGTATGTTGTATGTGTATGCTTTTCTCATATACATGTACGCTGTCATTTCCCGCTATAACTACCTGGTGGTTTTAGTGTTATTCATTCATTGTTCATTCATTCATTCATTGTTCATTATTATTAGTCGATGGAAGTGAAATATGCTGTTGAGAATTAATAGTTGTCCTCGTGCCGTGAGGGGTCGTTCGTTCCTGACACTTTAGAGAACCAGAGGGTTCACAACAACAGGGAATGGCTCAAGTTGGAAAGACTAAAACTTATAATAGCCTAAAGATAATTAGATAACAACACTCGTGACAAGGTGGAAAATTATCAAGTTATTATTGTAACAATTTGGCTCAGGCCTGAAAGTGGCGTGCGACTTCGAGTGCGACTACTCTTGTAATAAATCAGGAAAATACGGCATGCGTATACCTGTACTACTTGTTTTATCCGGAAATATAAAAAATACGAAAAGGTGACGAGGTGACAAGAGTTAAGGGATTGCAGTAAACTGATAACAGCTGAAGCGTCATTGCACGAAGAATTTTGTCCGTGGCCACTTTCTCTTGAATTTCTTCGTGCCACCTCAATGTAACGTTCGTGAAATGACGCTTCAGCTAGTTCTGTTTATTGCAATGTCTTACCCTACTCGCGTGATACCCCTGGGGTACTATTTTGTAATGTTCACCACAGATGGGGCACTATTCGAGAGAGTACGGTGTATTGTTGACATCATGTGTAGGATACACGTGCATCAATGTAGATACAGTGAGAGAGAAAACCTCGATAAGAATCGAGGCGCAGCCTATTAAAACAAGGCTGAGGCATTTACGGCAATGCATTAGATCAACTGTGCACTCCTTACAAGAAGAATAGCAATAATAGCGTTCAGAATGTTTTCTCATGACATCTTCAGTCGAAACTCGTTGCGTAGTGTGCAGTGTCTAAAACAAACAATTAGCCCCTGAGACCTGCATTCTTTGCTCTACTACACTCATCCAGTGCACAGTAGACCAGCAGTCTACAGTCACACATTATCATTCTGGTCTGCCACTGTAACAATAGGTCCTGATGGGACCCACACCTTCCACAGGGGCACCCATATTTTAAAAGCCCGATATTTTCATCATAGCCTAGGAGCTGTGGCATCATTATTTTATGATCTACAGCAAGAAGGCAGCAATGCCTGTACCTATGGTGAAGTAAAATAAAGGTAACATAACATATGCTGTGCTGTAGGCCCGCTGTGGAATTCTGCCTGATGATGGCGTAATGCATGAAACTCCGAGCTGCAAATGAGGTCTTGGTAGTTTTGTGGTTGAACTGATTTGGTAGTAATAGCTCTATCGATAGAGCACTTTTAATCAATGGATCACCACCTGCTTTTGTTAAAACAAGCAATTATGCAGTCAGATTAGTTTTACCCCAACACAGCAAAAAATATGGCACCATTGGCGTGTGTTTCGGATGTGACTGCGAGGAAGCTAGTGGCAAATGAATGGATAATGCGAAAGCGTGTAAGGGGGCTGCGTGTGTGAAAATGATGATGCGTGCAGTGTTTTATTTGAAGAATGTGAATGCTACAACATTTTCTTTCTGTTTGCATAGAAGATGGCCACGTGCATCAATGTAGATAGCTCCCAAACTTGCAAATGCTTTTCTAAGCAAAAAGAAATGTGCGCAACGGATAACACTAAACCAGGAATCATCAAATACCGTACGACACTCGGCAACATATACGATCACAGTACCATTGAGAACCATGGCACAATCTGGTGTCTCTGGTACCTTACATTGTAGATTCATTCATTGCCACTAATGATTGGAATAGGAAAATCGATCGATGGAATACACACACCTTTTAACTCCAAACATAGACATGTTGCATGATCATGCACACAGCCCATATACAGTCTGTTGCTGCAGACAAACGTCACCTCCATGTAGAAACACTTCAGCCTTAAAGACCCTTAACACTTTACCGACTGAGCTTAATGTCCGTGGAGCATTGTGCCCTCAAATTCTTTACCTTAAATCAGACGTGACTTTGGTTTCCCTGGGACAGCTTTCCGAATGATCATCTTGGGCATCTTGGAAAGCCCCTGACGAGAGGAACACTATCAACTCAACCTCTCAGCTGAGATTATTTAAAAGAGAAATCCTTGGAAAGATTGGCAGCTGTGGCGCTTGTATGCCCTGACCTGTGTGCCTTGCTTCTCCTGTTACGCTACAGGTTCATTCCACGATCAAGCGCATTGTGTGAACACTACGTTACGCATTCCACCGGGCTATTTCTTTGAGCCGGTGACGTTATCGGACGCCCAGAACATGTGCCGGGCGTCCGGAATGGAATTGCCCACGACGAAAAAGCTATTTGAAAACCATGTTGTGGCTGTTTGCCTCTACCTCATGGTGCAGAAATACAGGTTTGCACTTTCCAGCGGGCCCTCCGCCACATCGACCGGTGTTTTCATACACACCACGCACGCCATCTCCGGTGACATTTTTACTAGTTACTACTTGTCCGGCCAATGGAACTTGCTTAATACACGATCTTCACACCACCGTGTTATCTGCGCAGGTGAGATTAAGTCTTGCATATCTTTTTACCACTTCTGATGCTATGTCAATAAAGCTGGCAGAGGAATATTACCAGTAACAATACTTGACATACCCGTAACCCCTTCGTTGTTTCAAATTGTTGGTGTGCGCAATGGCTACTGTGGGTAGCCACGTGTCAACTCAGAGCGCATGGGGGAGAAGAGGAGCAGAGATTGCTGAACTACTGATGGATACCGTGTCACATGTGCTTTTGAAGCGCTCGCAACCTCAACTTCAGCATCACCCTTCTTCTGTCTTCCTGTCATTTATTTCCTTTCCTCCTTTTCTTTCATTCCATATTCGCCATATGCGCCCGGGTCCCGTTTAATGTGCGAAGTAAAATGAAGTCGAACACTCGTTGTATTATTATGTACGCTATCCTATATGCACCCACCCGCGTGCATCTGTCTTATTGTACGCAGCTTACATCAGCTTACGTCATGCACTGGTATTTGGCATGCACGCATGACTACACATTGAGCATGCTGATTCCGTTGTGCTGTTCTTTGTTTTGTTGTTCTTTTCCACTCGCTCCTCGGTGGAGACTACTAGTATTTTGTAAGAATAAACCAATATGTTTATCACAAACACAAACAAACAAACCCTTGCGCTCCGAAAGAGACCTCCACTCGACAAACAGCCTCTCCGGTGCACCGCACAAGTAAACACGCACCCAGTATACTGCAGCACAGCTCTCTGCTCTCTACACAGTGCTTTTGTGGAGCTTAATGCTGTTGGTAGATCACTAACTCTCTATTGGTCTGAAGGCCCCGGATCCAAATGTACAGAGATGATCCACAAGCAACACTAACCTAGAAGAGAATTGCGCACTTGGGCCTGCAGGCACCTCCAGGCAAAGCTTCACATTCAATATCCGACCAGAACATTTTCAAAACTGCAACCCAAATTCGTATTTGGATTCCAACCGCACAGAATTATACTGAATCCTTTTTTGGCCGTCATCCAAAAAGTGATGAAATGGATTTAGCAGGTTTTGCATTCCGGCTCTTCACCCGTAGACTGTGCAGAGTGTGGGTGCTATGTGCAGTGTGTAGAGTGCTGTCTGCAGTGTGCAGTATGTGGGTGCATTGTGCAGTGTGTAAAGTGCTGTGTGCAGTGTGTAGTGTGCAGAGTGTGGGTGCTGTGTGCTGTGTGTAGAGTGCTGTGTGCAGTGTGTAGTGTGCAGAGTGCAGTGTGCAGTGTGCTGTGTGCAGTGTGCTGTGGGCAGTGTGCGGTGTGCAGTGTGCGGAGTCGCAAATCATGAGCACCCGCTGGGGCGTTTGTACTGAACCAGCATACTCATTTGATTTGATCTGATGTTAAGTGTGTGCGCTGTTGTTCCCATTTTCTTTTTTCTTCCTTTGCAGAGTATACGTATTGTGACCCGCCGGCTCCAGAGTCAAACAAGCGAAATTTCGCATACGTCAATGGTAGTTACTCTCGCGGCACAGCAGAATGCAACAGTGGTTACCGTTTACAAGGCGACTTGCCAATGAGGTGTCAGGGTGGCAACCGATGGAGTACAGCGTGTGTAGGTAAGACAGTGCAGGTTGAACGATGGGCTAAACTTTGTCTTTTCACATCTGGACATTAAAGCTGTGTAGACCGAGGCTAGTGCTAGTGCATCACTGAAGTTAATTAACGTCTTTTGCATACGGCTGCGGGAATAAAACCGTTTGTGACTCTACTCAATCTGTCAGTGATGGGGAATTCAGCTGTTTTGTTAAGCGAAGGTGAGTCTTGGCAATTCTGAGTTTGACTTAAGCCGTGTCCGTTCTATTTTATATAGACGCAGAACAAGTCAAGAACAGTAAATACTGCTTGTATCAACTGCGAATCACTGGACAAAGGTAGTTCAGCCTACGTACAGCGTCTTCACAATAGAAACTGCTGGCGGAATGAGCAGAGAGTTCAGTTTGAGTCGCTTTCGCTCGACTTACTTTTGACCCTGCGTCGCTGTCGTCATCTGCTGCACGCGAGTCGTCATCTCTCTCTCTCGAGTCGTTTTTCTGCTTGTTTCGGCCTTGCCTCGGCTTCTTTGATCACACTCCGCTGAACTTGATGCCGCCGTCGTTCAAGTAAGTAGGCTTTCAAGTTGCGTGATCAGCCGCAGTGGCGACTAATGGTTATCACCAGGGAGACGTAAAAATATTGTACGACTCCCTGGTTTCATCTTCGCTCTCCAGAGCTCCGCGAAACAAAGAGTACAGGCACAGCCAAACTGATTCCAATTTCTATGATGGCTACTTCTGCCAGCACTGAGCGGCAGCGGCCAGCAAGACCAGTCGACTTACTGTACCGTTCAAGTAAGTTGGCTTTCAAGTTGCGTGATCAGCCGCATTGGCGACTAATGGTTACCACCAGGGAGACGTAAAAATATTGTACGACTCCCTGGTTTCATCTTCGCTCTCCAGAGCTCCGCGAAACAAAGAGTACAGGCACAGCCAAACTGATTCCAATTTCTATGATAGCTACTTCTGCCAGCACTGAACGGCAGCGGCCAGCAAGACCAGTCGACTTACTGTAGCCACAAGGCTCGCGTCGGACTGCAGACTTCTGAATGAATGCATGGTCCAGGCCCGTAGCAGCCCCATTTAGGTTGGTCCGGCAAGATCCGACATTGATGCTCTCCCTCCCCCCCCCCCCCATGATTAGGCATACTCATACATATGCCGGTACATGTACATGTACATGACTTTATCTTGCCCGTAAAAGAGGCCGTCACCCCGCCAAAACAAACAAACAAACATGTACATGTACATTGTACAATGTACTTCCTCCGCGTCATTAAAATTGTCGCTTCCGAGAGCGATTTTTCGAAAATTATGTTGTCCACAGCTAGAAATTGAGGCAGAGCATTGTCGACGGGCCAAGCTTTAGTTTGTGACCCACGCTTCGCTGCACTTGCAGCTAAGGTCGACGTCTTCATCAGAGTTTGAGGCAGACCCTTCAGCACTCAACAATACGCTGAACAAGACGGGCTTTCAAATTCAGGTCAAGAAACTTCGTTTTCAGGCGATCCATGCCTCCAGGTGCCAGGCGATGAAGGCAAGCTAGCATTTTTCAAATACACTGTAACGACCTTCCAGCGGGACAGGGTAAGCAGTTCCGCACCTTCTTTCCTTGGCAAGCGCTTCGCTGATTTTGTTGGTGTTTTCAGACCTGCTACCTTCGCAGCAACATGCGCCACAAGTAGCGCATTTTAGGAATTTGAGACAACTTTGTTCTTGCCATCGCCAACTTCAGCAATTCGTATTCAGGAGAGATACCAGCATTCTTATACCCGAGCTTGCAGTCTTGGCAAATGTCCAGGCGAACGATGTGGGACGGCACGAACTCCAGAAAACGAAATGCGCTCTGGGGTGGAATAGTGCGGAGCGTGATGAATTCGCTTGGTGCGGAAGACAGCTCCGACAAAGTTCGAGACCACCATAGCTTCAGTGACAAGTAGACATTGCGCAGGAAGGGTCACACCAGTGTTCAAACACAGAAAACAACAATTCCGAAAGTCTGACTAAGACGAGCCAAGTCACAAATATTGCGATGCGCGAAGCGACAATTTTAATGACGCGGACAGGTACATGCATGGTATCGTGACTATGCAGAGTGGGCGAGAAAAGGAAGAAGGACGTTCTGCATGAGTCAGGAAAAGGGCATCAGCATGTTGTGTCCGTCCAAACAGAACTTGTTGAAGCCTGTGAAGGCATCGCAACAGTATCTAAATGCATGTGATAAAAGAACCAAAATGTACCTTTGGAGGAGGAGAAAGGGTATTGCAATGGACTATCTTTGGTGCAAACCCTATCTAGAAAGAATTGGAGGAAGAAAAGAATCCGAACACGATTCAGGAAGAAAATTCAGGAAGTACCGAGTAGGAACATTCACGGGCATGACTGTCCACATGACCTTCAGCAGGGTCATACTGCTGATGACATGTACAATGTAGGTCTACTACCGGCACCAAGAGTCCATAACTCTTGCCGGTACTACTATGTAATACCTCTATACTACTTATTGCACACATCATCATCATCATGATGATGAAACCTGATGAGACCTGACCGGTTTCTGCACGTAGAGTGCTTCATCAAAGGAATGAAAAAATGTTGTCTCTGACTATAGCTTATATACACAGCAAAAGAAATCAACAGATGCAGTAGAAGGTGCAATAGATGCAATGCAGTTGCAACCATAGAGGTAGCAGTAAAAGGTGTAATAGGTGCAATCAAGAGTACATCACCCCCCCCCCCCCCCCCCCCCCAGAGTGTGCAACGCCTGATCCAGCTCTGCATAGGGTCTTGGTCGAGCGTAATCGGATCTTTGCGTCATAATACCGTACACATCTGAGGGGAGCCCGGGGAGTCGCGGGTACGCTCGGATCAAAAACAACTGTGCCCTGCCTCGAGACCGGCCTTGCGCTGGTGTGGAGTGTACGCATGACATGAGAAGATCCGATTACGCTCGACCAAGACCCTATGCAGAGCTGGATCGACGTTGCACACTCTCGGGAGGGGGGGGGGGGGTATGTACTCCTGGTGCAATGCAGTTGCAACGATAGAGGTGTCTAGCTACAATTGTTGTTGAGAGCGAAAAAAGCGCAATGCTGCTATAGAATTATACTATAGAATTCATAAACCGCGGAGCTAAGTTGTATAATCCAAGAAAGGTGCGTGAACTGCAGGTAAGGTTAAAAGCTAAAAGTTGTATTTTTGGTTGGTGCCAGAAATTTCTGGCACCAACCAAAAAGCAGAGCTAAATGCTCTGCCGTATGAAGTCATTAATTAATTAATTAATTTTAATAAAACAGCCGCTTTGTTCTTCTAAAGAAAATCTGGGAGTCTACAAAGAATGACTGCTTCAAAAGTGAGCGATAATTATTCTTGACGAAATGCGGGTGGTATGTAGTGCAGAACACTAAATGGTTCTGTACTTTAGTAGCGGATGACTTCCAAGTGAAGAGTTGCGGTGTTGCTTCTACCGCTTCAAATATCGGTTTAAGAAAGTCAGGCGGATATCCTCTTCTGAGCCGAGTCCAAAACTCAGCACGGATGGTGAGGACGTCTTCGAGCAGCTGGTTTGTACCATTGTATCTGACCAGCTCCGCATTGATGAATGAGCGTAGATTGGAGCGGAGGTGGTCAGATTTAACTGGGATATATAAGTAAGCATTACGTTTCTTTTGGAATGTTCTAAAAGAAAACTTACGAGCAAGAACATTAGGTTTGAATATTTCTAGGTCTAGGAAAACTGCAGTAGAAGAAATAGAAGACCAAGTTAGTTCAATATCACATAGATCTTGGTATGCAAGAGCGTTAAAGCGTATCTTGTCAAAGGTTTTACTAACAATCAGACATAAGTCGTCAATAAAACGTCCGAAATAGTACACGCACGAGCGAAACGATTGCAAAGCTGTTCTTTCGTGCATGAATAGAAAATTGTTGACAGCCATGGGAGTACCCATTGCCATACCGAACTCCTGATGAAATAGCTTACAATCAAACTCGAAGTAATTGTTCTCAAGAACAAATTCTACAAGGTCCACAATCATTGTACAACGCGGGTGTTCTGCTTCTACCAGGAAATCGTTAATGGCTGAAATGGTGTCTGACCAATGCATGTTTGTATAAAGGCTAACAACGACTATCATGGTGTCTTCAAGGAAATCATGTTCAGCAAGGATGGCTGTTAGACTATGCATGTCAAATATATTATTATTTCCAGGGGAAGATAAAAAAACTGCATGCCTGGCCTTCACATTCATGCCATATGAAGCCAAGAGCTCAAAACCAAGATTGTGATGCTTTGAGTATGCGCCAATGCACACAAGCACCTCCCTTATCAGGCCACTTACGTGTTGTATGGTGAATTCAACAGGAAAGGCAGTTCTAGCCTTCTATTTGTGCTGGCGCAAACATAATCTACAATTCCAATTGAATTGGCTGTGGGCAATACCCGATGGTAAAACGTTAATTTATTCCCGTATTACCTATGCAGAAGACGTTACTTTAGTAACGTCTGGCGCTAGCCAGGGTCCACACAGCTTTAATTTGGTGTTTGTTTGTTTGTTTGTTTGTGTCACGCCTGGAGCTATCCCGTATCTGTCCCGTATCTGTCCCGTATCTGTGACTACAAAGGCTCCACAGGATTGTACATAACTGCTGGCCACAATATTTGCTGCCTCCCGTATCTGTCCCGTACCGTCCCGTACTAACAGCTGGCCACAATATTCGTTGTATTATGTATACGACTCCCTGATGTAGAGGGAGATTTGGAAAGAAATAGGGAGACGAGGAGGAAATGAATTTAGAATGGACGTCAGTTGCCGAATAGATTATAGGATGCGTCAGCAAAAACACACTTTGGAAGAGAGATCCCGTCGTCTCCAAAATAAGCGTGAACGAGCGATTCAGCGCCGGTCACAGGAAACGTCGGAAGAGAAATCCCGTCGACTCCAGAACGCCCGTGATCGGCAGAGTCCACGCCGGTCCCAGGAAACGTCAGGACAGACATCCCGTCGACTCCAGAACGCCCGTGATCGACAGAGTCAGCGCCGGTCTCAGGAAACGTCAGACAGACATCCCGCCGAGTACAGAACGCCCGTGATCGGCAGAGTCAACGCCGGTCCCAGAAATCGTGAGCACAGACATCCTGTCGACGCGCAGAAAAACTAAATATGCAGCCTCTCTGCAGGGCGATGCGACACAGCTAGCGCATGTAGCCCTGTAGGGCCCAAAAGGTCGAGAAATATAGAAAACTGTTTCTCCCCTGCCCCCCCCCCCCCCCACACACACACATACATACTGTACACACACATACATACACACACATACATTTCATTGAGCAACACTGTACCAGGCCACCAAGCCGCTGCATTTAACACAACAATAATAGCAAGAGTATATAACCCCCCAAGAGTGTGCAACACATGATACACTTTCTATGGGGTTCGCCGATGGCAAAAACTCACATCACGTGGTGTAGTGTCGCAGTTGTACGTTTCCAGCCTGTTCAGGGCAATACGGACAACCCAAGTCACGACCACACATCGAAAACTACTGCTCGCTTGAAGACTGTATAAAAGTGTATTCACAAACAACAACAAAACTGAAAACTGAAAAACTCTGAAAAAGAAACTAAACAAAAAAGCCACGAGGTCCGCTCAGCACCTCGCGCACCAAGACCATCTACGAAAATGGAGGCATCGCAGTTCGCCTTCAAGGAAACAGCAACTATTGCAGCGAAGCGGTGAAAACTGCAAGAAAGCGAAAGCCATAGAATCACGGACACAACAGAAAAAGCCTGTACAGGTCGTCCCCCGTTAATACGAGTCCGGTTAGTACATAAACCCCGTTAGTACATAAGAAATCTCAAGTCCCGGACGAAACGTGGTCAATTCCATACAAATTTTGTCGGTTAGTACATAATTCGTTAGTACATAAACCCCGTTAGTACATAACATTTCTCCGTACCCGCATGCCACCTACCTCAATAATACATAATTTTTTGGTCTCTTGGCCTTCCAGTGCAGGCACATCGTGTTCTAGTTTCTACTTGTGGAGCTCAGAAATCAGAGCGCACATCACAAACCAACAAAGCTCTGTTTTTTTCCCGAGTGACTGTACTCGTACAGGCGCGAATGGGAATGTATGATGTAAACTGTAGAATCTTCGCTAAATGTGACCGTTATAACATAATTTTTATGTTATATCGAGGTAATCAAGAATATCTCGCTGCCTAGTCATGGTAGCAAGAAACACTCAGAAAAGTTGAAAAAGTGAAAAATTCTAGTACACAAGCAAGTTATGTACACTTTCGTTTAGTACATAAACCCCGTTAATACATAACATTTCTCAAGTCCCAGAGATTATGTATTAACGAGGGACGACCTGTACCAAAGAAAGCGCATCGCTAGCCGCGCAGTACACACACAGCGCACAGTTCACTGTACATTTGGCAAAAAACATAAAAGAAAATCAAGACTGTTCAAAGCGCAAAAAACGTCATGTTCAAGGAAATTCAAACGAAGAGAAAAGAGAGTAGAGAAGTTTAGAGAAGTACAAGAACGAAGAAATGGAGAAGAGAAACGTTCTTATGATGAAGAGTAGAGAGAAGAGCAGAGAGAAGAGAGAGACAGACTGGAAAGCAGTTCTACAGAAGACGTGAGAGAGAAGAAAGGTGAGAGAATAGACAGAACGAAAATAGCAAAGACAAAGTACACAACAAATTCAAACAATGCCGATCTTGTTCACAAGTTCATCCATCAGGCAGGAACACAGCCTGTTTTTAGCGAGCAGGAGAGTAATAGAAAAAGCACTCTCTGACAGAAACTCACTGCGCGTATGCAAATCCCCAGCATGATCCTGGTAGATATTCGGATTGCGCGCACGCTATCCTTCCTATGTACATCGTACGAAACACGTCATGTGAGTTTTCGCCGTCGACGACCCCATATGCAGAGCTGCACACTCTTGTGGGTTATATATATACTCTTGATAATAGGATGCAGCAGCTTCAACTTTGTTCCAACTCGATTGTGTGGCACTTCAACTTTGCGATGCCTCGACTCTGTCGTGCTTCAAGCTATGTCCGATGATTTTCATGCATTATTCTTCTCCCGTTCAGAGAACTCGTGCCCCCCTCCGGCCCCGATTCCCAATGCCGTTACCACCGGCAAGAGCACTGTGGAGAAGACTGTTTCCTGCTTGCCTGGCTACACCCTGGCCCCCGGTTCACCACCGGTGATTTACTGCCAAACTAACCAGAAATGGACATTATCTGCCTGCGAGGGTAAGTCCCACCGTTTGAACCAGGGTACAGTATTGCACACCTGGTTAAAAAAAGAGCCCGCTATGAAGAGTGTGTTGTGGGTTTTGTTATGATGGACTGATTAGGTACAATAGGTACATGTATGTGAAGTAGAATTCAGAAACGTTTTTCTTTGATGATCATCGGTGAACCTACATATTTTATTCCCGTAGCTATGCAGAAGCCAGGGTCCACACAACTTTAATTCCCGTAGCTATGCAGAAGACGTTACTTCAGTAACGTCTGGCGCTAGCCAGGGTCCACACAGCTTTAATTTGGTGTTTGTTTGTGTGTTTGTTTGTTTGTGTCACGCCTGGCGCTATCCGTATCTGACGGCAAAAAAGCATAGGATGTTATAAATTTTTCAATTCTCCTTTTTTTTTTCAGGCATATCCTGGGATTCGAACCCGCACTATCGCCCTACATGCATTCCCCCATACACTTCGCATTCATACCCATTCTTCCAAGTTGCTTTACGTTATTATCTTGCGTTTGAAAGCCCTATTTGAATATTGCGGGCAGCTGTATGTGGCCAGCTGTGTTTGATGGTACAGTACGATACGGGAGACGGTGTCGTATTACCCTCGATCGTATCTGTCCCGTCCCTATCCCCTACCGTACCGTGCCATCAAAGACGGCTGGCCACAATGCATATTCAAATAGGGCTTTCAAATCCAAGATCACAATGTGAAACAACTTGGAAGAATTAGTATGTATGCGAAGTGTATCGGGGGATGCATGCAGGGCGCGTGATCGATAGTGCGGGTTCGAATCCCAGGTTATGTCTTAAAAAAAAAAGAATTTTTTTAAAGAATTTATAACATCCCTATGCTTTTTTTGTCTAGGTCATCAAGGCAAAAAAGCATAGCGTAGGGCCCTGAGCTTCCAAGCTCTCTCGTTTGGTGTTTGTTTGTTTGTGTGTTTGTGTCACGCCTGGAGCTATCCCGTATCTGTCCCGTATCTGTCCCGTATCTGTGACTATAAAGGCTCTACGGGATTGTACATAACAGCTGGCCACAATATTCTGCTGTCTCCGGTATCTGTCCCGTACTGTCCCTTATCACTCTCTTATTATTGACCCCCACAGAAACTTGTGATCTCTTGTTGACCACGTGTGCATATGCGGCAAGCGGATGCGACTACCCATGCACCTGGAGCGTCATCGAGCGTCGTGTCCTCTCTCTCTCTCTCTCTTCTCAAGTTTCCCAGTGATGGGATCACGTGACCCCTTTGCGGCAGTGACTCTACAGGACAGGACAGGAACGGTGTGTGTGTGTGTATGTGTGTGTGTATGTGTATGTGTGTGTGTGTGTATGTGTGTGTGTGTGTGCTTGAAGGGGACGGTTGCACTTTTTGTAGCTCCGTTTTATCTGAGTTTTCAGTCGTTCCTCTTACTAGTCTTAGGCCACGGGGTGGCTCTGGGTCCACCAGAGTCGCCCCTGGCGTGTTTCTGAATTTGCTGGGGCGAGGGTTCCGCGACGCGGTCGCCAGGGCAGTGTCTTTTCTGTCACGACCGTTGTCGTCCTCGTCTCTCCATTCGCGGTGGTGTAGCTGACCCCCGAATGGTTACAAACTGCGAAGCTCGGAGTACAGTGGTGGCAGAGGCATGAGCTGTGAGTGGAGACGGTTGCTGGAGATTGATGGTGATGCGGGGAGAAGAGGTACGCTGCCTGACGACGAGTGGGAAATTGTTTGATCCTGCAATTTCAGTTCGAGCGCGGTGGACTTCTTAGAACCAGCGAGTTTGCGATGGTAAAAGTTCGCAAAACACTGGGGCCACTTACATCCACCCACTGTTGAAGTTAGATTTCACGCTGGTTAATATTCGCGTTACTCTCTTCTCGCGAAAATAGCGAACATTAATCCGTCGTGGATATTAGGCAGTTAACAGTGAGCCTGGTTTTAGTGTTGACACACATAGAAATACCTGGTTTGAATAGAATCCTAGCCCTTACATCGGCTTCTACTGGAATAAGCCCGACTTTAATACCCGGCCTTACAGTACATGAAGACCAGAGTGTGCAGCTCGAATGGGTTGCTGTCACGGCGGAATTCCGTGATTACATTATTTTACTGATTATAGTGCATACAAGCTTCGAAGCAGTATCCAAGCAGCTCAGTTGTACGCCCTACGCCATTTCCCGCCTGCGCAAAATATGATGTAATCACGGAATTCCGCCGCAAAAAAGGTCCCAAGCTGCACACTCTGGTTTTCATGTACTGTTGATAATAATTATCCTATCCGCGATGGCAATTAACCGTATTGCGCTACAGATCCTTTCAATGTTCTTCTCTTTCCTTTTCCTCTTCCACCTGTACTTCTCCTTAGTTTCCTCTTTTCTCTTTAGCTCTTCTCTTGTACCTTCTTGCTATGATTCACTGATGTGGGTGTTGAATAAATCATGGTCTACACAACTCGGGGTACTGAGGCAATAGCCAAATGTAAAAATATAAGCAAGCACACACACACGGGTTACTACGAGTTGTGAGTTGGGAAGTTTAGTCCCACGTAATCCGCCGGTACTTTACGTGTGTGTACCACGTGATACTCAGTGACCCACATACAGACGTTTTCTGATTCACGACATACTGTGTATGGAGGCTCACCCACGTTCTGCCAGAATGTGGGTGAAAATCAGAATGGAGCGCATTGTGTGAGCTGTGAGGGTGCTCAGCTGAAGAAGGTTCCGAAGCACGAAATCAAAATATTGGATGAGCTTCTTAGGCCCGGGTAGCTTCGTCTTTGACCAGGTTTGGGCCTTTCGCTTCATGATTTTGTTTGTTCCGTGTGACTAAACACAACATTGCAACATGGGTGCCCTTCATCCACTTTACGTGGATCACCCACGTTCGCGTTTCCGTTACGTGGGAACTAAACCTCCCTAGTAACTGTCCACTGCTGTAACGAGATAGTAAGATGACCTTCCCCTCGAAAATTGGTCTTGCCATAACCTTGAACTTCCCAAGCTGGAAGGTTGTTGGTTTGCGCACTGGAGGTGTGTGAGAGCTAGGTCTCGGGTCGCTGAATGGCACAGTAACGTGTCAGTTTTGTGCCCGGTTATTGCACTTTCTGACTGATTATTATATTGTTACTATCGTGGATAGTTGCTTCATAGCTCGTTTCCATGTGATTTCTTCTATTTTGATTATAATAATTTTATTGGCTCAGTATCCAAGATAATGCGCAGTCAGAAAGTGCAATAACCGGGCACAAAACTGACACGTTACTGTGCCATTCAGCGACCTGACACCTAGCTCTCACACATCTCCAGTGCGCAAACCTCTTTTACAATGTCATTTACGTTTGGCTCAGTACCCGAGTTCAATTTTGCATTTGATAGTAAAAAAATTGAAGGGCCTTAACCTAGCTCGAACACATCTCCATTGCGCAAACCAACAGCCTTCCAGCTCCAGGTTCAAGGTTATGGTAGGACCTATGAGGGGATCGCGAGCGCAGCAAAAATGTGCATAAACTATGTCCCAAGGCAACTAAGAATGTCGACTATTACCGTATTCTGTCACTTTTGGGCTGCCCAGAGTTCCCCGAAGTCTTGTATAAAAGCTGCACCTGGCCTCGAATAGAAGCCGCAATTTTGGGCCCATCAAATCACACATAAGCCTGGTTTTAGTGTTGACATACAATAGAAATACCTGTCTCATATAGAAGCCTGTCTCATATAGAAGCCTGCAACATTTCACCAAGAAAGTCATAGAAGCCGCGGCTTTTATACAAGACTTGACGGTAAGTCACACCTTTTTACACAAATATTCACTGAGGGTAAAAAAAGGGGGTGCGACTTACAATCGAGCATGACTTACTACTGAAGTCAATATATCGAAACAACATGGCTCCTGCTTAACATAGCACTGCCAGCCCTGAAACCTATAGACTCGAGCCCCCACATTCTCACACAGCTTTTCATGCAGCGCTACAAGACCCATGCCCACCCTCTCCTGGCATAATATTATTATTATACACCAGCATGGTCGGCACCCCATCCTCATGTTGCCTGATGATTGCGAGAGCATGAAACTTGAAGAAGTTGAAGCAAACAAGCCTTAATTGTCCTTAATGTTCTGTGTCACAGATATAGATGAATGCGATGTACAACCACTCCCCTGTGAGCTGAGTAGATGTGTCAATGACGTGGGAACGTACCAATGCTGCCCTCTCGGCTATCGCAAGAATATATCTCTGCCGACACGCTGTGAAGGTTAGTCACTTGCTCAAGCCGTGCGTGTCTTCGGGCAAGAACACGTTCTAATGTGTCCTGTGGATCTTTACTGTATATGTGGGTGTGTGAGCCTGACAATGCGCCTGAGCCTCCGCCCCGAGTGGTATGTACGGTATGCGTACGGGATTTTGCACGGAATGGAGACATGGCTCGGCATAAATGTCTGGAGGAGCGTGCGCGGCCTGTGTCTGAGCAGCGGGGCGCCAGTCAGTGCGGGCGGTGTGGGCGGTAGCTGAGAAGCCGCGGTGGCTTGGTCCGGCATGTGTGTGCCTCAACGGTGGATGCCACAGTGCCACCTGGAGCTACCGGAACGTCGGCACCGGCGGAGGGATGTTGTGCCGCGCATTGTGACAGGTGTGGTCGCTGCTTTCGCGGTGTCCGGGGACGGGGCAGGCATCGCTGTTCAAGGGGGCGCATAGACCAACAGCAGAGGAGCGCTCAGCCTTCCAGCACGTGTGCATATGCGGCAAGCGGATGCGACTACCCATGCACCTGGAGCGTCATCGAGTGTCGTGTCCTCTCTCTCTCTCTTCTCAAGTTTCCCAGTGATGGGATCACGTGACCCCTTCGCGGCAGTGACTCTACAGGACAGGACAGGAACGGTGTGTGTGTGTGTGTGTGTGTATGTGTGTGTATGTGTGTGTGTATGTGTATGTGTGTGTGTGTGTGTGTGTGTATGTGTGTGTGTGTGCTTGAAGGGGGCGGTTGCACTTTTTGTAGCTCCGTTTCATCTGAGTTTTTAGTCGTTCCTCTTACTAGTCTTAGGCCACGGGGTGGCTCTGGAAGGAAAATGAAAACGTCACGTACATTTCTACATCAGGTTGCTAAGTTGAACGGCTGTGGGCCGTTTAGACAAAAGGATAGTGCTACCACGTTCCCTCCTCGTGTGTCCCTCTTGTTGCTGGTCTGTAATGTCCTGCATCTGATTGTCAGCTACTAGTATGCTGCAGTACTGTCAAGTCTTATAACGAAGTGCTAAATCTAACGAGTTAACGAGGAACACACGCTTCCTACCGACCTTGACACCCGCCTGCTCCGTCAAATCTCAAGTTCGGCAGGACGCGTGTGTTCCTCGTTGCAAGAATCAACTTCATGACTTATACCGCCGAAGTCGCAACTTCTACGAGGAGACCTTTGCTGTTAAAAAATATATATTATATCTATTCTACAGAAATCGATGCTTATACTGTCGTTATTGAGCGTTGAGATTGAGTGAGAATCGTTACCTTTGAAAGTACACGTAAACCGGTCAATTTTAGGAAATTGTTATAATTGCGCCTCGTGTAATAGAATAATGGCTTTTACAGTATTTTTTAATCACACTTGTTAGTGCCTCACTTGCAAATTTTGTTGTTGCCACCTTTTCCATCGCTACTGTTGTGCTCCCGATTTGTATTACTTACATAGTTCTTGTGCATGCCTCTAGGCATTTGTCGTCACGGGTTTGAGAACCGTGAACGAACTACCTCTAGGCTCCTCGCCACCCCACACAACACAGGACTAGTGCAAATTGTTAGAGTACTTTTTCTTCTACTTCATTTCAGTAGGCGACTGGGGAACTCATAAAGAAGAACCAACACTGACAACGAACGGCTGACGACTGACACGGAGACAAGACGAGACAACAGAATATATTATAGTGAAGGCGTACAACGGGGACAAGACAAGCAAGTGTGTACCAACGGGGACAGAAGACGGTGCAGCCGCATGTACCCAGGAGTCAAAAACAGCGCAGCAGCATGTACCACGACTCAGCAGCATGTACAACAAAGAGACACAAAAGCAGCCACATGTACGACAAAGAGCTACACGTGCAACCGCATGTACAACGAAGAGACACAAGCGCAGCCACATGTACAACACATTATTCTAAGCTGTTTTCCTTTCTCAAGGTGGGGAAGCTCGACTGCAGCCTCCTTGTTGCACTGAACACCCTACGCATGCCATCCTCAAAGCAAGGGGTCTCTTTCGCTGCAAATCGCTATGTTCACAATCAGGTTTACGACCAGGAACCTCCAGCAGGATATCCTTTCTATCTGTTTGAGTTGTTCATACAATCGCCTAGGGAAAAAGAGCAGTGGATAACACAGAGCAGGGTTGCAGCTCTCTTTCTGGCCGCTGCTTTCATGCACTGAGCAACGTTCTTTCCTTCCGTTTCAGAAAACGTTTGCGGTGCATTCAAAGGACAACCTAATACCGTCTACACCAGGGTCAGCAACGTGGCCAAGAATGTGTCTTGCCTCCCGGGCTTTCGTCTTGCGCCTCGCAGCCCATCAACCATCTACTGTGATGGCACTAACTGGACACTCTCTTACTGCACAGGTTAGTCCAACTCGGGTATAGTTACTATTTCCGTTACTGTTGTGTCTTGTATTAAAGCGTATCTCGAATAGAAAAAGCCTGTTTTGAATACAAGCCTGTTTTGAATACAAGCCTGTTTTGAATACAAGTCGGTTTTGAATACAAGCCGGTTTTGAATACAAGCCTGTTTTGAATACAAGCCTGTTTTGAATACAAGCCTGTTTTGAATAGAAGCCTGTTTTGAATACAAGCCTGTTTTGAATACAAGCCTGACTTTCAAGATACACGGCCGGCACATACCTTAAACCGCCCAATACTCTCGTCACTAAATTTTCGCGGTTTCTTAGAACCAGCTAGTTTGCGATGGTGAAAGTTCGCGAAACACTGGGGCCACTTACATCCACCCACTGTTGAAGTTAGATTTCACGCTGGTTAATATTCGCGTTACTCTCTTCTCGCGAAAACAGCGAACATTAATCCGTCGTGGATATTAGGCAGTTTACAGTGAGCATGGTTTTAGTGTTGACACACATAGAAATACCTGGTTTGAATAGAAGCCTGATGTGAATAGAATCCTAGCCCTTACATCGGCTTCTACTGGAATAAGCCCGACTTTAATACCCGGCCTTACAGTACATGAAGACCAGAGTGTGCAGCTCGGATGGGTTGCTGTCACGGCGGAATTCCGTGATTCCATTATTTTACTGATTATAGTGCATACAAGCTTCGAAGCAGTATCCAAGCAGCTCAGTTGTACGCCCTACGCCATTTCCCGCCTCAGACCTGCGCAAAATATGATGTAATCACGGAATTCCGCCGCAAAAAAGGTCCCAAGCTGCACACTCTGGTTTTCATGTACTGTTGATAATAATTATCCTATCCGCGATGGCAATTAACCGTATTGCGTTACAGATCCTTTCAATGTTCTTCTCTTTCCTTTTCCTCTTCCACCTGTACTTCTCCTTAGTTTCCTCTTTTCTCTTTAGCTCTTCTCTTGTACCTTCTTGCTATGATTCACTGATCTGGGCGTTGAATAAATCATGGATTACACAACTCGGGGTACTGAGCCAATAGCCAAATGTAAAAAAATAAGCAAGCACACACACGGTTACTACGTGAGTAGGGAAGTTTAGTCCCACGTAATCCGCCGGTACTGTCGTCTCGTGTTTGAGAACCGCGAACGAACTACCTCTAGGCTCCTCGCCACGCCACACAACAAAGGACTAGCACAAATAATTTAATTGTTAGAGTACTTTTTCTTCTACTTCGAGTACTTCATTTCAGTAGGCGACTGGGGAACTCATAAAGAAGAACCAACACTGACAACGAACGACTGACGACTGACGACTGACGGACGACTGACGACTGACACTGAGACAAGACTAGACAACAGAATATATTAGATTGAAGGCGTACAACGGGGACAAGACGAGCAAGTGTGTACCACCGGGGACAGAAGACGGTGCAGCCGCATGTACGCAGGAGTCAAAAACAGCGCAGCAGCATGTACCACGACTCAGCAGCATGTACAACAAAGAGACACAAAAGCAGCCACATGTACGACAAAGAGCTACACGTGCAACCGCATGTACAACGAAGAGACACAAGCGCAGCCACATGTACAACAGTACTTTACGTGTGTGTACCACGTGATACTCAGTGACCCACATACAGACGTTTTCTGATTCACGACATACCGTGTATGGAGGCTCACCCACGTTCCGCCAGAATGTGGGTGAAAATCAGAATGGAGCGCATTGTGTGAGCTGTGAGGGTGCTCAGCTGAAGAAGGTTCCGAAGCACGAAATCAAAATATTGGATGAGCTTCTTAGGCCCGGGTAGCTTCGTCTTTGACCAGGTTTGGGCCTTTCGCTTCATGATTTTGTTTGTTCCGTGTGACTAAACACAACATTGCAACGTGGGTGCCCTTCATCCACTTTACGTGGATCACCCACGTTCGCGTTTCCGTTACGTGGGAACTAAACCTCCCTAGTAACTGTCCACTGCTGTAACGAGATAATGAGATGACCTTCCCCTCGAAAATTGGTCTTGCCATAACCTTGAACTTCCCAAGCTGGAAGGTTGTTGGTTTGCGCACTGGAGGTGTGTGAGAGCTAGGTCTCGGGTCGCTGAATGGCACAGTAACGTGTCAGTTTTGTGCCCGGTTATTGCACTTTCTGACTGATTATTATATTGTTACAGTCGTGGATAGTTGCTTCATAGCTCGTTTCCATGTGATTTCTTCTATTTTGATTATAATAATTTTATTGGCTCGGTATCCAAGATAATGCGCAGTCAGAAAGTGCAATAAACGGGCACAAAACTGACACGTTACTGTGCCATTCAGTGACCTGACACCTAGCTCTCACACATCTCCAGTGCGCAAACCTCTTTTACAATGTCATTTATGTTTGGCTCTGTACCCGAGTTCAATTTTGCATTTGATAGTAAAAAAATTGAAGGGCCTTAACCTAGTTCGAACACATCTACATTGCGCAAACCACCAGCCTTCCAGCTCCAGTTTCAAGGTTATGGTAGGACCTATGAGGGGATGGCAAGCGCAGCAAAAATGTGCATAAACCATGTCCCAAGGCAACTAAGAATGTCGACTATTACCGTATTCTGTCACTTTTGGGCTGCCCAGAGTTCCCCGAAGTCTTGTATAAAAGCTGCACCTGGCCTCGAATAGAAGCCGCAATTTTGGGCCCGTCAAATCACACATAAGCCTGGTTTTAGTGTTGACATACAATAGAAATACCTGTCTCATATAGAAGCCTGCAAAATGTCACCAAGAAAGTCATAGAAGCCGCGGCTTTTATACAAGACTTTACGGTAAGTCATACCTTTTTACACTAAAATTCACTGAGGGTAAAAAAAGGGGGTGCGACTTACAATCGAGCATGACTTACTACTGAAGTCAATATATCGAAACAACATGGCTCCTGCTTAACATAGCACTGCTAGCCCTGAAACCTATAGACTCGAGCCCCCACATTCTCACACAGCTTTTCATGCAGCGCTACAAGACCCATGCCCACCCTCTCCTGGCATAATATTATTATTATACACCAGCATGGTCGGCACCCCATCCTCATGTTGCCTGATGATTGCGAGAGCATGAAACTTGAAGAAGTTGAAGCAAACAAGCCTTAATTGTCCTTACTGTTCTGTGTCACAGATATAGATGAATGCGATGTACAACCACTCCCCTGTGAGCTGAGTAGATGTGTCAATGACGTGGGAACGTACCAATGCTGCCCTCTCGGCTATCGCAAGAATATATCTCTGCCGACACGCTGTGAAGGTTAGTCACTTGCTCAAGCCGTGCGTGTCTTCGGGCAAGAACACGTTCTAATGTGTCCTGTGGATCTTTACTGTATATGTGGGTGTGTGAGCCTGACAATGCGCCTGAGCCTCCGCCCCGAGTGGTATGTACGGTATGCGGACGGGATTTTGCACGGAATGGAGACATGGCTCGGCATAAGTGTCTGGAGGAGCGTGCGCGGCCTGTGTCTGAGCAGCGGGGCGCCAGTCAGTGCGGGCGGTGTGGGCGGTAGCTGAGAAGCCGCGGTGGCTTGGTCCGGCATGTGTGTGCCTCAACAGTGGATGCCACAGTGCCACCTGGAGCTACCGGAACGTCGGCACCGGCGGAGGGATGTTGTGCCGCGCATTGTGACAGGTGTGGTCGCTGCTTTCGCGGTGTCCGGGGACGGGGCAGGCATCGCTGTTCAAGGGGGCGCATAGACCAACAGCAGAGGAGCGCTCAGCCTTCCAGCACGTGTGCATATGCGGCAAGCGGATGCGACTACCCATGCACCTGGAGCGTCATCGAGCGTCGTGTCCTCTCTCTCTCTCTCTTCTCAAGTTTCCCAGTGATGGGATCACGTGACCCCTTTGCGGCAGTGACTCTACAGGACAGGACAGGAACGGTGTGTGTGTGTGTGTCTATGTGTATGTGTGTGTGTATGTGTATGTGTGTGTGTGTGTGTGTGTGTATGTGTGTGTGTGCTTGAAGGGGACGGTTGCACTTTTTGTAGCTCCGTTTTATCTGAGTTTTCAGTCGTTCCTCTTACTAGTCTTAGGCCACGGGGTGGCTCTGGGTCCACCAGAGTCGCCCCTGGCGTGTTTCTGAATTTGCTGGGGCGAGGGTTCCGCGACGCGGTCGCCAGGGCAGTGTCTTTTCTGTCACGACCGTTGTCGTCCTCGTCTCTCCATTCGCGGTGGTGTAGCTGACCCCCGAATGGTTACAAACTGAGAAGCTCGGAGTACAGTGGTGGCAGAGGCATGAGCTGTGAGTGGAGACGGTTGCTGGAGATTGTTGGTGATGCGGGGAGAAGAGGTACGCTGCCTGACGACGAGTGGGAAATTGTTTGATCCTGCAATTTCAGTTCGAGCGCGGTGGACTTCTTAGAACCAGCGAGTTTGCGATGGTAAAAGTTCGCGAAACACTGGGGCCACTAACATCCACCCACTGTTGAAGTTAGATTTCACGCTGGTTAATATTCGCGTTACTCTCTTCTCGCGAAAACAGCGAACATTAATCCGTCGTGGATATTAGGCAGTTTACAGTGAGCATGGTTTTAGTGTTGACACACATAGAAATACCTGGTTTGAATAGAAGCCTGATGTGAATAGAATCCTAGCCCTTACATCGGCTTCTACTGGAATAAGCCCGACTTTAATACCCGGCCTTACAGTACATGAAGACCAGAGTGTGCAGCTCGGATGGGTTGCTGTCACGGCGGAATTCCGTGATTACATTATTTTACTGATTATAGTGCATACAAGCTTCGAAGCAGTATCCAAGCAGCTCAGTTGTACGCCCTACGCCATTTCCCGCCTCAGATCTGCGCAAAATATGATGTAATCACGGAATTCCGCCGCAAAAAAGGTCCCAAACTGCACACTCTGGTTTTCATGTACTGTTGATAATAATTATCCTATCCGCGATGGCAATTAACCGTATTGCGCTACAGATCCTTTCAATGTTCTTCTCTTTCCTTTTCCTCTTCCACCTGTACTTCTCCTTAGTTACCTCTTTTCTCTTTAGCTCTTCTCTTGTACCTATGATTCACTGATGTGGGTGTTGAATAAATCATGGATTACACAACTCGGGGTACTGAGCCAATAGCCAAATGTACTTCCTCCGTTAACAAAAACTTCGTGATGGATTTTGATGGAAATACAAACTCTTGGAACAGGTCAAAAACAGTTTGTATGGACTATAAATCACATAACGAAGGTAGTTCAGCTTATGTACAACATATCTACAAGTGGAACGCTTGGTGGCATGAGCAAAGAGTTCATTCTGAGTCGCTTTCGCTCGACTCATTTTCATCGCTGTCGTCGTCTGATGCACTCGAGTATTCATCCCGCTCGAGTCGATTCTTCTGCTCTTTCAGCTTTTTCTCGGCCTCTTTGATTGTACTCCGCTGAACTGTGGTGACATCCCCGCCACTAGCTTTCAAGCTTCGTAATCCGCGGTGGCGAATATACTCGTTGCCACCTCCACTTTCAAGAACTCCGAGAAATGAGGCGTACAGGCAGAGCCAAACCGATTCCATTTTATCGGCCGGATAATCCTCCCAGCACTGAGTGACAGCGGCTAGCAAGTCCCGCCGATTTTCCTTGGCTACGAGACTCACGTCGGTCTGCAGACTCCTGAAGAATGCGAGGTCGTCGACATTCAAATCAGGGCTTTGTGCCGGCTGAACAAGAACTTGAATCCGCAACCCTTTCATTGCGCCGTGGGATCGAAACAGCTGCGTGTTCACGCGCTCAGTGTGTGGTCTTGCTCCATCGTGCTGATAGTGCAGCACTTCACCGGCCTCTGGGCAGCGTGTACCAGTCTTGGTGAACTTCCACTTGCCAGACACGAGTGACCCACATGGAACGCGTACACCATCCTCCGTACGGTATCTCGCATCCTTGTGGAACCACCACATGCGCGTTCTCATCGCATCAAACACGCCACCTTTTGTGATGAGCTTCTCATGGTAGGCTTTCGCGTCCACGGTCACATCCTGCAGCATCATTGTTTCGCCCATTACAGTTCCTGTACGGATGTCACTGCGCTTCGCTGGGCGTTCAAGCGTGAAGCTCCAAAGGCCAATGCGCCCGTCGAAGCCGTACTCACTGCGAGGCTTGGCACACACTGCAAGGAACATGATTTTCGGTGTCCTTGACTTGTGATAGAGCTTCGGCGCTGCAGGGACTTGATACTTGCCGTCTTTGTCCGGGAAGACACGGCTCACCTGGCCATCCTTCATCAGTAGGAACCACTTCTCATCGCCATGAACGATGTCTTCGAGATTGGTGAATTTTGCAGAGCGCTTGTCGATCTGACTCAGAACAAACTGCAGTCGATTCACGCGGTGAGTCAGAGTTAGTTTGGGCTTGATATGTCGCCTCCTCCGAACCATTCCCAACTCTCTGCACCACTTGCGGACTGTTACTGGCGATGCTTTAGTTCCCTGCTCGCCTAGTTTACCAGCAAGACGCTTGAAAGAGAGCTGACCCCAGTGCTCGTTGTTGATCTTGATTAGCGCTTGTGCCACTTCAGGTGTGAACTTGATTGGTTCACGCCCGCAATGCTTTCGTTTGCGTCCCCACTCCATGGCTGCAGTTGGCACTTTCTGTTGCTTTTGCTCTCGATAGAACAGTAGCTGCTTACGAACGAAGTTCCATTTCAGGTTCTGGTCCGGAAAGTCCTCCTTGAGCTGAGCGAACGCTGCCTTTGTCAAAGCACCTCTACGAGTGATCTCCTCAGCACGAAGAGCCACATCCTTTCGTTGCGGAGTTTTGATATCCTGGCGTCCTGTGCGTTTCTTTGTTGGTGTCTTCGTCGCAGCTGGTCGTTTGACGACTTGAGCAGCTATGCTCTTGATGCTCTTCTTGCTCCTTGCCATGGCTCTCGATCATTCTCAAACTGAGAGCTAGAGAGGCCAAGCAACTCATTATGTTCTCGAAGAAGGAGAATTTCACTTCCACTCGTAATGGCTGTCATCAACTGTGTGGCAACAGCGCAACCATCGATTCCGCTCGGTTTGTTGTGAATAGTCGGCTTCCTAACATTGTGTCGCTTTCATGGCATGCCAGTGAAAGCAAAGGAAGTAATCGTAACTCTTTTCATAGCAGTTTGCACGCGTAACCAGTGTAACCAATCCTCCAAAAATCCATCACAAAGTTTTTGTTAACGGAGGAAGTAAAAAAATAAGCAAGCACACACACGGGTTACTACGAGTTGTGAGTAGGGAAGTTTAGTCCCACGTAATCCGCCGGTACTTTACGTGTGTGTACCACGTGATACTCAGTGACCCACATACAGACGTTTTCTGATTCACGACATACCGTGTATGGAGGCTCACCCACGTTCCGCCAGAATGTGGGTGAAAATCAGAATGGAGCGCATTGTGTGAGCTGTGAGGGTGCTCAGCTGAAGAAGGTTCCGAAGCACGAAATCAAAATATTGGATGAGCTTCTTAGGCCCGGGTAGCTTCGTCTTTGACCAGGTTTGGGCCTTTCGCTTCATGATTTTGTTTGTTCCGTGTGACTAAACACAACATTGCAACGTGGGTGCCCTTCATCCACTTTACGTGGATCACCCACGTTCGCGTTTCCGTTACGTGGGAACTAAACCTCCCTAGTAACTGTCCACTGCTGTAACGAGATAATAAGATGACCTTCCCCTCGAAAATTGGTCTTGCCATAACCTTGAACTTCCCAAGCTGGAAGGTTGTTGGTTTGCGCACTGGAGGTGTGTGAGAGCTAGGTCTCGGGTCGCTGAATGGCACAGTAACGTGTCAGTTTTGTGCCCGGTTATTGCACTTTCTGACTGATTATTATATTGTTACAGTCGTGGATAGTTGCTTCATAGCTCGTTTCCATGTGATTTCTTCTATTTTGATTATAATAATTTTATTGGCTCAGTATCCAAGATAATGCACAGTCAGAAAGTGCAATAAACGGGCACAAAACTGACACGTTACTGTGCCATTCAGTGACCTGACACCTAGCTCTCACACATCTCCAGTGCGCAAACCTCTTTTACAATGTCATTTACGTTTGGCTCTGTACCCGAGTTCAATTTTGCATTTGATAGTAAAAAAATTGAAGGGCCTTAACCTAGCTCGAACACATCTCCATTGCGCAAACCAACAGCCTTCCAGCTCCAGGTTCAAGGTTATGGTAGGACCTATGAGGGGATGGCAAGCGCAGCAAAAATGTGCATAAACTATGTCCCAAGGCAACTAAGAATGTCGACTATTACCGTATTCTGTCACTTTTGGGCTGCCCAGAGTTCCCCGAAGTCTTGTATAAAAGCTGCACCTGGCCTCGAATAGAAGCCGCACATTTGGGCCCACCAAATCACACATAAGCCTGGTTTTAGTGTTGACATACAATAGAAATACCTGTCTCATATAGAAGCCTGCAAAATGTCACCAAGAAAGTCATAGAAGCCGCGGCTTTTATACCAGACTTTACGGTAAGTCATACCTTTTTACACTAAAATTCACTGAGGGTAAAAACGGGGGTGCGACTTACAATCGAGCATGACTTACTACTTAAGTCAATATATCGAAACAACATGGCTCCTGCTTAACATAGCACTGCTAGCCCTGAAACCTATAGACTCGAGCCCCCAAATTCTCACACAGCTTTTCATGCAGCGCTACAAGACCCATGCCCACCCTCTCCTGGCATAATATTATTATTATACACCAGCATGGTCGGCACCCCATCCTCATGTTGCCTGATGATTGCGAGAGCATGAAACTTGAAGAAGTTGAAGCAAACAAGCCTTAATTGTCCTTAATGTTCTGTGTCACAGATATAGATGAATGCGATGTACAACCACTCCCCTGTGAGCTGAGTAGATGTGTCAATGACGTGGGAACGTACCAATGCTGCCCTCTCGGCTATCGCAAGAATATATCTCTGCCGACACGCTGTGAAGGTTAGTCACTTGCTCAAGCCGTGCGTGTCTTCAGGCAAGAACACGTTCTAATGTGTCCTGTGGATCTTTACTGTATATGTGGGTGTGTGAGCCTGACAATGCGCCTGAGCCTCCGCCCCGAGTGGTATGTACGGTATGCGGACGGGATTTTGCACGGAATGGAGACATGGCTCGGCATAAGTGTCTGGAGGTGCGTGCGTGGCCTGTGTCTGAGCAGCGGGGCGCCAGTCAGTGCAGGCGGTGTGGGCGGTAGCTGAGAAGCCGCGGTGGCTTGGTCCGGCATGTGTGTGCCTCAACGGTGGATGCCACAGTGCCACCTGGAGCTACCGGAACGTCGGCACCGGCGGAGGGATGTTGTGCCGCGCATTGTGACAGGTGTGGTCGCTGCTTTCGCGGTGTCCGGGGACGGGGCAGGCATCGCTGTTCAAGGGGGCGCATAGACCAACAGCAGAGGAGCGCTCAGCCTTCCACCACGTGTGCATATGCGGCAAGCGGATGCGACTACCCATGCACCTGGAGCGTCATTGAGTGTCGTGTCCTCTCTCTCTCTCTTCTCAATTTTCCCAGTGATGGGATCACGTGACCCCTTTGCGGCAGTGACTCTACAGGACAGGACAGGAACGGTGTGTGTGTGTGTGTGTATGTGTGTGTGTATGTGTGTGTGTGTGTGTGTGTGTGTGTGTGTGTGTATGTGTGTGTGTATGTGTGCTTGAAGGGGACGGTTGCACTTTTTGTAGCTCCGTTTTATCTGAGTTTTCAGTCGTTCCTCTTACTAGTCTTAGGCCACGGGGTGGCTCTGGAAGGAAAATGAAAACGTCACGTACATTTCTACATCAGGTTGCTAAGTTGAACGGCTGTGGGCCGTTTAGACAAAAGGATAGTGCTACCACGTTCCCGCCTCGTGTGTCCCTCTTGTTGCTGGTTTGTTATGTCCTGCATCTGATTGTCAGCTACTAGTATGCTGCAGTACTGTCAAGTCTTATAACGAAGTGCTAAATCTAACGAGTTAACGAGGAACACACGCTTCCTGCCGACCTTGACACTCGCGTGCTCCGTCAAGTGTCAAGTTCGGCAGGAAGCGTGTGTTCCTCGTTGCAAGAATCAACTTCATGACTTATACCGCCGAAGTCGCAACTTCTAAGAGGAGACCTTTGCTGTTAAAATAAAGAATATATTCTACAGAAATCGATGCTTATACTGTTGCTATTGAGCGTTGAGAATGAGTGAGAATCGTTACCTTTGGTACACGTAAACCGGTCAATTTTAGGAAATTGTTATAATTGCGCCTCGTGTAATAGAATAATGGCTTTTACAGCATCTTTTAATCACACTTGTTAGTGCCTCACTTGCAAATTTTGTTGTTGCCACCTTTTCCATCGCTACTGTTGTGCTCCCGATTTGTATTACTTACATAGTTCTTGTGCATGCCTCTAGGCATTATTCTAAGCTGTTTTCCTTTCTCAAGGTGGGGAAGCTCCACTGCAGCCTCCTTGTTGCACTGAACACCCTACGCATGCCATCCTCAAAGCAAGGGGTCTCTTTCGCTGCAAATCGCTATGTTCACAATCAGGTTTACGACCAGGAACCTCCAGCAGGATATCCTTTCTATCTGTTTGAGTTGTTCATACAATCGCCTAGGGAAAAAGAGCAGTGGATAACACAGAGCAGGGCTGCAGCTCTCTGTCTGGCCGCTGCTTTCATGCACTGAGCAACGTTCTTTCCTTCCGTTTCAGAAAACGTTTGCGGTGCATTCAAAGGACAACCTAATACCGTCTACACCAGGGTCAGCAACGTGGCCAAGAATGTGTCTTGCCTCCCGGGCTTTCGTCTTGCGCCTCGCAGCCCATCAACCATCTACTGTGATGGCACTAACTGGACATACTCTTACTGCACAGGTTAGTCCAACTCGGGTATAGTTACTATTTCCGTTACTGTTGTGTCTTGTATTAAAGCCTATCTCGAATAGAAAAAGCCTGTTTTGAATACAAGCCTGTTTTGAATACAAGCCTGTTTTGAATACAAGCCGGTTTTGAATACAAGCCTGTTTTGAATACAAGCCTGTTTTGAATACAAGCCTGTTTTTATACAAGCCTGTTTTTAATACAAGCCTGTTTTGAATACAAGCCTGTTTTGAATACAAGCCTGTTTTGAATACAAGCCTGACTTTCAAGATACACGGCCGGCACATACCTTAAACCGCCCAATACTCTCGTCACTAAATTTTCGCGGTTTCTTAGAACCAGCTAGTTTGCGATGGTGAAAGTTCGCGAAACACTGGGGCCACTTACATCCACCCACTGTTGAAGTTAGATTTCACGCTGGTTAATATTCGCGTTACTCTCTTCTCGCGAAAATAGCGAACATTAATCCGTCGTGGATATTAGGCAGTTTACAGTGAGCATGGTTTTAGTGTTGACACACATAGAAATACCTGGTTTGAATAGAGGCCTGATGTGAATAGAATCCTAGCCCTTGCATCGGCTTCTACTGGAATAAGCCCGACTTTAATACCCGGCCTTACAGTACATGAAGACCAGAGTGTGCAGCTCGGATGGGTTGCTGTCACGGCGGAATTCCGTGATTCCATTATTTTACTGATTATAGTGCATACAAGCTTCGAAGCAGTATCCAAGCAGCTCAGTTGTACGCCCTACGCCATTTCCCGCCTCAGACCTGCGCAAAATATGATGTAATCACGTAATTCCGCCGCAAAAAAGGTCCCAAGCTGCACACTCTGGTTTTCATGTACTGTTGATAATAATTATCCTATCCGCGATGGCAATTAACCGTATTGCGTTACAGATCCTTTCAATGTTCTTCTCTTTCCTTTTCCTCTTCCACCTGTACTTCTCCTTAGTTTCCTCTTTTCTCTTTAGCTCTTCTCTTGTACCTTCTTGCTATGATTCACTGATGTGGGTGTTGAATAAATCATGGATTACACAACTCGGGGTACTGAGCCAATAGCCAAATGTAAAAAAATAAGCAAGCGCACACACGGGTTACTACGAGTTGTGAGTAGGGAAGTTTAGTCCCACGTAATCCGCCGGTACTGTCGTCTCGTGTTTGAGAACCGCGAACGAACTACCTCTAGGCTCCTCGCCACGCCACACAACAAAGGACTAGCACAAATAATTTAATTGTTAGAGTACTTTTTCTTCTACTTCATTTCAGTAGGCGACTGGGGAACTCATAAAGAAGAACCAACACTGACAACGAACGACTGACGACTGACGGACGACTGACGACTGACACTGAGACAAGACTAGACAACAGAATATATTAGATTGAAGGCGTACAACGGGGACAAGACGAGCAAGTGTGTACCACCGGGGACAGAAGACGGTGCAGCCGCATGTACGCAGGAGTCAAAAACAGCGCAGCAGCATGTACCACGACTCAGCAGCATGTACAACAAAGAGACACAAAAGCAGCCACATGTACGACAAAGAGCTACACGTGCAACCGCATGTACAACGAAGAGACACAAGCGCAGCCACATGTACAACACTATCCCCCACCAAAAAAAAACATCCACTCCTGTGGATGGAAGCAATCAAAACAAAATTAGAAGAAAGACAGGAGAAAAAGAAATCAAATGTGAACAACATACACAGGAGAATAGAAACAAAACATGCAGGGCCAAAACAGTAAGAGACGTAACTCCGGACAACAGGGAAAAGCCAAGGCACAAATGTGTGAAAAGAAAACAGACCGGGCCCACCCATAGAGGGAACCGCCATACTTTCAGGCGTGGGCCGCCAGGAAGTAACCACGTTGCCCTGGTACGAAGCCAAGGCAAACCGATGGCACTGCGAAGACCGCGGCAGTTGAACTGGGTGACCAGGCATCTGGAAGCACAGGAGTTGTCCGGAAAACCATCACGCAGCAAACCATCACGCAGCCGATGGGGCTACGAAAGCTCACAGAGACAGAAAGACACACACAGAAAGAAACACGGACTGACGCAAACATCTCAGCCATCGCCGAAAATCAGAAAAGCACACGAAGGAAGGGAAGAACAGTCAGGAAGAACACGTCGACTGAAACAGGAGCAATTAATCAGTGAGGACACCATTGAGGACACACAAACAAATCGGTTACCAATACGCAAAAGATAATGAAGAAATACCACAGGGCGCTACCCTGAAAACCCACAGGTCTCTAACCTGAAAAAAACCACGGGGATTGAACCTGAAAAAACCACAGGGATTGAACCTGAAAAAACCACAGGGATTGAACCTGAAAAAACCACAGGGATTGAACCTGAAAAACACGGAACTACATCCGCTTCGCAAAACCAAAAAACCGAAGAAAAAAACTGTCAGGGACCGACTGGGGCGCGCAAGGGCCAACCAGCAACACGCGGAAACCATAACACCCGCAAGGCAAACCGATACAACAAAACACAGGATCCCTGCAGACCACCAGGCAGACCGTGGCTCACCATGATCAGACGCCCACCCAAACGAACTAGAGAGACCCACATGCCGAAACACAATTATTACAAAACCATACGCTCACAAAAAAATTCAACCTGGATCCGAAACGAGAATCCTACATGAAGTTCACACCTCCCACCAAACCGGAAGCCACCAGCTTTCCGACTGGGTGCACAGTGCATGATCGAGCCTGACAACGCTCTGCACGGAACATGGAGAAACTACTACTACTACTACTACTAGTACTAGTGAAACGGTAGAAACACGAAACAAAACAATATGGATCGACTACAAACGAGGCAGCACCTCGAGAACGTTCAGGTGGACATCCAAACAAATCACGCGACACAGTCACAATATCGGAGCAGTCCGACGGCAACTCCGTGACAAGCACAAGTGCACAACACAAGATGAGATCAAAGCTACCCATGCTGAATTCACGACGAGCAAGCAAAAACAAGTTCCAGATTCGAACGCGAAGCACACGAACAGAAGTTTGAAATTTTCATACACACAACCGTACAGTACAGGGTAGTCGATCTACTAGTCAGAGCGACACAGGAACAACGAACACAACGGGGCGAACTGACAACGAGCAGCTAGAATACACTACACACTCGAGCACAAGAGGACAAGGTTCCACGGACCTCCTGCCGGGACCAGAGTCACCCAACGCAAAACAATTTGAAAAAATTCGAAATCGAATACAATTTACGGCAACACATTACGCAGAGTAGACAATTACAAAGGCATTCTCACCTGAGTAGGCGCTCTCATGAGAGGCTTGGACGTTCGTGAGACTCAAGTAGCTGGGCCATGGCGAGAACACGAAGAGGAGACGAAAACACAGCTGATATGGAGACGAACTCAGGGTCGTGGATACGATTTGTTGGGCGCCAAATGTCGTCTCGTGTTTGAGAACCGCGAACGAACTACCTCTAGGCTCCTCGCCACGCCACACAACAAAGGACTAGCACAAATAATTTAATTGTTAGAGTACTTTTTCTTCTACTTCGAGTACTTCATTTCAGTAGGCGACTGGGGAACTCATAAAGAAGAACCAACACTGACAACGAACGACTGACGACTGACGGACGACTGACGGACGACTGACGACTGACACTGAGACAAGACTAGACAACAGAATATATTAGATTGAAGGCGTACAACGGGGACAAGACGAGCAAGTGTGTACCACCGGGGACAGAAGACGGTGCAGCCGCATGTACGCAGGAGTCAAAAACAGCGCAGCAGCATGTACCACGACTCAGCAGCATGTACAACAAAGAGACACAAAAGCAGCCACATGTACGACAAAGAGCTACACGTGCAACCGCATGTACAACGAAGAGACACAAGCGCAGCCACATGTACAACAGTACTTTACGTGTGTGTACCACGTGATACTCAGTGACCCACATACAGACGTTTTCTGATTCACGACATACCGTGTATGGAGGCTCACCCACGTTCCGCCAGAATGTGGGTGAAAATCAGAATGGAGCGCATTGTGTGAGCTGTGAGGGTGCTCAGCTGAAGAAGGTTCCGAAGCACGAAATCAAAATATTGGATGAGCTTCTTAGGCCCGGGTAGCTTCGTCTTTGACCAGGTTTGGGCCTTTCGCTTCATGATTTTGTTTGTTCCGTGTGACTAAACACAACATTGCAACGTGGGTGCCCTTCATCCACTTTACGTGGATCACCCACGTTCGCGTTTCCGTTACGTGGGAACTAAACCTCCCTAGTAACTGTCCACTGCTGTAACGAGATAATAAGATGACCTTCCCCTCGAAAATTGGTCTTGCAATAACCTTGAACTTCCCAAGCTGGAAGGTTGTTGGTTTGCGCACTGGAGGTGTGTGAGAGCTAGGTCTCGGGTCGCTGAATGGCACAGTAACGTGTCAGTTTTGTGCCCGGTTATTGCACTTTCTGACTGATTATTATATTGTTACAGTCGTGGATAGTTGCTTCATAGCTCGTTTCCATGTGATTTCTTCTATTTTGATTATAATAATTTTATTGGCTCAGTATCCAAGATAATGCACAGTCAGAAAGTGCAATAAACAGGCACAAAACTGACACGTTACTGTGCCATTCAGTGACCTGACACCTAGCTCTCACACATCTCCAGTGCGCAAACCTCTTTTACAATGTCATTTACGTTTGGCTCTGTACCCGAGTTCAATTTTGCATTTGATAGTAAAAAAATTGAAGGGCCTTAACCTAGCTCGAACACATCTCCATTGCGCAAACCAACAGCCTTCCAGCTCCAGGTTCAAGGTTATGGTAGGACCTATGAGGGGATGGCAAGCGCAGCAAAAATGTGCATAAACTATGTCCCAAGGCAACTAAGAATGTCGACTATTACCGTATTCTGTCACTTTTGGGCTGCCCAGAGTTCCCCGAAGTCTTGTCTAAAAGCTGCACCTGGCCTCGAATAGAAGCCGCAATTTTGGGCCCGTCAAATCACACATAAGCCTGGTTTTAGTGTTGACATACAATAGAAATACCTGTCTCATATAGAAGCCTGCAAAATGTCACCAAGAAAGTCATAGAAGCCGCAGCTTTTATACCAGACTTAACGGTAAGTCATACCTTTTTACACTAAAATTCACTGAGGGTAAAAAAAGGGGGTGCGACTTACAATCGAGCATGACTTACTACTGAAGTCAATATATCGAAATTACATGGCTCCTGCGAAACATAGCACTGCTAGCCCTGAAACCTATAGACTCGAGCCCCCACATTCTCACACAGCTTTTCATGCAGCGCTACAAGACCCATGCCCACCCTCTCCTGGCATAATATTATTATTATTATTATACACCAGCATGGTCGGCACCCCATCCTCATGTTGCCTGATGATTGCGAGAGCATGAAACTTGAAGAAGTTGAAGCAAACAAGCCTTAATTGTCCTTAATGTTCGGTGTCACAGATATAGATGAATGCAATGTACAACCACTCCCCTGTGAGCTGAGTAGATGTGTCAATGACGTGGGAACGTACCAATGCTGCCCTCTCGGCTATCGCAAGAATATATCTCTGCCGACACGCTGTGAAGGTTAGTCACTTGCTCAAGCCGTGCGTGTCTTCGGGCAAGAACACGTTCTAATGTGTCCTGTGGATCTTTACTGTATATGTGGGTGTGTGAGCCTGACAATGCGCCTGAGCCTCCGCCCCGAGTGGTATGTACGGTATGCGGACGGGATTTTGCACGGAATGGAGACATGGCTCGGCATAAGTGTCTGGAGGAGCGTGCGCGGCCTGTGTCTGAGCAGCGGGGCGCCAGTCAGTGCGGGCGGTGTGGGCGGTAGCTGAGAAGCCGCGGTGGCTTGGTCCGGCATGTGTGTGCCTCAACAGTGGATGCCACAGTGCCACCTGGAGCTACCGGAACGTCGGCACCGGCGGAGGGATGTTGTGCCGCGCATTGTGACAGGAGGGGGGAGGGGAGGGGGTGGTAGCTTAGGAAATAAGGGATGGAGCCAGCGTGATCATAGTATGTAATGCAAATGCCGAAGTAATTATTATGTTAATCTTAAAAACAATAGTGCGGTGAACCTGCGCAGAGGAAAGGCATCATGGACATGATCTACGTGTATAACATTATTATAAGTGAGCTAGGGCACATCATACACACACACATACTGAAGTATGCGCATGTTCAAATAGGAGATCAAACTGATAGGCGTTCGCCGGCGTTGGGTAATCTTGAAATAAAGATATTAATATTATTAAATAGGCGTCGAGGCGACAATAGTTTTAGAATTGCGATCAACAGAACGAGCTGAACCGACATTTTCACAAAGGCTTTTATTGTATTCAAAAAACGAGTGGATACGAAGGCAGTGAAGAACATGGAAGAAAGAAAAAATGTGATATGGAAGAAATGATGAACAAAAAATTGTACTTCGAACTAGTTTTCGCACAACACTCCTCAGGAAGCTACGTTGTACTAATGAAAAACAATCCAGAAAGATACTAATAAAGAGAAATGGAGTGAGAAGAAACAACACCTATGAAAATGATAATCCTAGCACTAAGGTAATAACAGGAAAAACTGCGAAAGCACTTAACGAACTTGTAAGGACTACTAGTATACTGTGACACAAGATATGACACCATGGCCAACCAGAGCCAAACAGACAGAACAAGTTGCTTCTAAAACAATTTCAAACGAATAATGCTGTCCTTCTGGACACACAGATTAGGCTTATGAATACGTTGACAAACGGCTTCTAACACACTCAACTGCAACTTATAACCATGACGAGCACGGCACAAAACAGAAAAAGAAGAATCAGAATAAACCTTACAGCAATCAGGACGAGATGCAAGATGCTTATACACTGATGACTTCCTACTAGAAAACACACGCTCGCACCCACTCTTACTCACACGATCATTCTCGCTCTCACACTCACCGGAATCACTGGACTCACTTGCCGAATCCTCCTCAACGACTTCCTGCCTCGGAGCAATCAGGTCCCGTCTCCTCCCATCCCTCGTCTCACGTTCCTGTTGTGTATTCCGTTGGCTCGGTACTTCCGTACTGAAATAGGTCATGGTGTAATTAGCAGTTGTTCTTCTGGGTCTCGTTGATATTGAGGTAGGTATTGTTGTCGTCTCTGCCAGTGATGCAGCAAGCGATGCTGATGCAAATGTGTCTGCATGCAACACACGTGGCGTCGCCAAAGCCACATCCACCTCCGCTGGTGGAGGGAGTGACTTGGTCATGGCCACGGGAGCCAATGGTGGACTTGTCGAGTGAGACGCTAGGTCCTGTGTTGGCGGATGTAGTGGTTGTTTACGGGGTCTTCCCCGCGTGGGACGCTCCAGTTGTGCGCTACGTGGGATAATGTGTAAAGGAGTGTGTTGCTTGATGCGTTCGCTCAGGTGCTGAACAGTCCTACCAACATACCGGCTAGCACAATTCCGGCATTCAAAGTTGTAGATTACATGACTTAAATGATGGATTGGTAGGACGTCCTTCAACACCGTGAACGAACGCATCGTTGTGTAGACGGGTATGAAGTGTACCGCATAGTAGGTTTGTTTGATGATCGCACGAACTTCACGACTCACATTGTCAGACTTCTTGCCCTTCCATGGTAAGCACAAAAAGACAGGACAACGAGCAGGCCCTATCAATTCATGTTTCGGCGTGGGGGCTGTAGACAATAGTTTTGCCAACATGTCGCCTGGGTATCCGTTTTTGGTGAAAACTGAACGGAGAAATTCGAGCTCACCACTGAGTTTACAAGGTGAACAGATCCGTTTGGCGCGATCCACGAGATTATTTACTAAGTTGACTTTATAATTAGATGAACAGTACGAGTCATAGGAAATGTATTGTCCGGTGAATGTCGGTTTACGATACACCAATATTATTAAAGAGATTATTATCATACGCTCACATAAACACCACATACCAACCATGTACACACACACACACACATACACACACACACACACACACACACACACACACACCTGACCTTTGACGCCCATCGCCGGAGGCGATGATAGCAATGCTACGGCAGAAGCCATAGCAACTTGTGCTGGGATTACACCATTCAACAGCTTGCAAGGCTGAAGAATTGACCGTCACTATTCAGCCTGGTCTACACCATACAGCTATTTGGAGTGACATTTTCTGGCCAGTGAATCCCTAATTTTTGGTCTTTTCATTTTTTTTTCCCCGCACACACATCACACCACATACTCCGGCATGCACTGGCTGTTGGTAACCACCCAGGAGAATGAAAGAAAAGTCAGGAAGAGTCTGAGAAAGAGAAGAAAGACGTGTGTGACCATAATCGTCGGGAATCGAACCCGCAATCTATCGATTGGAAATCGCTGCACATACCACTGCACCATATGGGACACACACACACACACACACGCACACACACACACACACACACACACACACACACACACACACACACACACACACGTGCACATGCACACAGATGCATGGTCATACATAATATTTGTGCACAGACTCACTCTCTCACAGTACCGTCCACAAACCACCACGCCGAGTCCCTACAGCCGGTCGGTCGCCCAGTCCCAGTGGCTTGAGCGCAGGAATCGGTGGACGCTGCACTTGAAGGACTGCATCCTCTTCTGGTCGGGCTGATCCAGGAGGTGTTGGCAAGGCAACTGGTTCCAGGTGTCCAGCACTCCTTCAGGGAACGACCGGCGGATGTTGTTGCGAGAATTGGCTGGGATATCAGACTGCAGCCGGTAGCGGTGGCCGGCCGCCACCCGCGCCTGCTGCCTGGTGTTGGCAGGATGTTGGTCGTGGTCTGCTACTGCTTGGGGGGGGGGCAGCATTCGGGTTAGCATCTGTGGGCCTGTCAGGTAGTGGATTTTGTAGAGATAGCAGAGAGCAGCCACTTTGCGCCGGAGTTCGAGGCTTGGCAGATATGCGCCTTCGCCGATCAGATGCAGGGCTCTCCGCTGTACAGCATCAAGTTGGGCCAGCACCGTCTGAGAAGCACCTATCCAGACTAGCATGCCATGCTCTAAGACTGGGCGAACAAAGCCGTTGTAGACCGTGAGACGGCAGCCAGGGTCAAGCACTGCTGAGGCCTTCTTCAGGAAGCCCAGTCGCTGTGTGGCGCGCAGGGCTGACTGTCGAATCTGCTGGCAGAATGTCAGTTGACTGTCGAAGGCTATCCCAAGTAGCTTCAGGCACTGGGTTTCAGGAACCAATTCACCTTGGAATGTGACCGGAGGGCAATCCCAGGGCCGACGGTGGTGGCTGACGTGGAGTAGGTATGACTTGGCGGGCTCGAATGTCACTCGCCAGGTCGCACCCCAGGCAGCAAGGGCATTGACGGGGGTCTGGAGATCATCACAGTCAGCTGCGAGGTTGCCGAGATACCGAATACACTTGTAGAGCGTTGTGTCGTCTGCGTACGTGGCAAGGCTGGTCGATTGAGGAAGGTGGTCCTCAGCGTCATTAATGTTGAGCAGGAAGAGAGTGGGCCCCAGGATGCTTCCTTGAGGCACACCTGCTCGGATGACATGTGTGGCTGATGTTTTTGTCCACCAACTACGGCCCGGATCTGGCGGCTCTCTAGGTAGTTTTTCAACCATGAGAGCAGGTGGCCAGTTAGCCGCGGTGCGACACTTTGTCAAATGCGCTGGCCACGTCGACGGCAAGGACTCGGGTCACACCCCCAGCATTGGACGTCCGACTCCACTCATGCTGAAGTGAGAGGAGAAGATCAGTCGTGCCCAGGCCGCGTCAGAACCCGAATTGCCGTCCAGAGATGACCTGATTGCTTTCCAGGAAGTTAGTGATGCTGCGATTGATGATGGCCTCCATCACCTTAGAGAGTATAGAGAGGAGGGAAATCGGAGGGTAGTTCTTCGGGGAAGACTTGGTGTGTGCTAAATCTAACGAATTAACGAGGAACACACGTTTCCTGCCGACCTTGACACTCGCGTGCTCCGTCAAGTGTCAAGTTTGGCAGGAAGCGTGTGTTCCTCGTTGCAAGAATCAACTTCATGACTTATACCGCCGAAGTCGCAACTTCTAGAGGAGACCTATGCTGTTAAAATAGAAAAATATTCTACAGAAATCGATGCTTATACTGTTGCTAGTGAGAGTTGAGAATGAGTGAGAATCATAACCTTTGAAAGTACACGTAAACCGGTCAATTTTAGGAAATTGTTATAATTGCACTTCGTGTAATAGAATAATGGCTTTTACAGCATTTTTTAATCACACTTGTTAGTGCCTCACTTGCAAATTTTGTTGTTGCCACCTTTTCCATCGCTACTGTTGTGCTCCCCATTTGTATTACTTACATAGTTCTTGTGCATGCCTCTAGGCATTATTCTAAGCTGTTTTCCTTCCTCAAGGTGGGGAAGCTCCACTGCAGCCGCTTCGTATCACTGAACACCTTCCGCATGGCATCCTCAAAGCAAGGGGTCTCTTTCGCTACATATCGCTATGTTCACAATCAGGTTTACGACCAGGAACCTCCAGCAGGATATCCTTTCTATCCGTTTGAGTTGTTCATGCAATCGCCTAGGGAAAAAGAGCGGTGGATAACACAGAGCAGGGCTGCAGATCTCTGTCTGGCCGCTGCTTTCATGCACTGAGCAACGTTCTTTCCTTCCGTTTCAGAAAACGTTTGTGGTGCATTAAAAGGACAACCTAATGCCGTCTACACCAGGGTCAGCAACGTGGCCAAGAATGTGTCTTGCCTCCCGGGCTTTCGTCTTGCGCCTCACAGCCCATCAACCATCTACTGTGATGGCACTAACTGGACACTCTCTTCCTGCACAGGTTAGTCCAACTCGGGTATAGTTATTATTTCCATTAATGTAGTGTCTTGTATTAAAGCCTATCTCGAATAGAAAAAAGCCTGTTTTGAATACAAGCCTGTTTTGAATACAAGCCTGTTTTGAATACAAGCCTGACTTTCAAGATACACGGTCGGCACATACTGTAAACCGCCCGATACTCTCGTCACTAAATTTTCGCGATTTCTTAGAACCAGCGAGTTTGCGATGGTAAAAGTTCGCGAAACACTGGGGCCACTTACATCCGCCCACTGTTGAAGTTAGATTTCACGCTGGTTAATATTCGCGTTACTCTCTTCTCGCGAAAACAGCGAACATTAATCCGTCGTGGATATTAGGCAGTTTACAGTGAGCATGGTTTTAGTGTTGACACACATAGAAATACCTGGTTTGAATAGAAGCCTGATGTGAATAGAATCCTAGCCCTTGCATCGGCTTCTACTGGAATAAGCCCGACTTTAATACCCGGCCTTACAGTACATGAAGACCAGAGTGTGCAGCTCGAATGGGTTGCTGTCACGGCGGAATTCCGTGATAACATTATTTTAGTGATTATAGTGCATACAAGCTTTGAAGCAGTATCCAAGCAGCTCAGTTGTACGCCCTACGCCATTTCCCGCCTCAGATCTGCTCAAAATATGATGTAATCACGGAATTCCGCCACAAAAAAGGTCCCAAGCTGCACACTCTGGTTTTCATGTACTGTTGATAATAATTATCCTATCCGCGATGGCAATAAACCATATTGTGTTACAGATCCTTTCAATATTCTTCTCTTTCCTTTTCCTCTTCCACCTGTACTTCTCCTTAGTTTCCTCTTTTCTCTTTAGCTCTTCTCTTGTACCTTCTTGCTATGATTCACTGATGTGGGTGTTGAATAAATCATGGATTACACAACTCGGGGTACTGAGCCAATAGCCAAATGTAAAAAATAAGCAAGCACACACACGGGTTACTACGAGTTATGAGTAACTGTCCACTGCTGTAACGAGATAATAAGATGACCTTTCCCTCGATCATTGGTCTTGCCATAACCTTGAACTTCCCAAGCTGGAAGGTTGTTGGTTTGCGCACTGGAGGTGTGTGAGAGCTAGGTCTCAGGTCGCTGAATGGCACAGTAACGTGTCAGTTTTGTGCCCGGTTATTGCACTTTCTGACTGCTTATTACCTTGTTACAGTCGTGGATAGTTGCTTCAAAGCTCGTTTCCATGTGATTTCTTCTATTTTAATTATAATTATTTATTGGCTCAGTATCCAAGATTATACGCAGTCAAAAAAGGTCGATAACTAAGCACAAAACTGACACGTTACTGTGCCATTCAGCGACCTGAGACCTAGTTTTAACACATCTCCAATGCGCAAACCCCTTTTACATTTTACTTTTGGCTCAATATCCGAGTTCAATTTTGCATTTGATAGTAAGAAATTTGATGGGCCTGAGCCTAGCTCAAACACATCTCCATTTCGCAAACCAACAGCCTTCCAGCTCCAGGTTCAAGGTTATGGTAGGACCTATGAGGGGATGGTGAGCGCAGCGAAGATGTGCATAAACTATGTCCCAAGGCAACTAAGAATATCGACTATCACGGCATTCTGTCATTTTTGGGCTGACCAGAGTTCCCCGAATATACAGTAAAGTCTTGTATAAACGCCACACTTGAATAGAAGCCGCCCTCGAATAGAAGGCACAATTTTGGGCCCATCAAATCACACATAAGCCTGGTTTTAGTGTTGACATACATAGAAATACCTGTCTTGTATAGGAGCCTGTCTCATTCAGAAGCCTGCAAAATGTCACCAAGAAAGTCATAGAAGCCGCAGCTTTCATACAAGACTTTGCGGTAAGTCACACCTTTCTACACTAAAATTCACTGAGGGTAAAAAGGGAGTGCGACTTACAATCGAGCATGACTTACTACTGAAGTCAATATATCGAAATTACATGGCTCCTGCCTAACATAGCACTGCTAGCCCTGAAACCAAGAGTACATAAACCAGAGTGTGCAACTGTGCATATCTGATCTGAAACAGCGCAGTTCGTGCACTACGTCACCCTGGTGTGGTCAGCCAAGCCGCGACTTGCGTACAGCTCAAATTTTCATGTTTGCGTACATCCACCGACAAGTAAAGTCACCAGGCTATCCGTCTCAAAAAACCGAAATCAGGACAAACTCAGTGAACTGCACCACCACGACTGGTGACGCAACTTTTCACCGTACCTGTGGCTTACCATGCCGTCAGAAATGACGTAGTGCACGAATTACGCTCCCACAGGAACAATCCCGAGTTGCACACTCTGGTTTATGTACTCTTGCTGAAACCTATAGACTCGAGCCCCCACATTCTCACACAGCTTTTCATGCAGCGCTACAAGACCCATGCCCACCCTCTCCTGGCATAATATTATTGTTATTATATACCGGCATGGTCGGCACCCCATCCTCATGTTGCCTGATGATTGTGAGAGCATGAAACTTGAAGTAGTTGAAGCAAACAAGCCTTGATTGTCCTTGATGTTCTGTGTCACAGATATAAATGAATGCAGAGTACAACCACTCCCCTGTGAGCTGAGTAGATGTGTCAATGACGTGGGAACGTACCAATGCTGCCCTCTCGGCTATCGCCGGAATAGAACTCTGCCGACACGCTGTGGAGGTTAGTCACTTGCTCAAGCCGTGCGTGTCTTCGGGCAAGAACACGTTCTAATGAGTCCTGGGGATCTTTACTGTGTGTGTGTGTGTGTGTGTGTGTGTGTGTGTGTGTGTGTGTGTGTGTGTGTGTGTGTGTGTGTGTGTGTGTGTGTGTGTGTGTGTGTGTGTGTGTGTGTGTGTGTGTGTGTGTGTGTGTGTGTGTGTGTGTGTGTGTGTGTGTGTGTGTGTGTGTGTGTGTGTGTGTGTGTGTGTGTGTGTGTGTGTGTGTGTGTGTGTGTGTGTGTGTGTGTGTGTGTGTGTGTGTGTGTGTGTGTGTGTGTGTGTGTGTGTGTGTGTGTGTGTGTGTGTGTGTGTGTGTGTGTGTGTGTGTGTGTGTGTGTGTGTGTGTGTGTGTGTGTGTGTGTGTGTGTGTGTGTGTGTGTGTGTGTGTGTGTGTGTGTGTGTGTGTGTGTGTGTGTGTGTGTGTGTGTGTGTGTGTGTGTGTGTGTGTGTGTGTGTGTGTGTGTGTGTGTGTGTGTGTGTGTGTGTGTGTGTGTGTGTGTGTGTGTGTGTGTGTGTGTGTGTGTGTGTGTGTGTGTGTGTGTGTGTGTGTGTGTGTGTGTGTGTGTGTGTGTGTGTGTGTGTGTGTGTGTGTGTGTGTACCGATTCATACCGTACTTCCCCATATATAAGCGCATGAGCTTCTAAGCGAACATTTGCTGCAAAAAAAGATCTTTCGCTGTGTAAACATGTTCGGGTAGAAGCCCATGCGCTTATACGCTCAATACAGGTTTGTCTGTGTCCTAAACAATGGTGTCATCACACTACTTAGTGGTATATTTCGCTCCCGCCTTTTCACCAATAGTGTTCACATATAAGCACATGCGCTTATAATTGAGGGGTGCGCTTATATCAGGACATAAGCACATGCGCTTATATGTGCGGAAGTACGGTACCAATAAGATGATCTCACTCTCAAAATACGTTCTTTCAATTTGATTTTTGAAAGGGTTAGGAGAACTGGTTCAAACTCAAGGATCAGTCGGGGAAATGAACTGCCGGAGAAGAGAAAAAATGCCAGACCCACCAGGACTCGAACCCAGGACCTTGCTTGTCATGAGCAATGCTCCAACCAACTGAGCTATGGGACCAGGCCGAACCTAGAAGGCGCTGGCAGGTGCTTCACTCCAAAGGCAGCTCACAACACGTGCCACAGGGACACGCACTGATGGCGCTTGGGTCTCTTCCCTCCTCCAGAGGACCAACCATATGCACGGTCAGTTTCCGTTTCTGCAGGGCGATGCGACACAGCTAGCGCATGTAGCCCTGTCAGGGCCCACAATGTCGAGAAAATTAGAAAACTGTTTCTCCTCTGCCCCTCCCCCCCCCCCCCCACACACACACACATACTGTACACACACATACATACACACACATACATTTCATTGAGCAACACTGTACAAGGCCACCAAGCCGCTGCATTTAACACTACACAATAATAGCAAGAGTATATAACCCCACAAGAGTGTGCAACACATGATACCCTTTCTATGGTGTTAGCCGACGGCAAAAACTCACATCACGTGGTGTAGTGTCGCAGTTGTACGTTTCCAGCCCGTTTTAGCGAGCAGCGGAGTAATAAAAAAAGCACTCTCTGACAGAAACTCACTGCGCGTATGCAAATCCCCAGCATGATCCTGGTAGATATTCGGATTGCGCGCACGCTATCCTTCCTTTGTACGTAGTACGAAACACGTGATGTGAGTTTTCGCCGTCGACGACCCCATATGCAGAGTTGCACACTCTTGTGGGTTATATATATATACTCTTGATAATAGGATGCAGCAGCTTCAACTTTGTGGCAACTCGATTGTGTGGCACTTCAACTTTGCGATGCCTCGACTGTGTCGTGCTTCAAGCTATGTCCGATGATTTTCATGCTTTATTCTTCTCCCGTTCAGAGAACTCGTGCCCCCCTCCGGCCCCGATTCCCAATGCCGTTACAACCGGCAACAGCACTGTGGAGAAGAATGTTTCCTGCTTGCCTGGCTACACCCTGGCCCCCGGTTCACCACCAGTGATTTACTGCCAAACTAACCAGAAATGGACATTCTCTGTCTGCGAGGGTAAGTCCCACCGTTTGAACCAGGGTGCAGTATTGCACACCTGGTTAAAAAAAAGAGCCCGCTATGAAGAGTGTGTTGTGGGTTTTGTTATGATGGACTGATAAGGTACAATACGTACATGTATGTGAAGTAGAATTCAGAAACGTTTTTCTTCTATGGTCATCAGTGAACCTACATATTTTATTTTATTAGTCCATCATGGAATTATGTCGGCTTCAATTGTTTTATTCATTGTATTGCTGAAGTATCTTTCTCCGAAACGGCTCTTTTTTTCTTTTTTGGTGTTTTACTGAACTCCACAGCCCAACAATCATAAGGAAGACGATACAGTGGACATTAAAGGGCCTATAATTATAGGAGTGATGAAGGGATTTGATGTGCTCAGTCAACAGGTGTCTCGGCACCACAACACACCTTAGTGTTATAGTGAAGGGTAACGAAGCGCCATCCTGAGGATCCGCTTTTTAAGAACATATTAGTTTCCCGTAACAAAGTTCCCGGGTTGCGTCCAGCTAACATGCTCCATAGTGGACGGGATGATGTTGAGATAGCAGGAATACTGGATGGTATGACACTGAGATAGCAACAAGTGCTGGACGGTATGATATTTTAAAAGATAGCAGGAGTGCTGAGGTTGGTTAGACGGATGCTGTCGTGCCCACCTGGTATGCGCTGAGCTCGCTGTTGACATGCAAAGCAACTCACCCTAAGTGCTGCTTGCAGTGCTGGTCAACCAGCCCTTCCGGATACTAGTAACACCACGAGATCATCAGCTTATTAAATAAAAAATAAAAAATAAAATTCACGGTTCGCGTGAGACTCGGCTGCAAGCCGAGTTTTCCGCATCCGCCGTGGGAACGCCACCGCCCTCTAGGATCAAGGCGCAGATGCAGTGCCTAAACGGTAGCTTATTCACTCTTGGTAAGGCCAAGTAAAATAAAATCCCAGTTTATCGTCCTTTTTTTCACAAAAATCGGGGAGGGAGGGCGGATTTTATTTTTATTTTTTATTTTTTGATGTGCTACAGACTAGTATAGTTCTTGGTAAACAATGACACATCATGTGCAACAATCTGCAACAGAATAGTGGTAGTGTATGGAATACACAATGCTATAACAGTTATATGTACATAAACAATTACATGCAAAATCTTTGGATCGACAGATTGTCACTCCACTCATAAGACACAAACCCCAATACTGTTTGGTTCACACAGACCACCAGATAAATGATAGAAAGCTGCAGAAGGGAAAGAACCAGTCAGGACAGTAACCAATAGTCAGTCATAAAGGGAACATGTCGAGGTCTCGACAGGATGAAGACGGACTTTCGGCAGAAAGACGAAGCTGTGTTTTCAAGCCTTAGCCGACGTAAAAAATCAAGCTTTTTGGCAAAATTCTAGATTTAAAAAATAAAAATAAATTCCGGGCGGCCTCGAAAAATGGGGCGGGCGGGGACGATAAACTAGGATTTTTTTTACTTGGCCTAATACTGAACAGGGGACATTGGGATCGGAGGCGCAGCACAAGGAACAGTGAAACTTGTACAGCAGAGAAGCTCTCTGATTCAGTTGATTCGATTCTGGATTTTTCGGCAGCAAAGAGAATCGTAGATATTGGTACTGCCGTGGACATGGAGATCTAGGCGAATCACACGGCGCCGGTGCCCTCAATGCGTGCAGAACGTTGCATGCTCAGTGCTCGTATTGATCGTATGCGTACTCGCGGCTGCATGGCCTGAGCCATGGGGCCGCCTGACCTCCGACCGGATTTCCATGTCCACGACAGTGCTTCTTAGATGTGTGCGGTGGGCTGACGATTGTCACTTGGTGAAGAAAACGGGCTCCAGAACCCCCAAGGGCATAAAATTATTTTCATGCCTGCTGAGTAAAACTCCTCAACGGGTGATAAGTGTGCTCTATTTGTCAAGACGAAAGGCTTTAATCTATCAAAAAAGGTGATAATGATACTGCGATACTGAAATGATACAATAGAAACAATAATTTTTGTTTTTTGAAGTGACCTGTTCAACTGCGGATGATGGTTATTAGGCCACTGAGACAGGTTTCGACTAAAGTTTGCATGACACAATGTGACATTGTCTTCACTGGGTGTGTGTGGTTTTTTTCTCCATTTGGCAGATGTCGATGAGTGTTCGAATGCCGCTAAGCACTGTCAAGTGCCAGCATCCTGCAGCAACACAATGGGATCATACACGTGCACGTGTGCAAGTGGCGTCACCGGCTGCTATGTTG